GCTCTCATTTCATCAGTCTCGGGGAGTTCGGGGATTCCTCTCAAGAACGCGAGAGCGCAATGTCCTGTGCGCATGTGGGGCTTTTAAGCTTATTTCGCGAAGCAATTCGTGAGCGTCTGTGGTGTTGTCTGAGGTGATTGATATCCACAGCCAGCGAGGTTATCGCCAAGCTAGTGCCAAGGGCTGGGCGATCTCTGGGCGATCGAGTCTCCAGCCAATAATGAAGCATCGCATTCAACGTCAGTCAATTCTTGTCAATATCAGATATAGAGAGAAGCATTCAAGAATTGATATTCAACAATATTTCAATTACTCAGTATGATTTTCGCACATCGAATTCACATGCCATATCGTTTCGCCCACTTCATTCTGGACAACTCAGGCAGCGCAGCACCAACATATATTGTCTGCTCCAGCTTAGCCAGCAATTTGATTCCAATGAAGTTAAATCCAACTTAGTTAGTAGTTTCATTTCAATAAATTCAATTCAGTCTGTCTTAAAGTCTTACAAAAAGGAAAATATAAAAATATACATAGAGCTCATATGCAAAAATAAAATATGCCAAATTGGCAAAAGAGTTCGGAGGCTGGTGTTAAGCCTCCTACATCTCTTGTCGTCGGGGTTGTCGTCGAGCCTTCTCCTCCTGGCGGGAGCAGTTTGACCTGACCGGTTACCCCGGCGCCGTCTGCTCCCCCATTCGTCGTTTTTTCTTTGTCGTCGGGTTTCGAACTCGGGGTGTCGTCGGATTTTCGAATTCCTTATCCACCAGGCGAGAGCAGTTTGTCCTGACCGGTTACCCCGGCGCCTCCTGCTCCCCCTTGGAAAAGAGGTGAATTAGAACAAGCTATATACCCTCCTCATGTCATGTCTATCCCGGTGCGAGTTTGGGTGGTGGTGCTGTGAGCTCTGGTGAGGCCAGCGGGGTTGCCGGCGTGTTGCTGGGCGGCTGGGGCTTTGCCAACTGGTGGGCAGCCTTCAGCGGCATCGTGGGCCATTGGCGACGTGAAGCTCTTGATACCCCGCCCAGCACAGCGCCGTGATGATTCCAAGGTGTTTTGAAGTTATCGCGATGCATCCCCACGCCCAAATTACTTCTCACAGCATGTTGAGGCTATCGCCACCATCCAATATGATCACGACCGTAGTGATCACCACAACCATAGAGCGACAACAAAACATAAGACAGCAGACATGCGAATGGAATAATTCTCAAGCTATTGAGAAACGGGGAATTAAAATATATGCGCTTGCATTATATATGATAAAACTTCCAGCATCACAGCACTTGTACAGCTGTATGCCCCAACAACATCGTGTAGTCTTGACTTGATACAACAGACACCAAGATTTCCCGTTGTTCAAGATTGTTCTTCCGCACATCAGGTCCAACTTACAGTTTCCTCTTCATTACAATGGCAACACTTGCTACAATTGTTCTGAATATTTTATCGGTGTCGCGTCGGGTTCTCGATCGGTAGGAGGGTAAGGAGTCGGCGTTTGCGTTCCAAATCATTTCGCGCAAGAAGGAGGGCGATAGAAGCAAGGACATTTCAGCACCACTTGAGCGGCATTTTCATTTCATTTTCAAATCATGGGCAAGCAAGGTAATTAATGGATGGATGCAAGGGCTGTGGTTAAATCGGGGAGAAAATAACAAGACACGAGTATCAAGGCACTAGCGCAAGAACACGAAAAGGTTGTCAAGACGGCAAAGGATCGAAGAGAAGATTGTTTGAGACGGCGATCGGAAGAAAAGGGCGATTGTCGACGGGTGGATGGTTGTGATGATGAAGGAGTAGGAATGAGGAGGCTCAAACACGACGTGGAGACAAACTCTTACCTGAAGTGGAGATGCGTAGGGTTTTGGCCGTGTTTTGCAGATCACGAGGTGGGGTCGGTTATAGGCATATACGGATAAGTACAAGACGCCACTTGCGCTGAGCAGGACAAGCAAGCTAAGCTGAATGAGTCTTATCTTCAGGCTGGAAATAATTAACCTGTTCTTGAGTTGAGTTGAGTTTCATGACCTTGATTTCGTTGATTTAGGATTTTGCATGCATGGTGATGCATTACACATTTAGAACCTGCAGGCTTTGGTGATAACACTTAGACCGTAAGGTTTTCAGTGCTGAGGTTACCCTTTGATGCTGTCATTGTCCCAGATCTTGCCCTGCTAACCTATCATGTTGATGTGATGCTATGCACCACCCAACCCAGGTCATCCTAGCAGCATCTGTTTGGTCGATCAGTCAAAAAAACAGAACGCATAAACCTGACTTTCTTGAAACATGAAACTTGGTATATTAAATTAACACATAAAATAAGAGAATATCGGGGTGATTGACACGTGCCAATAATCAAATGAAATGCTTCCCCCCCACCAAACTTAACTTGATTTTAGCGGCCAAGTGACCACCTTAGGCCTGAGCTGCCTCTGCCACGTGAAGATAGCAGACGATAAGCAAAAATTGGCCGCTACTTCGATTAGCCACATTGCATTGCTGTGTGCGCAAGTCACACTCAAACATCAAGCAACAGCCGAGCCCAAATTTGACAGACGGGAGCTCCAAATTACTACGTACCTTTACCCTACCGTGAATTTTAGACCGACCAACCGCCAACTTTGGAGAACTGGCCATTTATCTTGGTCCTAAACTCTTCAACCTCAGACTGCTTCATCTTGTCCCGCTTTAGCTCTGCCGCTATTCACCGACCTTCGATATATCGCACGCACTTTCACGAAATCGAGACGAACGAGCCTTATCGATGGGTAAATTCTCCCCTTGAAACTACCTACTCCGCACACCGGGCGAGATCTCAGCTGTCACGATATTCTTCGCTATCGCCTGACGTATCGCACTTGGATGCCCACCTGCTGAACGCAACGAACGACCTCGATACCCTCCCCTCGGCGCGGCCTACGCCTGCCATCTCTTCGCTCCGATGTGGTGGTTATTCAGGGCGCTATTCAGCTCTATCTTCCTGCTCAGCATCGTCCTCTCTATCCCCGTCGCTTTCGATGTTGGCGGTCGCGATAGTGGGCTGGCTTACAGTCTAGCCCTGTTCCTTTTCTACTTTACATACTCTAGCCTCGAGTTGTTGACGCCCGAAAAGTCACGCTCGCGGTATTTCCTTTCTGGATTTTTACGTTTATCGCAGTGGATCATCATCCCCGCCCTCCTCATCTGGGCGCTGGGACAGTTCGCTGTCGATGCCGACAACACAAATTGGGTGGAGCGAACAGTCGGTAGTCTGTTCAACTCCAAGAGCACGAGTTGGAGGGAATGGATGTTTGGCAAAGACGGATTGGTAGAGACGGTCACGTTGGGTGGATGGGATAATGTGCTGCGGTATTCGGGGCCCGTGTTCCAGCTCTTGGAGGGCTTCTGTACCTTGCTAGTCATCCAGGCAGCGGGGCAGCTCACAAGATGGCTTGTCAACCGTGGAAGAAGTGACACTTGGTTGGTAAGGTCTATATCAAATCTTCAAATCTGGCAAATGCTAACCCGGGCGCAGATCGTTCTTCTGGTTCTCTCCAGCTCTATCATGGCTAGCGCCGTCTACTTCCTCTGGAGGGTAGCACAATTCCCTCAAATCGGCAACCTTGATGCTACGCTTATTGGCATCGCAATGACAACTGCCGTGTTTCTGTGCGCTTTTGGTATCGGCAGTGGTCGCGGCAATCCTATTGAGTCGTCGCTTCTATTTGCCTATATTGTACTCTGCATCTACCAGATCTTCACCGATTATCTGCCATCAGGAAATGCAGACCACACACAAGATCAGGATGGCTCAGAGTCTGATATTCCACCTTTACCGCCTGTCATCATGGCATCTTACTCGACTTTCCTCCACATGCTGGGCTCACTGCCCTCCGCTGTTCACTCGTCATTGGCGCTACTATATGCCGCCTTCCAGACTATCACGCCATCAGTCATCATTTCGCTAACATACCGCTCTTTGGTATTCTACTGCGCTACACGGATCATCCCCTCAATCCGCGAGTCGGGCGCGCGAGCCATGATGCAAGAACCTGATTGGGAGGACTCTGAGACTGCAAGTAAATTCTTGGGATTCCTCAGCTGGTTCTCGCCGTCAATTTTAATAGCAGTCTACACCAGTCTGCTCCTACAACATTTCTCCACCAGCGACGGTCCAGACGGTTGGACTCTCCGAGGTGGTGATGTTGAGGGCAGCAACTGGCAGTGGGCCAATATCGGCCTGACTATGGTTTTGTATGGTGTCGAACTCTATCTGGGCTCCGACGAGCATGACCACTGGAAGGTTGACTAAGAGTCACAGACTCTAGAACTACAAAACTACAGAAGTCTGCTCAGCAGACCATTACACACGACTTCGATGTACTTCTCAGGAAGTACTGAACCGTAGAACGGACTTAGAAGATGGAGGATATGGATTTTCTTTTCGAATCAGCACACATTATTTTTCGCAGGCAGCATACGGAACTGGACTGGGCTGGACTGGGATAGGGCAGTGGGCAACGGGACTGGCACGATACCGCACATGGCGTTGAGGAAGGGCTTGGCAGGTTTTTGTTTCTTTGTTTTCTGCTTTATAGCAGCATGGCGATGGATGATGATGTTGGTTTTATTTACCCCCTTTTTTATATAAGTTAGTTTGCGTGAAGCAATAGCAGCACGGCGTGAATTAATAATACTTTTTGAAACTTTGAGAAATGGAGCAATTAAATATGAATGAGTGTAGTGAATCCTTAGTCACTTCGTCAAAATTACTGAATCGAGTCTTGAGTCTGAATTCGTTAGCAAAGTTTCCATGTGTTAGTTATTCAACTTCAACTTCAACCTCAAATGAGAGGTTTTCACACGTTCACCACACACAACGTTTCCATAACCACATACTGTACTTTCTAAGGCATAAATATCCATGAGAAATATTCAGAATACGAATAACCATTTACATGTTAGTGCTCTCAATCCTTGTCTATGATATGATACTTCTCCGAAATCATGGGGCCGACACCGGCTTCGCTACCCTAGACCCACCGGCGATCCTGGGGAAGATCGGATATAATGGATATCCGTGGACATAACTTCAAACCAGCAACTTCAGTCTCTACTCATTTTCCTCATACGGATCATTCTCTCGATATGGCTAACAAATACGTCACGCAAGGCCTTCCGGCCGCCCCAGAAATCTCTCTCAAGACCATCCCCATGGCAGGCTTGCTTGTCGATATTTATGGTCTTGATGAACTCCCTCCCAATGTCCCTGTGTCATGCCTATGGCTTCTCCACCCTCGTACCAGATCACGAGAAACTATGAATGATATCGCCAGACGCACTATAGGAGCATGGGGCGCACAAGCTGGAGCCAATCCCAAGCGAGGCCTCATCGCCTTGACATTTGATATGCCTAACCACGGAACTAGAATGGTTAGCGAGTCAGCGAACCATCCTTGGAGTAAAGGAAATGCGACACATGCGCTTGATATGTTTGGTATGGTTAAGGGTGGAGTATCAGATATGAGCGGTCTCATGGATCTTGTTTCGGGGTATCTTGGCCGTGAAATTGATGGTCATGTGTGCCTTGGTTGGAGTCTGGGCGGACATGGTGCCTGGCAGGCTTTCTTTGGAGAGAAGAGGATTGATGCGGCTGTAGTGATCATCGGATGCCCTGACTTTACAGGTGAGTTATTCTGGCCAAATGCGAGGAATATGAACTGATCAAAATAGGACTCATGTCTGGTCGCGCTGCGGGAGCGAAACTCGACTGTGGCGCTGATTTTATCGGAAGCAAGTATTTCCCCAAGGATCTTATCGAGATTTGCAGCAAACATGACCCCAAAGCTATCTGCTTCGGTACTTCACCTATCCCATCTTCACTTTCCTCTGCCGAACAGACTCGCCTGAGGGCTATCCTGGACGAACGCGCCAAAGGCAAGAAGCTGCTCCTGTGCTCGGGCGGTGACGATGAGTTGGTCCCGTACGCAAACACCAAGGAGTTTGCGACGTTGTTGAAGGAAGCTGTGAGTGAGAAAGGCTGGTATCGTGATGGCGGGTTGGAGGTGGATGATAGAGTTTATGAGGGTATTGGACATAAGTTCAGTCCTAAGATGGTGGAAGATGCTGTGTGGTTCTTGGTTAATGCAGTGGGAAAGGGACCGAGAGGCAAGGCACATGTTAGAGAGGGGGAGAAAAGTGTTCTATAGATTTGTGGTATAGACATAGATATGATAGGCATCACCAAGGCCGTGGTGCCTCTTCGTCTATAACCTCGCTCCCATTATTCATTTTGACGACTAAACCACCGCGATCGCAATCTCTACTTGGAAACACGCCCTGCCATACACCCCAAGGGCTCCTCTTCACTCTCTTCCCAGCAAGACTCTCCCCTCGTCCATGAGGGTCATCCTTCCACTCACCCATGGCCAACGTGGCACCCTTCATCGCTTCTTCTTTATCTTGATTTTTTGAAGAAGTTGCCATACCGGGCGGATCTATACCGATGAATGTGACTCGGTCGAGAGGGAAGCCAATAGCTGCGCAGTGCCCATCGACAAGTCTCTCTTTCTTAAAACCATGGCTTACTATGGTGATGCGAGTTGGCCATGTTTTGTGGTGAGAGTAGAAAAGCGTTAGGGAAAAGAGGACGTTATGATACGAATCAAGCGCGCGCTCTTCTAACAATACTGCATTGTTGATATCTTCGTCCTGTAACAGTCCCCAGTAGTTGTTCTTGGTTGCGATGTTTTTGTAGCCAGCTGCTTCGGAAATTCTTGACTCTTTGCGCGTCGGTCCTCTATCATGGTCAGTACACGCACAAAAATGTTAGCCAGGTCACATACCCAGAAATCATCAAAACAGAGCCAGGACGATCCTGAGTGAGGGCCTCTACGCCAGCTTTGATATGCTGAACAAAAGTCGGGGTTTCACCACGTTGAAAGTCGGCGATTAACCATTCGCTTTCATTCTGGCCGAGGGTTGGGCCACTGAGCCAAACTCCGTGGCAGCAGACAATGATGAGATGTGACGGTGGCATGGCGGTGAGATGGAAGATGAGGGGATTCAGAAGTTGGACAGGCTGGATGTAAAGTAAGGGACTGATCATGTGATAACTAGTCTGGAAGAAAATTAAGGAAACAAAAGAATTGAGGCTGTCAAAATGTGAGATACAATAGATGAAGTGGGCTTTACAGTGTTCACATTGAAGGACTGAAGCTTCATGATAAATTGAGATAGACTTTGCCCCTCTACCCTGGTATTGTACATATAGATCCTACTGAATCTCCCCATTCCATTTCCCCTTCCAATGCATAAATCGCTTTGTGATAGTACATTCGCGTTATAGATATTCAAACATTCCAAGTCATCATAAGTTTCCCACCGTTTTCCTGTTAGCAGCCAGCTTTGCTTCAAAAGGGTCACTGTTCTCCCTCGTCTTAGCCTGTTTTATCTCCTGTGCCCTTTGCTTCTCAGCCGCAGCGAGTTGATCGCTGAAACTCCCTTTAGGGTCTTTCCATGCTATATTAGACTTGCTCTTGCGCTTCTTTGGCTCCTCTGTTGGTTGGAAAGGGGACTTTGTTGGAGGCTTGGGTGTCTTCGGATACCCAAACACCTGCCGGTGACTCTTGTACTTCATGTGCGGTAGTGCACGTCGTCCCCTGATTTTGAACATGGCATCTTCATACTCTGCCTTGTGCTTCGCAGCCTGTGCCTCCAAGTCTTCGAGGCGGGAGGCAATGTTCTCCACAGACGTTTCAGGCTTATCTGTTTCCTTCTTTGGGCTCTCCATATCCCTCTTCACAGCAACGATAGATATCCGATACCCCTCTGCCTGTTTCTTATGAAACGCAGCCCTCCTTTGCAACTCTCTTGTCTTAATGGGTACTTGTAGTGGTTGGATAGGGCCGCCGGCGCGTACTTGGGCAAAGACCTTATTTCGTTTCGGTGATAGGTGGTGATGTCGTCTCGCCTGCTTGAACTCCCGTGCCTCCTCGTCTGTCAGATTTCTCTCTCGAGCAATCTTGGAATATCGGTAGAGTTGAGCTCTGCCAGGTCTTCTCGTACCTAGTTCTCTTGTTCGATGAATGCCTTTGAGGCTGAATAATTGTCGAATCAGGTAAAGACTTCCTGTGACCACTAAAGGACCACCGTCGCTCTTCTTGCAAGCCCATGGAAGAGCACTCGCAATGTCGGGCGTTCCAGAGTATACATTGCCAGGACCGAGTTGCTTCGTTTTGGCGTACTCGGCACCGAATGAGGCGGGCAAAGGCTGAGGATCATTGGGACCTTGAGTAAATTCAACCATAGCAAAGTTGTCCTGAGGCTCTACAAGCTTGTCCATCATCTTAAAGAAAGGTTTGTCCTTGCTCGATGACATACCCATGACCCAAGTCACTGGCTGGTCATCTTTTCGTAGGCGTTTGTTGACATATTTACTCAATTCTTTGACTCCCAACATGTTGTGAGCACCATCGACCAGAATTTCTCGTGGCTCAATACCAGAAAGCGGCGCGTTGACTTGAACTGTTTCCAATCGACCAGGTAAGAAAGGATCGGTTTCCAAGAGCTTATCCAAGTTGATCTCCTGTAATGGGAAGAGTTGACGGAAGGCCATGGCTGCACACAAAAGATTCTGGACTTGGTAGCTCTCAAGCATCCATTTCGAGTTGTCGAGAGTTAACAGTAAAGGCTCGCCTTTCCATGTGAGGATGATGTCTGTTCCTACCTCTCGAGCATGTTTTCGTAGAACATGGACGACAGAAGGCTTGTTAGTGTGGTCAACAATACAAGGGACGTTCTTTCGCATGATGCCAGCTTTAACCTTGGCAATGTGTTCGAGGGTATTTCCAAGGTACTCTTGGTGGTCGAGGCCGATCTTGGAAATGATAGTGACAGACTTTTGCTTCATGGCATTGGTCGCATCGGTAGCACCGCCCATACCAACTTCGACGATGCCATAGGGAACGTGCATTTTGTTGAATACTCGGAATGCTGTTGCTGTTTCGGTCTCGAAAGGCGATAAACTTTGAGGTTCCTCTCCATGTTTGTATTTCCAACCAGCAGCAATACGACTGTACTTTTCCTCAACATGCTTCATTTCCATGTCGTACATGCGCGGATTCACATAAAGACCATTAATTGTGACTCCGTTGTGCCTCTCTGGAAAGGCGGGAGATGTGAAGCTTCCATAACCGAGACCAGCGAGCTTGAACATACCAGCAAGAAAGGTGCATATTGAGCCTTTACCATTGGTGCCAGCAACATGAATACCCTTCCACTCTTGCTTGTCTGGTATGACACGATTGATACGATCCAGGCCTAGTCGAATATCTCTGTAACCTGGCGTCCTCTTGCTGGCCAAGACCCGATTAATGCGGTTAAGGGCGAACTGGATTTCCTGAGTGGAAGACATGATGAAGATTTAGGTGAGACGGCATCTCATCGGAGCCCGGCGCTGGGGATGGAAAGTGCCGTGTGAGGCTCCTGAGATGCTGATTGAGTCAGCCCCAGGGCGAATTGGCGTATTTGGTGATGATTATGAGTTGAGTTTCGTTATAGACGTCACGACATGAGCGAGACTACTTCGTCCATTATTTTTCACTTTGGGGCAATTCATGTCGGCATGGGGTGGGGTGTTGAAAGCCACACTCGCCGAAAGCCGATGAAAGTGGTCTGATGTGGCTCTGTGGCTGTGCAGTCTTTAATCTGTTCAGTGGATGATCAGATGTGGTTTGTTAGTGTTGATTGGCTGAAGCTGGTCATCCACTAACAGTCCTTATCGCGACACGGTAGAGGGCACTATCAGACGCGCACGCGAACTGAACGCCTTGGACTTTAAGCCTCAAGAGCTTTGGATCCTCTGATTGGTCACCTAATTTCGTCGCAGTCTTCCCTGCCCTGGAGCTGCATCTTGAACCCCCCGCACCCCCTTTGCCCGTTGCCACTCCGTTCTTTCATCCTCTCCACTGGTTAATTACCCGCTTCACGCTTCACGCATTTGTCGTCTGGCTTTTATCAACCTTGCTACTCTAGGCAGCATCGTCATCACTGTTCATCAACTTTTCATCAATGACAACAATTTTGGACTTTGCAATCATTACGACTTAATTCTTTGATTCCTTATATCGCTGTTTTCGCTCATTTTCGTCATTCACTTTGTACTAAATCAGCCATGGGCCTCCCGTAAGCGCATCCTTGTTTTTTCTACCCCGTCCGTTACCTTTGTTGCCATCGCGCCAACGTAGTGATGCCCCGGTCGATCGATATTGTCGTTGTCGCCATCGCTTCACTATATCAACGCAAAGGCATGCTGCAAACATCGCGAATGCGCACAGTCGTTGCTTGATATTGCGCGCTTCGTGCTTTGCATATTCGTCGCAGTAGTGACGGCCTCGTTCTCTCAATATCGTGCACTTGTTAACCTTGTCTTGCAGATTGTTTGTTGCCCCCGTTGAGTCAGATCTCCCTTCTAAAGCTGCAGAGAAGAGCAGTGCAACGTCGCCACCCCGCTCCGCCATTCGTCGCAATATACGCACTGAACGAATTGAACGCCGCGCCGCGCATCGCCGTATTTTCTCAATTCGCGACCGCTTAAATGACGGCTCGCTACAACAGTCCGGTACTTTGACCGGCCGAGATGGTCGCTCTGTACCATGGGCTGAAGCTGGATTCCCACCTGATCTTGAGACTACGAGAGGTCCCGATGGGCTGCGCCGAGCCAGACCGTTTCGCGATGTTCTGAGAGAGATGGCTAGATCGGATGATCGCAGAAGGGACATGCTTGAAGAGCGCATAAACTCGCTGTTTAGGGATGGCAGCAACTCACAAGATCGAAACACATCCAACTCACATCTCTCATATGAGGATTTGGACTTGGGTTGGCATGAGGGTCCTCGACCTTCTCGCCCTGCAGTGGTAAGTTCTATCATCCATGATGTTTTGGACCAAGTGTCCAATTTGTATGCTTTTACTAACAACTAACTCAGGTGGTGCCGGTGCCTCCCAGACAAGCTCCTGAAGAGAATGGAGTTCAACCGCAAAGACTTCCTTCTCTTGTAACGTACCCCTTGATTAGCACAGATGACTCTGAAGAAATGGGCCAGCGCCGAGCTCACCACTCGGCAATGCGCGAAGCTCTCCGTGCGTCAAACAGGCATCAGCGATTCGCACCTATGCAACGTGTAGACGGGCTTGGCGACCGTGATAGGAGCCTCAGTCCAGAGGTGTGGGATACTCTTCTATCTACACTTACCCCTGACCCTCAACCACCTAGCGCAGGTTCCTCTTTTGCATCAAATGTTGCATCTCAGAGTGCCGGTGCCACATCAGGCACCTCTTTCACCACGCCCGACCAAGACCCTGACGCCCTAGTTGACCAGGCCTGTGAGTCGGGTTGCGAAGGCTCCGAAACTGAAGGCCCTGATCAAACTCTTAGCGTCCTAGATCGAATTAGAAGACGCCGAGCAGAGATGCGACGTGTTCACGTAAGAATACCTGAAGCTGGCCTAGACGGCCCAGTTGATGGAGGCGCCATTCGAGATAACGACGCGGTCAGGTCCGATTCTAGACAACGAAGATCCCCGGATGGGCTAGTGCCCAGTGATGATCGCCACAGGCTCAGGAGATGGGGCCGAGAGCGCTCACTTCGATCACGTTCCGCCTGGGTGGGACACTTGTCCGTGGGCAACTCGGACGACGAGCAAGGACCGGAACGAAACAGACAGAACCGAGAGAGCTCAACGACATCGGGAAGCAACACGAACGTTGAAGATGACTGGATGGGAATGCAGCGCATCGTGCGTAGCCTAGCACGACGTGAAGATATTCCCGATGAATGGTGGGCTGAGGCTGGCCTCAGTCGAACACTGCCAGGGGACGGGACAGAATAAAGAGGGCACATGGAACCAGTTTGAATTCGATTTGAAGCGGGATATAAAAGAACAGGATTGCTTGCTACAGATTTGGTCAGATGGCGTTAAAACGGAAAACCGAGCAGTGTCGGCAATGATTTGTATCATAATTGTACGGTTGTTAACATTTTGGCTCGATAGTGAGCAGGGAGAATATCTAATGAAAGTTGATGTTGAACGAACTCACTCTTCTGGACCGTTGCTTATGCTACCACAGACTGATATGATGGATAACTGCCGGGATCTATGGTCCATGAAGCGGCCACGCTTAGACGCACATCATCTTGAGATCCTGGTAGATCTATCTTGATGTGGCTTGAAGGGCCTTGTCTTCGGGACGGCTACGTGCTGCCAACTGCAATATGTACAGCTACGGTGAAGAAATACGAGAACATAAGGCATCAAGATGATATGATTTTCTTTTGTCGTCCAATACTTGCTGTTCACCTGGTGAAAGCACACACCATTTGCCGGCATAAGCCTCTCCTGAGACTGTATAAGGGGTTGTTGAGCACGGCTCTTGACATGATATTTCAAACTCAAAGATGGCCCTGCAGCCGAACTATTGATCGAGGGTAAAATGAAATGTTATAACTCATAAATTGAGATATATAGTATTGGCGAATGTGCCAACTCCAATGTCCGTGGAGGGCGTAAAGTATCGTCATGACAGCGTCACGTAATGCCGAGCCAAGCAGAGGCGCTTTGAACAAAAATGAGATTGCAATCTCAGTTTAGTTTACGGTTCAGCTCACAACGAAAACAAGAAAAGAAAATCTCCGTGCACGATATCGATCGACGGTGAGATACGATATCTTTCCCTGCTTGGCATTGACGCCTTGTAACTTAACTTTATCAAGCAAGTCAAGTTAAGTTGAGTTACCTGGGTCTAAAGAGCTGGGATGATATGAGACGCATTAGTGGCTTCGAGGGTTAGATCGGCGTCGTCCTCGAGAGCAGGGTATTTCGATTGGGTTGTTGGTTGTTGCTGACAGGGAAAGACATAACTTGACTAGTATTTGAGGCGTCGGAGGAGCTGGCTGAAAGAGAATAACCCGGATGGCTATAGAGTTTGTGTGACGGATGAGTTTCCAAGTTGATCGTTGACGGTGAGGCTTGTTTTGAAGTGTGGTAAGCATATTCGTCCATTGTTGGAATTTGAAGGATGTAGTTATGCTTTTTTTTTTATGAACTTGGTACTTTTGTCTAATAATAAGCGGAGATGAGATATGTTGTTGACTTGGAAAAGAATGCCAGCATTGGTGCCTGTGTCTGAATGCATCCACTACCTTGGCTTACATGGCATGGCATAGCATGGCAGGAACATGAACTGTTTCAAAATGTGGACTTTTCCTTGTAAGTGAAGAACTCTAAAACATGCTAAGAACTTGTCTCTTGAAACTGGTGCTGAGAATCGATGTTGACATCATCATCGGGTCCTAACAATAAATTGTTTTTACAAGTCATCGTGTTGTTGCTTGTCAATTGGTCTCGAGGTGGAGAACTGAATAGCGAGCTAGTGGGGAATGGCCCTGCAAGTTGAAGCTGGGCGTTGAAGAGCGCTGGACTTGCAGGGCGGCACGGGCCCCCCGGGCACCCCGTCACGCAGCGCAAGGTACCTCGACCATCAATGGATGTACCGACCATTACCTTACGGGGCTGCCCCAGGCCCTGGGCTGATTTGGGTTGGGTTGCGAGCCTGCCTGATCAGTTACTACGTAGTAGTGAGTGACTACCTACTTAGGTAGACTAGAGGTGAATCTGAGACGAGAAACAACACCTTCAGTCGAGTCCAGTCCAGCGCATGATTGATTGGAGATCAGTGGCTTTTTGGTCCAGCTCCGAATTTCCACCCAGTTTCTTACCTTACTTTTTTTTTTCCAGTTCACTTCATTTTTTTTAATTTTTTTTTTTTTTTTACTTACTTACTTACGACCCTTCTACTCACTCCCTCTCTTAACAACAAACTCTCACGCAATTCGATCCCTTGCCCACCCGGGTTATTCATCCTGTCCCTCCTTTAACCCTGGGCTGTTCTATTAGCGACCGCACGAAACGAAACGAATGAACGAACGGACCTTGTCCATCCATTCTCCTCCTCGATCACGCTGACGACGTCGACCAAGCTTTCAACGAGCTCAACTACATTCGCCAAACTCGACGACGACAGCTCTTTACCGAACCCGATCTCGTATGTAGAAACGAATTACACTGCGCCGCTCCGCTCCCTTCCTTCGATATTCGCCGGGAATGATATCTCCGTCTTGGTCTGAACCTTGTCCTTCCTCCGCCGAACTGCCTCTGCTTTCACCGAGGAGGCATAACCCAGCTTGTCACGACCAAATCAGAGCATCATTGAGTTAGAGAGCGCCTGAGAGATAATGCCCGAGCGGCAGTACCACGCCAATGGCCGCGCCGCCGTGGCCTCCCGCGAACGACCCTATACACCAGGAACGCCCTCACGAAAAGACAAGATACGAGAAAGCTCTGCCCTTCAAGATCCAGGGCTCAAGGACTACGTGCGTATTTCCAACTACCGATATCACCGGTGCTTGATCCCGATCCCTGGAAAGTCGGATATCATGATAAGCGAGAGTAGCAGCAGGGTTTAGTGAAAGTTGTCGCTAATGTTTACCTTTTCTGCTTTTAGCGTTTAGGTGAATGCCTCGGAAAAGGTGCTTTTGGATCTGTGTACAAGGCTTTTAACTGGGGAAATGGCGAGGCGGTTGCTGTGAAGCAGATCAAGCTCGCAGATCTTCCCAAGAGCGAGTTGCGCATGATCGAGGTGGGTTGTTTCTGAGCTCTACCCTAAAGCTCAATGGTTGTGATTCGGACGAACTGACATGAGTGAGTGCTGTTTAGAGTGAAATCGATCTGCTCAAGAATCTTCATGTAGGAATCCTGGTCTGAAATAGTATCATATGTGAAGGCTGACAAGCAGTAGCATGATAACATTGTCAAGTACATTGGCTTTGTCAAGTCCGTTGACGCCCTCAACATTATCCTAGAGTATGCGATTCGATTTTACTCTTGATGCCCGGGAACTAACAAATCTAGATACTGCGAGAATGGTTCTCTGCACTCAATATGCAAGGCATATGGCAAGTTCCCCGAAAATCTGGTTGGGGTCTACATGACGCAGGTCCTGCAGGGACTTCAATACCTCCACGACCAGGGTGTCATACATAGAGATATCAAAGGCGCCAACATTCTCACCACAAAAGACGGCACGGTCAAGCTCGCAGACTTCGGCGTTTCAACCAGCACCCTTGCTGGTGGTCAGGATAAGGAGGCACAGGTTGTCGGCACACCATATTGGATGGCCCCTGAGATCATTCAGCTTTCTGGAGCAAGTTCCGCATCGGATATCTGGAGTGTTGGCTGCACTGTTATCGAGCTTCTTCAAGGGAAACCGCCCTATCACAACTTGGCTGCTATGCCTGCTCTGTTCGCAATTGTCAACGACGATCACCCCCCACTGCCTGAAGGCATCTCCGCTGTGAGTCTCCCCGATTGTATTTGGGGTTATTTTTGCTGATCTTGCCAGGCCGCCCGTGATTTTCTCATGCAATGTTTCCAAAAAGACCCCAATCTTCGTGTCACTGCCCGAAAACTACTTCGTCATGCCTGGATTACAGGTTGTCGCCGAACTGAAGCACCTGTATCAAAAACACCAGCCAATTTCAGCGATGCCGTGGAGGAAGTGAAGCAATGGAACAAAGCTCTAAAATCCTCCGGGCCAAGACTTCGACAATCGACTGGCTCTGATGCCGGGCCTTCGTCAAGATTTCTTGGTGGAACTCCTGCCAAGGGAGGTCTATCACTTGCAAAACTACGTCCTGGTGCAGGAGCTTTCAGTAAGCCTGAACTAGCTGGTACGTTAAAGTCTCGATGTCTGAGTATTCTGCCTAACCCTAACCGTATCACAGATGATGACAACTGGGACGATGATTTTGCGACAGCTATTTCACCAAGCGCATTACAACTACCACACCTCAAGCCACAAGACAACTTCGGCGGTCTATTATCGAGTGATCGCCTCAAAGCCTTTGCTTCAGTGAATGATGGAAGAAATGACAGTAATTCGTACGATGACGACTTTGAGGGCGAGTTGATGACGATAAAGGGGCTAGGCCACTGGCAAGACATCGATCCACAAGAGCAGACAATCAGACCATTGCCGAAGAAGTCCACGAAATCCTCAGAACCTGTGAAAACGCACAGTCGAAATAAATCGAGCTCAAGTAAGGTCGCTGGCGCAGGCCGGACCAGATCGCCCACGAAATCAAATCTCAATAACAAGTTCGAGCTTCCACCAAGACCAGATATTATCTACCGGGAACAAAGTATGGAAGACTTCTCAGATCTCTTTGTGGATAACGACAACGTCTTCACCCACAATGTGAATCAAGCTGTCAGAAGAGTAAGTTACATATCTCTGGACCTCATGCGCCCAAGGCTCACAAGTCTACAGAACTCACGACAGGCTGATGCACCACAACTCTTTCACCCATCCGATCTTACATCATTACCGAGGTCAATGCAGGAATCTGGCTCTGGTAATATGAAGAAGAAGCCTTTGTCTCGACCGTCAGTTCTTCCCGACAGGCCAATGCGACGGACACGATCATCAATAGAAATCCAGAAATTCGCAGAAGATGACGACGAAGATTTTAGCGATGTTTTCGGACCTGAATCATCAATAGCGGAGAAGGAGGAGAGCGAAAAGGGATCCGAGGATGGCGGTTTGATGCTCATGTCTCGTGTGTCGAGCAATTCCTGGTTAGGGGACGACGAAGACGAAGATGATCCCTTCGCATCGATGGATCCAGGATGGGATGAGATGGATCTGGAGGCCAACATTGCCAGAGACCGACATGCCAGATTAGCAGAGAGGGTAGAGGACTTGGTGAGATCTCTCAAAACGACTGAGGGTGAGGATGCCCTGGCTGAGTTCTCGGAAGATTTGGTAAGTTCTTGTCATACTTGACACCCAGAAACGAGTGACTGATACATCACAGCTTGCCTTACTTTGGGAGAACAATGAGGTGAAGAATCTAATCATCAGCGCTCATGGATTGTTACCGATTCTTGAAATTTTGGAGCCTTGTACTGTCAAAAGCAGGCAATACATGATCCTGCAGCTCCTCAAGGTCGTCAACGCAGTAAGTTCTAGCGTCTGCAATATACCCGCGGCCTGCTAATATTTCAGATCATCCTGGACGACGTTGAAATTCAAGAAAACTTATGTTTCGTTGGTGGCATACCCATCATTACCAAGTTTGCTGCACGACAATACTCAGATGAGATTCGCCTGGAAGCAGCTGCTTTTGTCCGTCAGATGTATCAAACATCGACATTGACCCTCCAGATGTTTGTATCTGCGGGTGGTCTGAACGTGCTGGTCGAGTTCCTCGACGAGGATTACGACGTTACTCGAGACCTTGTTCTTATTGGGGTCAACGGTATCTGGAACGTATTTGAGCTTCAAGGACCAACCCCCAAGAACGACTTTTGCAGAATCTTCTCACGAAGCAAGATTCTATATCCGTTGGCACTTGTCTTGCACCGAGTCCTTGATGAAGAGGGCGAGGACGAGCTTGGTGAGCTAGTGGAAGGACGAATCGTCAACATTTTCTATCTCTTCAGTCAAGCAGAGAACTACGTCAAGGAGGTCGTAGCAGATCGGCAAGTACTGAAGAGTGTACTAAAAGATCTACGGCGCATGACGCCAATACATCAGATCACAATGCTCAAGTTCATCAAGAACCTTTCGATGCTTTCGACAACGATTGAGTCGCTGCACTCAGCCGATGCTATCGAATTCTTGATTGACCTTCTGAGTTACAGCATGAAGAAGGGCCAAACACATTTTCGCGAAATATCTAATCAGGTTCTCAACACATTATTTAACCTCTGCCGCCTGAGCAAGGAACGCCAGGAGGACGCTGCTGTTGGTGGTATTATTCCTCTACTCCTGAGAATCATGCAGACCGACCGGCCCCCGAAAGAGTTTGCCCTCCCAATACTCTGTGATATGGCGCACTCAGGGTCCAAGGGCCGCAGATACTTGTGGCAGAACAAGGGTCTCAACTTTTACGTATCATTACTTACAGACCAGTACTGGCAGGTTACTGCGCTCGATGCCATCTTGGTCTGGCTGCAGGAGGAAACAGCTAATGTAGAGACTCATCTTGCTGATGGTAACTTCACACGAGCGATTATTAGTTGCTTTAGTACCAATAGGGTGAACGCCTTTGATTCCAACTTATTGGAACCACTACTCAAACTGCTACGCCTCAGCCCGTCAGTTGCGGCCTCGCTGGCGAAGCCCGAAATGTTTGCAGGCATTGCGCAGCGTTTGACTCACAAGAAGGCGGTTGTGCGACTTAACCTCCTGAGATTAGTGAGGACTATCATGGATGCTTGTGAGCCTGGCTTGGGCAGTGGCGATGGAACGAGATCCCTCAACAGCTCTCAAGTGCGATCTCTCATGGCTGCCATTCAGACTCTATCAGAGAAGGACTCGGCTGTCCTCGTGCGAAACCTCGCGTCCGAACTGGTGCGGTCCAACATCGAGCCAAGCGGAAGATCCGGCGAGGGTGCGTCCAGTGCTGTACCAAGTTCATCATCATCCAGAAGACCAGGATCCCGACGGGGTGCAAGCTATACACCCCCTGGCTTACACTCGTCGGCATCAGTTCCGCAGACACCTACGCATAGGAGCCGTGGTAGTCTTGCGAGTAATACTTATATCGAAGTAGCAGCGAGTCCGCGTCGAACAGCTGCTGTCGAACGAGAACGAGAGGGAGCACTATACAGGCCCCGGAGTAGGGATGGGCCAACAGGTATCCCCCGACGTGTCAGCGGCGAATTTGTATCTGCAAAGAGTCGGCTCCCTCGGACTTCGCTGGCTACGTCGAGTAGCTCCAGATCAGCCATTGGGATCAGTGCCAACGGCAACAGTCCAGCCCTCAGCTCCCGCAGCGATATTACTATGAGTGCCCGAAGCGATAGCAGCTTGAGCAATAAGGAGAACGTAGGCCGCGCGCCGAGCAGTCGCGATGGACTCAGAAGCAGAGATGGGTTGAGCAGTAGAGATGGATTGAGTAGTAGAGACGGGCTCGGCAGTAGAGATGGCAGCATGGCATCTCCAGGGTTACCGGAGGTAGCAGAACGAGTGGGCATAAGTAAGAGACGGAGTCGAATGCCTGGAGAGCCCAAATGGACATGACGAATTAAGAGGCAACGACGGGATGGAGATGAGAGATGAGAGATGAGCGGAATGCATGAAGAGCACGATATGATACTTCAGGGGCTGTACATGATAGACATGAGAATGGACAAAGACGCAGTGAAACTGCGATTGCATGAGAAACAAACAAACAAGAGAAAAGACCATAAATAAATGAAAGAAGAGATCATGAAGCAATTCACTTTGTCAATACTACCCTACCCACTCATTTTCATTTTGTTCATTCCTATTCCGCTCCTGCTTCCAAATATCCACACAACCTCAACACCACAACGCAACCTCACGATATCCCAACACAGCCAGAGAAAAGATATCACATTATCATTAGAAACAGCAAAAAATGAATCTGGAGGGCTGTTGGGATTGCTCCCGCCAGGGCTTGAACCTGAGACCTTCGCATTACCGAACACTCGGATTGAGGTATTAGTACGACGCTCTAACCAACTGAGCTACGGAAGCCGTCCAGATGTGATTGTTGAAGGGCGATGTGGGATTGGGGAACTTGAACCAATCGAGAATAAGCGAGAGAAAGAAGAGATGAAATCACGACTGCTCATCATAAAGTATCCTAAACTTATGAAGAGTTTGACAAATGCTTAGGTTAAATGTGAGGAGTTTAGACCAGGATTCCTTGGACTCATCTCTGAAGATGTGTCATATGATGGATATAATCACCATGTGCCTGTTACACGAATGGTTGGCGTTTTGTATCACAAAGACATGTCGATATATGAAAACAAATATCAAGTGGCTTTCAAATTGTGATTGTGCCATTGTAAAACTAATCTATGAATATGCCTATCCCTTGCCAGTTGATATATCGGTCCATGATAGCATACCAGGTCTCCTGACTGCATATGTACCCCTCGACGTCAAAAGAACCCAGTCTCCTAGGACCTGGGCCATGACCAGCAGGGAAAAGACAGCATGTGGTACCTTAACGAATGCAAGAAAGCAAATGTCAAATTTGCCGAAACAATGTCCCCGTGGGAACGCCGGCCGTAAATCACATCAGGGGCTGGCTGATTGCCTCACAGAGGCCACCAGTCCAGACTTTGTTCCCCGGTGATGGTTTCTCATCCTCATTGGTATAAAGATTCCTCATCAAACCCCCCAAATAACCCATTCGTTCATCTAGGCTGAGACAAGATTATCCCCGGGCAATCCCCCCCCAATGTCGTGATGAAGAAGAAGAAAAGTCTGAAGGAGAGACTGTGAAGTGAATTATAAAACTTCTGTAATGGTAAAATTCGCGGAAATAGATAAGGAAACCGTGTTTCATCCACCCCATGCAGATGGTAACAGGACTCCCAACGTGATCAGAAAAAGACTAAACGACAACCATCAAAATGCAGTCCGCCAGTCCAAGCAGTCGTGTGAACAGAAAGAAAAAGTCCGGGCGCGTTAAATCGTGACAGTGATAAGGGCTCAAGCCGAAGCGTCACCTTTTAAGCAGCGGGAGTGCTCTTGGTGAGCACCAGTCTAGGTGCCTTGCGCTGGCTATCAGCCGAGTCTTGTGCCTTGGCGGCTCGCAGAGCGCCGTTCTTAAACACATTGGCAAAAGAGCTGTTCTCACTCTCCGTGTTTGAGGCAACACTCTCCACGCTGTCCACACTCTTGCGAGCCTTCTGTCGTGAGCTGGGACGATCAGAGCCAATAGCTCCCCAGCTTCCACTAGCAGAAGTGCGCGAGCTAGGGCACTCCATATCACCAGCCAGGCTACCGGATCCACTGCGGCCGGAATCGGACTCGTTATCGGTAATAGGTGTCGAAGACTCCTCGGCAGTCTCGGAAACGGGGCTCATGCTGCCGCAAGAACTACCAGTTCCCTTGCGACGCTCAAGGCCGGCACGAACAAGGTTGTGCACAGCAGAACGACGAGTGCGAGCAGAGAAGTTTTTGCTTCCCTCGTGCTTAGCGGTGGGCTTAGCCTTAAGCTCGTCCAGAGAAGGAGGTCCACGGGGCTGACGGATAGGATGTTCTCCAGCACGGGCCTGACCAGGTCCGTATCCACCAGTCAGGGGGGTGATAGGGAAAGTAGAAGTTTTGGGTCCGGCAGACTTAGGAGCGTCAGAAGACAAAGAAGCAGCCAGAGCACTGTTGACGGGAGCCAGAGATGAGGCCTTCTTATGTCCACGACGGAAAGCATTAGCAGAGGGAGGAGGAAGAGGGGCAACCTCAGTGGGGGACTCGTAACGCTTGGGAGGCGAGTTGCTGCGGAACGAGAAAGGCTGAGACTCAACAGGAGGAGAAACCTGCACTGAGGGTGTGTTCTGCTGGTGGTGGAAGCCGCCAAAGCCAGGGGTCGAAGGCTGCTCGTTGTAAGGCGAGGTGACCTGAACAGAAGGCTGAGGGTCTCCAACGAAATACTGGCCAGTCATGGGGTTGTAGTAAATCTGCTGCTGCTGTTGAGCCTGCTGCTGAGCTTGTTGCTGTTGAGCCTGCTGGGTAAGAGCAGCCTGAACATTAAGCTGTTGCTGCATGTTCTGGAGCTGCTGCTGCTGCTCATACAGAGCAATCTGCTGTTGTGTGAATTGAGAGTTGTTCAGGTTCAGCTGTTGAAATTGCTGAGCAGCTGCCTGGACATTCCTAAGCTGCTGCTGAAGGCGCTGCTGCTGCTGAGCCAGGTACATGTTGGTAGCAAGAAGCTGGGCATACAGGCCGGGATCCTCCTGATTCTGCTCATCCATGGGGAGCTCAGGGGGCGCCAAAACCTGTTCAACGGTGTAATGTTGGCCTACCATTGAGTTGTAGTTGTTCTGAGCAGCGTATTGGGGGTAGGCCGTCTTGGGGGCGTTGTAGGTGTTGTCCTGGCCCATGCCATAGGCATTTCCAGCCATGGAGTTCCGGGCATACTGCTGCGTGGGACCGGCAGTCGTGGGTGATTGAGGGCCGAAGGACGCAGCAGTAGCGGACTTGGGGGCCGTTCTGAGACCAGCAAGGAGATGGGAACGGCTGGTGCGAGGGGTGGGAGCACCAGGGTCCTTGTCCTTTGTCTGGTTGATGAGTTCAACCGAGAGAGGTTTGGGGTTTTGGCCGCCGCGGCGGGCAGCAAGGCCACCAGTGGGCATGGAGAGGCCGTTAGCGAAACCGTTGGAAGACATTTTGAGCGAGACCGCCTGCGTCCTTGGCTCAAAGCGGGATTCGTAGATCTAAAGATTTGAGAGATAAGAAAAATAGACAGAGAACGTGGTTCGACTAATTCTTGCGTTCAAGAAAGTAGCCGGTCGGATTAGAAGGTAGCGTTTGTATAAATCAAGCCGAACAAATTAAGCGATGTGGGTATATCGATAAAATCGACAAAATATTGGATTCCGATGAATTGTCGATGCAGAACGTATGCCGAGGAAGCGTCGCGAGAAGCCAAAAGAGGCAAATCCAAGAAGCCGGGCGTATCGAACAGAAGAAAGTCGACAGTGTCAAATGACGAGTCGAAAGCTTGTCAAAGATTAAATCCAGAGTAGTCGATAGAGTAAACAAGTGAAAATTGATGAATGAAAGGGCGATGCGAATACGTGATCAGTGAAAAGATATCGAAATGTCGAGCGGTAGATCCCTCAGCGAAGAGTTGTTGAAAAGGATCGAGGGAAGCAAGCTTCAACAGAGGTTGAGTACTTGCTCAGACCGTGATCAGGTGACAAAAGGGCCAGGGAATGTGGTCGATTTCAAGTTTATTCACACTCAAGCGGCGAGTCGGGTGATTAACACACGACCTGAAACGCGAGCACCAGCTGGTTGTTGTCTTTCCAAGACAGTTCAGCAGACAACGTCCTCCAAACGATGCCTATCCAGATGTGAATGGTCCAGGTGTTGCCTTCTATCGAAGCCTCGTCGTGTGGGATTTTGATAAAACTTTTTGATGTTTTCGATTATTCTGAGTGGAAATTCTGTTCGCAGTCTGATTTCGATGACGGTGTGTCGAGATTAAGCTGTGGTGGTGATGATGATGTATCCGAATACCAAAGGCGGAATAGGCGATAAGGCAAAGAATCGACAAAAGAATAATACAGAGATTAAAATGGGAGTTTTCAGGTATCAATCACCAGTAGATGGATGCGCCTTCCAGAGCCTCAAAGTTTGGTCTTGTTCCTACAAATTTCCGTGGTGTCGTTGTGGTTTTTCTTTTCTCTTTGTGGTGTGCAAAGCGGGCAAACGGACGGATGGACGAGAGCGAATGCGTGCGGTAAATTGAGTGAGAATGGAGTTGACTTGTCTCGCAAACGCGGAAGCGTAAAGCTTTCTTTGAGGAATTGCGATGCAGCCGAAACGACGCGGGAAAGAGGGAGGAGGGAAAGAGGAGAGAGATGGAAATGAAGGAAGGGCGCAAAATAGTAGGCGAAGGGGAGAGGAAGGAAGGAGGAAAAAAGGAAGTAAGTGGTGGAGTTTAAGTCTAACACGGATACTAGAGGAGAGGAAGGAAGGAAGGAGTGGAGAATGGAGAGGATGAGCGAGTGTCAAATGGAGAACGAGCAAGAGTGAGAAATGTGGAGACTACAGAAGCCCTTTGCTTGGCGGGCGGGTGTGCTTGGGCGTGCTGGGGAAAGGAAGGAACGGAGGCGATACTGTATGCTCACTGTGCGATGACCCGATGAAGCCTGCCACGATACAGTAGATCTTTAGGGACCTACTGTACTCCGTAGGTGTGCCTTCCCACCGCCATGAGCGACGTTCGTTTCAAAGACTGTGAATGGACAGAAAGCATACAGTGCATCACACGCAGATTAGAGGCCATCTTAGCCAGTGAGAATACGTGCCAGCCCCTTGGGCCAATTTTGGATATTCCCTATTCCATCATTTCTCTCCCTCCATCTCCAGAGTCGACACGACGGTAGAGGCGCCCGGTAGCAGTCTAAACGATGCTGTTGGATGGATGGAATGAAAGCTACAGGGCTAAGGCACGTTCACTTAGCGGCCAACGCGCTACTGAGAGCCCAGTTGCTCACTAACAAGCCAGGCAAGGGGGCCATGGCCTGTATCGACAGTGCCTGAACACAGTACGAGATCGATCACCTCATTTATGCCTGGGGAACATGGATTTCTTCTTGATGCTCGCACGCTCGGTTGAGTTAATCCATGTATTTGGTTTCGGGCACTGACTCACAAAAAGATATATTGATGACGAAGTTGACCCCATCAAACGTTTGTTCGCAGGGGACGATGTTAGGGTACGTATGCACACAAAAGCAAGATTATTTTTAATACGAATAACTAAACGGAGCAGCTCATTTGAAATACCAAAAAGGAAAGCTTCGACAGAAGGCAAAACCTCCCACCTTCTGGTGGTGGCCAATTGTGGCTCGAAATAACACCTGAAGATACTAACTTGGTCGCGCAGTAGTCTCTGACGAGATAGCGCGTGACAATCCAGTAAGGACCTGAGAAGGACCTCCTTCTGGTGGGTAGGACTGGACAGCTCATCCACAAAGACGCCCCCCTGGAGCTTACATGCAAGTGACAAGGGGTCCTCGAAGACTCATCATCTCCAATCAGAGGAGGCTGCGGGCGCCGCGACCGACATGAGGCAGCCTCCAAGGGGTAGATGACAGGGGGATACAGTCTCAAGGCGGCGTTTTGGCGTCTGATGCCGCCAATCATACGAGGCCTTTCAGGGGATTGAAGCATCGGATGTGATGGGACAATGGATCCTTGCCGCTTTTCGTAACGGCCTGATCGGCATCCATCCATTCTTTCCAAGGGCCAGTCTCGTTGAAGCTGTGCCTCTTTCTTGGTTTGATTGTTGCTATATCTGGCTGACAAGATCAAAGAGATCACGACACGTTGATGGAGGATTCGTGAATTGTCACGATAGCATACAGACACGCACGCACGCAGAAAGGTCTGAGCGTCACTTCTTTACTCCATAAACGAAATATTATAGGAAGCGAGACACCGGAGATGACAACAGCCACAGGTTGATATATTCAGCGCTTTGAGGAATGAACCGGGTCCCGAGGAACACAATCGTCAAATAGCCAAGAAGGAGTGCCAGACTGCCAGTCGCAATTAAGAATCCCGGTGAGCGACAGGGAAATACCTGGCGCGTTGGGAATCTCTTTCCTGTCAGTGTCAACATCAATGTCAAATTCAAACCCTGTCACGGATCGCCCGCAGTGGGCTTCGTCCATGCAAAGCATGTCTGCTTGCTTTTGTCGTCATGCCCGGACTCATCCAACAGGGCGGTTGTTGTTGTTTATCGTGGCTTTGCTTATAGCACGGTCTTGTTATTCTTTGACGCCTGCCTCAGCTTGCCCAGAGCCCGTATCTCGCAGGCAGTCGTTCTACCGGAGTGACCGTTAGCCCTGCCCTAGCACCGACAGCTGCTGCTCAATTCATCCCAACAGCACAGCACAGGGCCTCGGCCACCTATACCTGAATCTTGGGGAACGGACCATCCCGTCTTGCTTGAAAAAGCATAAACATGAGTATCAGTGTTGTAGCACATCCGTTCTCCTTGTTTGGGCTATCAGTTCGGCAGCTTTATGCCCATCGTGGTCAACAACGCCCGAGGCCCCTTGTCGGTGTCCAACTCGATTCGTATTTTCCCCACGTCTCGAGATGTTTCATCACCGCAGAACTCCTTGTCCATTTCCCATTTCGATCCATCGTCCTGCCCTACCTTACCCTGTCCACTTTGGGGGCTAAGTTCGATGCTAGGCCCAGCACTAAGAAGACCCTGGCTCAACGCGACACGTGCCTTGAAAAGGTGACGCGCTGCCTATTTCTCAGACGAACCGAGGTGATGGATTTTTTGTTTATTTGCTACTAAATTAGTATCTGCATCTTCAGCGGATGCAAGTATTTGTTTTTGTTATGAATAGCTCAGTGGCTTTCCCCCTTGTTTCTTCATTCTGGTCGAGCTGCAGCTTGAGAGACATGGCGCAAGTTTTGGAATGAGCTTTGACGCACCGTGGACTGGAACCTTGTCTTGAGCCATTGAGAAACGAAACACTACGGCACCGTAGCCACCAAATAAGTCGATGGGACAAGCGAGGGTACTGCCTGCAGCCTGTCCAAACGCAGGTACATGCAACCGTACGCACACACACACAAACACACACAAAGAAACTTTCGGGTTTGTGTCAGTGTAGGTTAACTTGAACCCTAATGCGATACGTGGTCGTGTTCGTCTCATTCTATGCAGGGGCTTTGATGATAGGAGACAGCTTGCAAGACGCGATCACGAACAAGACAACATAACCCAAAAACGAACTAGGTTATTTACCCGCTCCATGTCTTGAGCCCTAGCTGGGTTTACCAGAGACATAGACATGTTTTGATCTCCCTTATTCTACACGGGGAGATACCGAAACCCATCCGTCATTCTTCACTGGCGCCGATACGGGCATGTGTGTTGGTTCTGTGTTGTTTCAGTGGTATAAGCTGTTGGCTAAACATGCAGTTTTGAGCTACAGGCTACCGTCCGTTCTCTTGGTTCTCTGCATATTTTTGACAAATACCATGCTCTTACCATGTATCTAGTATGCATATTGGCGCCTGAGCGCAACCAACACTGGCTTCAACCATAATGTTTTCGTCTCTCAACCCACATCACGAACCATTCATTTATTGCCGCATATGCATCTCCTCATCCTCGCGCTTACTTGCAGACCTCCTTCTTCGTACAGTACAATTTTTCAATTGTACAGTATTTCTTGCAGATCGCGTCTAACAACCAATATCATAAGCTTCCAGCCGCCCTTTACGCGGTTGCCAACGGCGCAGCACCAATAAATCACCATGAGACGCAAGAAGCACAACATCACAATGTGCAACCGCATGCAGATATGCAGCCATCATGTAAAGCTCACGGCGCTTACAAAAGGGGCTCATGCACTGTTTACATACCGTATGTAGTATTTAGCGTGAAGTGCGTGTAACCGAAGGCCTAGAGCTTTTGCTTGCTGTGATTTGCTTGTCTGAGACCTTGCAGCCGCCGTCGCGGTTATGCCCGAGTAGTCGAATCGATAGCGTAGAAGCTATTGAATTAACCCAATTATTTTCATAATTAGAGGGGCAATCTTTAATTGCAAGAGTTAATTATGCTTTTGACCGTTGAGTTGGTAAAATTACTCCGTCGTCTCTTCTGATCCCCTCCAAGGTCAGTTGCGGCACATCCCGAGTCAATCAACCTACCCTGCATCAGGATGACTTTAAGTCCGCGATGTGTCACGACTTCAACATAAAATTTTATTGGAAATCTTATTAAGTCCAAATTACCAATTCTCTTTCGACTCTGTGACATTACCTGCTTCGCATTACTCGTACGTCGACGACTTGTAATAGTTCTGTCGTAACTGCACCAGACACATGCAAGTTCCATATCCCTAGTAAACTCTGTATAATTTGACAAGGAGCCTCACTCGGCAGATCGGATTGACACGTTGTCACAAGTCAAACTTTTGTGAACTAGTACTTCAATCAAACAAAGCGGATACCGGCAGTTCGGTAAAGTTTAGACCAGATCGTCGGGTATGTCTTTAGATGTGAATGAGATGAGTTTCGACTGGTCTTCCCGTGGCTGGGTTCGTGGGAGGTTGAGAAGCTATCGAGAGCGCTTGAGAAATATGTGACCAAGGAATGTGAACGATTCTGCTGGAAAATTCCGAGTTTCGACAAGGTCATGACTATTATTCTGTGTTGTCGTGAACTCTATACTTGGCCATGACCTATCTGGAAGTGGGGTCGATGAGCTTCGTCTATCACCTCAACCACATGGTGGGACTCAGGATCTTGATACAAAGACGTCCAGTAGTTCGCCATGTACCAATATTGAGTTTTGATTGTCCTTAAGATTGTGATAGACTCGGCAAGTAACTCTGTGATGTGACATATCAAACCAGCGGACTGACATGCAACACTGGAAGCTCAACGACATCATTGTGATGTATAGCTCACTTGAGGCCGAAATATACAGAAATAAAGTACTCAAGTGGAAATGGGGTTGCACTTTTGTAAGAGTTGTGTCTTGGGCGAACATGGACTTAGTTCACATCGGCAATTGAAGTTACCATAAGCTCGGCATATACCCTATATATATTGTAAAGCCCCAACTATCCATCTTATGAAGCAGCATATGTTCACCAGAGTATCGTTCAGCCTTTTGCAAGATATGTTCTGGAGCGTCGCTGAACCTTTGACGATTCCAACGATGTTGCTTGAGAAAGATCATCCAGAGTCTAGAAGATACTCACACCACCAGTTATTAGAATGATTAGAAAGTGTACAGATGGACGAAATGGAGAGAACTGTAAGATGAAACCGTTGAGAAGGGGTTTGTTATCTGTAAATTTGAAAGATCAACGGGGACTCGTCATAATAGCTTATAGCAACATGACGATCTCAGCCTGGGATCTCAGGGACTACATTCTGACCAGATAAGGAAGAAGCCATAAATTAAAACGAGAACCTCGTTTGATGAGTGGGATAATTGAGTAAGTGGCCATCTTTAAAAACCAACATATTCATGGTTGGCTACCAACGGGCTATCACTGTTGTGTTGTTGAGTTTGAGGAGACAAGTTCAACACAGTCATGCTATTAGGCTCAGAAGTATATACCTCTTCGAGCGAGGTAACTAAGCTTAGAGAGCGAAGTAATGTGAAGTGAATGTGTAGCATCGAGCAGAACGTTGGTGTGGGATAATGGCCAGCATCGAACCGGCATGATGGCCACTAGAAAGGATTTCGTTGATACAAGGATTCCCATAGAATGAGAAACACGTGACAACTAAAGTTCTCTTCAATACATAGTTTGTATCTATACCTACTAGAATGTAGTGACCATGTCTAGTCACCTCATACTGGCTCGCTTGCTCTTAGATAGCTAACCCCCAGTTCAGCCCTAGGCCGCCAAGCATGACTAGAACCTTGGCGAGATCGACCTTGGCCATTTCAAGTTCCATCTTGAACTGGACAATAAACAAGTAACCCTCCCTCATCTAGCTGCAAACTCTTCAACGATGACGACAAGTATACGAATGACTTGATGTGATATACACTAGGAAGAGGATGCTAAGTTCCCGGTTCGCTGTCCCTGCTCATCACCACGTGGCTTGCTATCAAGGTACTAATCAAGTCATATCATAAACTCCGTATCAACTCGGACCGAACCTTGGTCGACGGAGAGAGATGAATCCTGCAGAACCTCAAAAAGATGCACTACAACGCACACTAAACAGATACACAAACCTCAATACCTCTGAACCAATAAGGTCCTCTCACAAAACAGGGAAAGGAACACAAAGCGGCCATATGTAATGTATACAAGCTGCAAGTTGTCAGTGACACCACATCCATGCTCAACCTCTCACGACATCCCCCAATGACACTTGCCCCTTCGAATCTGCAAACACCTAAAGCATACACGCTAGAAGCATCCAAAAGGGGCATCATCTTTCGACCATCCTAGTCATCCACTTACAAAGCCAGGCCAAATCTGCGACCATATCAAAAAAGTGTTTCAATATCCCAGGCCCTATAACATATGCAGATGCACGAAACACGTCATGCGGACATGTTGCAAAAGTCCCACAGCCGGAATTTGTTATAAACCTTTCTATCTTAGCCCAAGCGTATCTCTCCCCACAAAAGCCACCAGCACGGGGGAAATAGTCTGTTCTTGTTTCTGACAGAACTAACTACGTAGACTAGGACTGAGACTTCATCTGATCGTATCCCGTACCTAGCTCTCACTCCATGTGACAACTCAATCTCTCGATATCAGCCCTTTAAACCCCCTCTTCTCACGAGCACATGTCCTACCCCCCCCGTGATCACCCGCTCGCCGCACACGACCCTCGAGATAATGTCCTCGCGTCTGACGTGAGATCTCTAAATTCTTCCCAGCCGCCTTTATACTCGCCTATCCCAAGCAGAACGAAGCCCCCCTATTCCCTCAATAGCTTACTCTGCGGGAGTATTATAGGCCAAGAGAACTCGGCACACATCGCCGATCATACACCCAAGGTAAGCTTAAGGGCGGGCGGGTAATCACCTGAACTCGGTGAAAGGTGTATAAGTCGTTGGTTTGATCTTCGGCCCTAGACCTGCATAGGCTGTATGACGCGCGGGTGCTCCGCTCCCGCATGAGGCTTTGCAACAGTGTTTAGTCTTTGGTGATCTTCTAGGTTGTTTCTGCATTTGGTGATCCATTCGGGCATCGGGTATCTTCACTGGGATATGTCCGGGGCTTAGTCCTACGATAAGCACTTGCAAGGTATGGACTTTGGCAGACTCCTCTGTAAGGCTGACGAGAGCTTCATGGTACAAAACTCGTGATATGTCCTCGAGGCTGCTTACATTCACAAGGAGTTGAAGACGTGTTCGAACAGCGACCCGAGCAGTCCGAGTTAAAGTCTCCATCAATTATGGGGCTTTGTTGAAGGTATTCGCGAGTGGCTTGGGGGATGAGATCAATGTGGGGCTTTGCATGTGTAGATAGATGTTGAAAAGGATTGAGTGATCATGCTACGATGTCTATGTCTGGCAGAGAAAACAAGAGTAAGACAAAATTGAGAAAAAACAGGTCATTATATCATCATGAGCCAAGATCTAAACCTCGACATAAAAAACTTTATGAAATACATATTCAGTTCCATGCGCCCTTAGCCTAATAGCCAATAAAGTAGATGAGTACCTTAAGGGGTATATTATACTGAGCAGTGCAAAACAAATATCCAGCCCAAATCCAAAATCAAAACAAGTGAGACATTGCGTCGCTTCAAAACAACGGCGCAGGCCGTGGATCATTGAAGTAAGACAGAAGAAAAGGAAATTTTGCCCAGAAGCGCAGTTGTTGCACCACGTCCACCTCTAACATAAGTCGTAAACGGTCGTTACACATGGACCCCTATGCCGGACCAAAAGTACCAATTATGTTCGGTCAGAAAAGTCAACTGACAGTAGTACACATGGTCATTACGAAACTGCCAACCCGTCATCGCATCTCCTCAGGCCGGACCGTTGCTCCATAGAAACCGCCCCCGTGGTTGCCACCGGAGGCCGCACACGCAAGGCAGACACCGCCGCCATAGACACGCGTATGTCTCGTCCATCCGGCGCCTTCGGAGTCGAGAACACCAATAATCTCGCCCTGGACGCCGATCTCCACGGTTCCTGCGTTTGGTGGGGCCGGTGGAAGCAACGGGCTTGCAGGTGGGTAGGAACTGGGCGAAAAGGTGAGATCGGCAGCATCCGACATCCCTTGGGATGACTGAGACACGGGCACTCCGATAGGAAGAGTCTTGTTGTAAGAGCGCCGGCGGGTGACCGAGGTTGATGCTGAGTTGTCAGGCAGAACAGCGTTGGCTGTCGACGACATGTAATCGGGGTTAGGCTGACGAATAAAACTATCCTCGCCTGGTCGTGGGCGGTCATCAAAAGTGAAGACGGCAGTGCTCAGCTCAGGCGGCGTCAGAGGTGGTGCAGGAGGTGGTCGCGACATGACATGTTTGGACATGAAATTGTCTGTACTCTGCCAGTTGGGGTCGATGGCCAGTTTCTTGTCTGTTTGCTTGGCGTGCAACATATTTTCAGGGGCCATATCCTCCTGGTTAGCAGGCGGTGTCATAGTCTTCTCGTTCATAGCCCAAAAGGGTTGCGACTGAAGTCGTCGAGTATGCGACAACGATGAGATGGGTAGGGTTTGCTGATCCAAGCCGCGCATCTGTCGCAACCATAGGTAGAGTCGCAAAACGCAAAAGCGTGCGATGACAACAACTGCAAAGATTGCGAGGCCAGCTTGAAGAGTCTGAAAGGAGGAAGACGACTTGTTCAAGTAGTTGCTGTGAGTTGACGTTGAGGTGGTGGTGTCAGGTGTAAGTTGTGTTACACCTCGATTAGTTACGGGCATGGTGCGTCGTTTATGTCAGTGATTGATTGATATGTTCGCGGAAACTTAATTTTGGCGCCGTCGGTCACTTTGCGGGGCCAAAGGTCACTCTACTTTCTGCGGTCAGACGGTGACTTTCTGGGGGTATGCTTGCCCGTTGCGTTGACAATCCTCGTCTGGGTTGGCTGGGCGGAGTCGACTCTGTAGACAAGAAGGCTGGGCTGGGCTGAATAGACAGGGTTGTTGGTCGTGAATCCGGTCGATCCAAGGCTATGCTTCAAACACCCGCGTTTAAGGGAGCTTTGTCAGAAAGAGAAAACGAGGTATGTTCGTTTGGAGAAAAGGGCGCCTGAGTAAGCCTTGTGTGTCTCCAGACTTTGGTGGTGGCTTGTATCAGATAGATTATCTGGTTGATGACTCGATCACGAAATAACTCCCGTCGCAAATCTCAACGCTCAGTATTGCTGGAGCCGATTATATCGACTTGTACCAGAGGATCGTCGTCGGGTTATTTCCCAGCAATACGAATATGGTATGGCCTGTTGGTTGTCTTGGATCACCAAAGCGATGCTTGAGTCGTGATTGAGTAGATAGGGCGTAGCGTGAAGCCTGTTATATGAGATGCATATAAGAGAAGTCAAAGGATCAAAGTGCAAAAGCAATACCGACTATCTGAGTAAGGTTACCTAGCTGGGGGTACTGAGTCTTATATGATGGTTGTTCATGAACTGATGGAAACTCTCGAGTAAGGTCAATGTAGCAAGCCAAGCCAAGAGCATCACTTGATGAACTTCGGGCCAAATGTCGAAGGATAGCACGACACCCCCCTTCGACCACACCCTGCAATTCGAGGGTCTGGGCTAGGAATATGGAGAAAATACATGGATTCTCTTTGTAGAGGAGCGGAAAGAAATGCTTCAGACAGCCTCTTTCGAAGGGGCTACTAATCAAGACTAGCTGTGGCTTCTGTCCCGGGACGTGGGTACGACGTTTGACTTGTAGGGGTGGCTTTGACAAGTGGAGTATTGATTTCTGGAGGCGTTGGAAGGATTTGAAAATGACCGAATAAGTGTGGCTCTGGCTAAGGTTGCCCGAGTTCTAAGAAGTTGTCACTGAAGAGACTTCGACAAGAGCTGCCAGTGGGACGAGTCTTTTGTCGATCGTTCCTTGCGACATTTTTGGCATGATCTCATGTGTAATTCAAAAATGACTGGGGTTTTCATGATGAAACATTAATCGGGGGCAGGGAATGAGATCCTAGAAGCAAGCGTGAGATTGCAATGTCATCGCAAGCTGAGCCGGGCTGGATCGTCTCAACCAAAGTTGATCAAGGGAACTCGATGAACCGCGTGCTCGAAAAAGTCTCCAACCATCAAGTTGCAGCTGGCCATGGGGTCATCGAATAAAGTCAGAGCAAATTGGTTAATGGGTCGTACCAGACCCCTAGGGCGTGCTGTAAGAGTCGTTTGCTGCAGTCTGCACAAGATTGGCATCCCTGTTTTCAGCCCGAGATTTTCAAAGAAGGCGTCAGAGGCACAAAAGTCGCTTGGCCAAGCCGGGCGTCCCTGGGCCATGATGCCCCACGATCGCACTGCAATCTGCTTCGAGCCCCCAGGGCCCGAACCCTACAGATTAGTTTACTGACCAAACCCAAATCTGACCAGTTTGGTGAGGGAGTGACGCCAGAAGTTGGGCTAAATTGAGCATTTCAGCTGAGGTGAGCCCTACTTGTAGCAACGCCATGGGCTAGAGACAGACCCTTGTCGCGAGCTTGTTCCAGACCAGGGATGTGTCTAAGCGGCTATTGGTCAAGCTAGATGGGACGATGTCGAGCCTTTGGCCTTTTGGGCAAGACAAGGCTACGTTAGTGGCATGGGAATCGGGCAAGTCTCAGGCCTCTGTAGAGAAGGAATCCGTACTGCATCTATCGAACCGTTTTCGAACGATCTAAGGCGGCAACAATTGGCTTGGTCTGACACGTACTGTATTGGCGCACGGGATCGACGAAAGTGCTCACATCGCGATAGGGTTTCTAAAGAAGCCCTGCGAATCTGGATCGTCAGGCTGAGCGGTGTGGTACTTTTTTTCAATACTGGTGTAATGGCGTCGACTATGTCCCTGCATGAGGCGCTTCCAATGCAACCTTGAACAAGCGATATCCGTAGAGTAGTAGTAACGGTCGCGGTCATAAAGGTTATCAGGAATCCTTCTGCTTATTGCACAATTACCCTGTCCAGTGTCAGTGTAGGGCGCTTGACGAAACTGGTCTCTCCCCAAGGAGAGACAAGCGAGCCCGCCTCCGCGTACTGTAATCAATACTCTAGCCAGCCAAGCCCATTGGAAGTCATCACAAGAGCATCAATGGCGGGGCTATTGTCATTATTCGATTGCCTCTGCATTCGGTGGAAAAGGCGTAAGTGATATTGCATGTGGAGCTAACCACGATGGTTGCCATGAACTTTTGTTAGGCCGGAAGAGTATATGCAACTCGAATTCCTTTTGACTGGTGAAGCGCCTCATCATGGGTTTCTGCGTCATTTCGGGGGTTGCTTTGAAGGCTGAAGGGGTCTCGTATTGTGGAATCTGTTGGTTTGATAGGTTTGTTAGTTCGATTATGCCTATGCTGAGTGATGATTAATGAGCATTTCTGCCCGATTTGATGCATCAAAAGACGTGTCGCGTGGCTGTATACCACCCATGCCACGCAGAGATCGATGCCTGCCGCTGTACATGACACGGCACGACGCGGGACAGCATGTCATTGCAGCTGGAAGTGCTTGCTTCCGAACTAGAATGTTCGGTTTTTGTCAATGCATCCATCGATAGATATTCCCGTCCAACCGATATCGTTGCTCTGTGGTGGATGCTCTGCTCTTGGGGATCGTCCAGTGCAGTCTCGATTGTGACACTGGAAAGAACAGACTCAGCTGAAACGATGGGATTACGACACGTGATTGGATACAAAAATGAAAGGAATGGGGGGCGCCTTCCCTTGTTTGGCGCCGGGCTTGCAAGGGGCGCCTGAAACTTGACGTTCACACCCAACCACGGAAGGAAGGAGACACTCAGATCCAACATCCCACATTGTACCAAGTTAAAGGATGCCGCTTAGATCTTTCTTTATCGAAAAACTCAACCAAAGACGTGACTCGGTTCGTCAATGTATTGCATGATGCATGATGCATCTGTACTATTATGACAAGGATTCGCAACTATGATATCGCCGCGCATTATTGCCAAGCGTCTCATTGCATTGCAACGCGGCGGTTGGTTGTGTCCGTCTCCGAATGCCCTCTCTCAACTCAGCTAGGTTCTAACATTCAGTTGAAGCAGTTCGAACCATGTTTGATTATTTGCAAGGCCGGACGGGCCATCGCATACTAGTTCATGACATCAAACAAGCCACACAGACGCGTGGTTCAGGTTGACCGTCAATATAACATCGACGACAACAATTTATCAGTCTCGGTCCAAGCCAATGTCTCTCCTTTCCCCTGCTGGCGCTGTAGACCTTCTCCAGCGTTTCGGTAGCCAATCATAGGCTAAGGATCGGCGACGGCGGTAACCTTGCCCAGCTGGAATCACTGTCAATACGATGGGGTCTGGGCTTTTGTCAAGGGCCGAGGCAGTGAACTGTCAGTTGCCATTAAAGAAAGTCGCGGGTAAATCGCTAACAATAAATTTTATTCAGGCTCCTTTTATCCTCCGCAGAAACTCGGATTCATCAAATTCCCACCGAGTCAGTCGTGACTACGACATGCACCCACCCCAGGGTAAACCGACTACCCTACTGCCTTCTAGAAGGCAAATTAGGGCGTCTTTTCGTATTGTAGGAGATGCGGCTGCGCCGCATGCAACGCAATCTCTGTCGCAACCAAGGTTTAGACCAAATAAAAAAGGTTGCCCTTGAGGCCAGTGAAAATACGAGGATGAACCCGTCTTTACAAACATTAATAAGACAACCCCGCGCGTTCCGAGAACCCCATTCATCCAAGGGACCTCATGTGCATGCAGGAATCCTACTCTGAATGGGTTTTCAGCCGTGATGGGATCCGTTTCCTACATCATCATGCTTGCTTGGCCATAGTACACATCAAGCAACGATCTTCAGATGCGCATCAGTAGCGTCTTCATTGGGCTGTCTGGGGTGGTGGCTGAGATTTCTAACGTTTTTGATACGATGATTATCGCCTGCGATTTGATCATGACAAGACAAGGGTGTAATGCGAGTTCCATATTTTCTCTACATGTGGGTGGCTGTCTTGCGTTTTCAACAGCATAGTTGTGGCTGTCTTACTGGTGGTGGATGGCAACATACGCCGCATCTCAACACAACGTCGATTTTCGCAATGTGTAACAGCAAGTCTTCCTCTCATACAACCCTGGTCTCGGCAAGTGCCTCTAACAGAAATATCGGCCGCTCTGCAACTTGGATCAGACAGAATCCTTTCCTCCGTGGATCCACGCCGATATTCTGACACGGGGATCCAAACTCCGCCATTTCGTCCTGGCCTGGCTTTGGGACTAACATGAACTAACCACTCACTGGTCAATGTTCAAAAATAGCACCCTGTTCAGCCTTACGAGCCTGTCCCCACCACCTTGGTCAGTATCCTTGTCAACGTCACATTCAAGTCCAGTCAATCCTCGCCAACCCTGTAAAACAAACAAATACTGGCGGAGAACCTCCTACGGATACGGAAAGCTCCTTCAAATCATATCAAGCATCACCGATATATACCTTGTCTAGGACTTTTTTCGAACCAATGCTTCATGCATCCGGGGTATAATACTTGTCTTATTCCACTTCTTGGCCTCGAGTCATCCATCGCCATCGCTCAAATTGCCCCTTTGAGAGTGGGCAAATTGTTGCCTCCAGCCTCGTGTTTCGAGGCCTTGCTGACAAGGAAAAGACTTACACAAGTCTGACTGGCGCAGCACAACAAAAACACTTACGGAGAACGAGCTCGGCGCAATTCGACAGCAACGGATTGCTCGGCCTCATTGATTGCGCAAGATACGCGACGACTCTTGCCACTCTCACAAGTCAATTACTCGCATTCGTGTCCAGTTCCAGATAATTCGGGCGCGTCTAGCAACATCCCAATCATCATCGTCACAAGCAATGGTTTGCGATCAACAATGACATTCGCTCCACCTGATATGCCCAACCATGAACCAGCCATTACATCTCACCGCTTGGCCTAAGCGCGGATCTAACCAACCTCTTGATACCTCATGCCACTAAAACTCGGATATTGAACTTCATCATTGACTCCGCAGCGCCCGATCCTCATGGCCGTTAATTATGCTTATTTCAGAAAAACTCAACCTTGGCTGAATTGAACACTTAGGTTGTGTATCGACTCACATGAATTGATGAACTCACATGATTTAGACTCATGCGGTCAGCCACAGTAGCCGAATTTCTTGCCTAATGAAAAGCAAACAAACCTCAACATCCTTGTACTGGAGAACTGGATGCAAGTACAGCGACTTCGACCAAGATCAGCAAAGCGGGACTATGAGGCTCAACAACAACATACCAGGCATCGAATACCACAGCGTAATTGGTTTAGTGGTAAAATTCTCCGTTGCCATTCGAGCAGCGTCGGGGAGCCCTGGGTTCGATTCCCAGATTACGCATTGCAACGATCACTCTGACGAGTGAACTACCTTTTTGCTGGTTTATGAGAGACGTCTTATGCAAGAGAACCGGAAGAGACTGCCCTACAGAAGAATGCAGGTGCTCTGACTGCCCCGAAATTATCTTCCCATCATAGGATATCGAGTGGTCCTCTTACACATTACGCGAACCATCTGATTCGAGGAAGTTTTGTCCCCAACATATTTCTCTTAGGTGGAAAGAAGAACATGGCTTGCGCATGACCAAGCCTCTTTGAGAATACAACTCACGGATCACCGCTCGTGGACATCAATATCAGCCGCAACATCGGAGCTAGAGCCCCTCTTGTCGGTGCAGTATAGCCAAGTTGAGCAAATCGGTAAGGCACAGAAGCATGAGGCTGGCTGACAAGCCTTGGCGCCATCTTCACAACTTGGAAATTAGTGAGTGCCTCGGTTCCGATAACTTGGAATTTCCCCTCTATCGAATGCCTTGGCGTCAAGCCGTCTCCGGCAGTGCATCTTAGTTTGATTAACTAACTCTGACCGTTGACCCGGTGGTTGGTTCTCAAGTGTCACTGACCGACTTCCCCGGAAAAAGCTAGTTCTGAGTTCAAGAGCAAGTATATTTCATAGGCAACTATCACCTCGCTTGCGCTTAGGTCTATCGTGCAAAATTGCATACACCCATCGCCCGTTCCTTCGTAGAAAGTCTGCTTCTGCTGAATCCTTCCTAAGACTAGTAAAGGATTAACCAAGCCCATAACTTTGCGCGCCCCCAACCAATAAGGATATATATAAGTACCTTCGTCAAAACAAAAGAAAGAGAATAAAGGGGCTAGATCCGCAACGGAGAGCCCAATGATGTTCCCTAGATGCCACCTGACAGCTCCATTGGTTCGGGCTCCATAGCGCCAACCATACCATCCTCGTCCCGCTCCTCCTCCATCATCTCGATCAAGCTGTCGAGATTCGTGTCCAGGCTCTCGCCCTCCTTCGGGTCGAGACACCTCTTGAGAAGTTTCCTATACTTTTCAATCTTCTCGCCCGTGCCCACCATGCTCAACGCCTCGACATAATCCGTCTCAGCTGTCCGTTGCTCAGCAAGCAATGTGCTTAGTTGGCGGGCGAGACTCAGCCTCTCTTCGTATGACTCTTCCTGCACCCCTCCATCGCCATTGATGCGGCTGAGTTCACTGTCCACTGACCGCTGAACATGTAAGCGGTTTTGGTGTGTGATGAGTGATAGCACCTGATGCTTAGCTAGGTTGGCTTCTTGGTTGTTTTTGGATGCTGCTTCTTCTGATTCTAGCTGCCCCTCAACGTCTGTTATGTTTTGTCGGAGAGCATTTAGATCTGCCTGGGTGTTCGCTAAGATCCGCTTCGCCTCTGCCTCTGCTACATCCTTCTCTCGCCATTCCTCTTCGTAGCTCTTAGCTAGATCCTGGAACTTCTCCATAATCAGGGGTGTGATCCGAGACTGTACAGTGTTTGCTGCGGCAGACTGGAAAGCCACCGGGGGTTGTCGATTCGCCTTCTCGAGCAGTGCGTCCTTGAAAGAAGCATGCCGTTGGGACTCAGGGGCAAAAGGAGACGACGACCGTTGAGGTCCACGATCCTTCTTCGTCGCATTCAAATCCATAATAAGATCCTCTGCCCTGACTCCGTCGTTATTCGTAAGATCCGATGAAGCGTTGCGTCCTAATAATGCCCTTATGCACTTCCTAGCGTTCCGCTGCGCCGCAAGATGCAATGCTGTATTTCCGTCGTTATCTTGAATATCGAGCAATTGCTGGAATGCGCTTGGTTCCAGGGTCTCCTGCAGTTTGTTGAGAATGTTGTCCAAGTAATATCGTGAGCATGATGAGTTGAATACTCTGCCGTTCTTCATAACAGCCGCATGATGTATCACTGTACAGCCCATATTGTCACGAGCATCGAATGTTTCGAATAGCTCCTTCATTACGACGGGAAAGCTCTGCTTCTCGTAACAGTTCGTAAAGTTTACTGAGTGCATGAACGGTGTTTCGCCGCGTATGTTTTTGACAGTGGATGATGCGTTAAATCGCTTTAGTTGTTTGACAACATCAACGTCTCCCATTGCGGACGCCCAGTGAAGCGCCGTATGATCCTCCGCATCGATCGGCCAGTTAGGTTGGAAGTTGGCGGGTGGATCAGGCTTCACTGCTGGTTGATCTGTTTTACTGAGGAGGAAGTAGTCGAGAAGTTCGTCGCCATATAGCGCATGCTGTTGCTCGGTAAGGTCTTGCAAGTTGCTGTCGTCTCTTCTGCGTTTCCGTCCTGTGCCTGGCACTTGGGGCATCTCAAAACGTTCGTCTTCGGCCATGTACGATGCTGATGCCACTGTGAGATTATCTGGTGTATCTTCGTCACCCATTACCGTATCGGGGTCATCGTGAATCACGGGCGCAGGAGCAGGAGGAGGGGGAGGATCTAATAACTGTCAGTGGGACAACCCAGTCTGGTATCAAAGTCGACATACTGTTCCATTTCGGTAGCGGAGGCTTTGACTTTGGTCCCTTGGGTTTACTAGCATGCCTGGGAGCAGGAGGTGGGCTCTCCGCACCAGCGACATATTCGAAGATGGGTCGCAATCGATCGATTACACTGTGCCGTTCTGCCAATGCTTGTCCGCTCTCGAGTGGTATCCAAGTGCCTGTGTAACGGTGTTAGTCGAGAAACGGCGTATTTGAGGAGATGGCGAACCTTGATATTTTCCATAGCCACCTTGAATCTTCTCGTGAACGTCTTTTTGCACATCTCGTTCGAGAATCCTGGTTCGTGCTGGCTTGTCGAATCCAGCAGCCTTCAGAATATGTGTCGCATTGATCCAGTTATCGTGTCTCCTTCGCATCACATGTTCCTTGAGGTCACCACCAAACTGGAATTCGTACACAGGTATCTAGGGAGAATTGATTAGTAAAAGAATTGCATCGATAGTACTGGTGGGGGTGGTAGTATTAGGGGCAAACTCCATCGACGACATCTTATGCTCATGACACTCCATCCACGAGCGAAGCTGTCGAGAAGAATGCACCGATAAAGCCACAGAAATGAGGTCTCAGCATTACTGAAAAAAACTTACACCACTATATACTGCGCTGTAGACGCCAGGTCCAGAAGCAGCAGCAGCTGCTGCATTAGCATTGGCCTTGACCATGTGGGCGGCTAAGATGAAGCAATTCTGGAACCATGCGCGATGGTGATGAGACGAGGGCGGAGAGGATTGATCGGTAGGGTTAGCAGGGCAAGATAGAGCTCGTAATAAGCATCAGCGGCAAAACAGAGGCCGAATTGAACGTTGCAAATGGACTTTGCAGTATCGCCGAAAGCTCTTCCCAAGGTTCAAGTTGCCTAGGTAATATGAGTGCACGTCAAAGACGCGGTCCACGGTTGACAAGACGCGCCTTCACGCGAAGCACTTAAAGTGCTGCTGCCTGAGGCGTTGAATTGGTCCCTCGGGCTCACGTGACCCGAGTACTGCCACGGGGCGTCTCCTGAAGCTGGCAGATTAGTGGGCGAGGCATTGGCCTCGATTGATTGGCAGGGGTACAACAAACAAATACCTAGACAATACCAACCAACACTCGGAACTTTCTTGAAGGACACTTTATGGATACCACGAGCTGCAGACGCACTGTGGGATTCTTTGTCTGTTAGTTAATACTCGAAGTCTCGACGCTATTACTCGCTGTGAGCTCAAAACGACCAAACATTGGGGAGCTCAGAAGGGACCCATATGGTAACAACAAAGAAGTCGGGAACGATATATGATAGCGACAACATACAACACTCAGAGAGATACTCTAAAACCAACACAACATGGCAGACTCTTTACATAATGCGCCTATAGTCCTCGACAACGGATCTGGCACTATTCGAGCTGGTTTTGCAGGAGATGATCTACCAAAATGTTACTTCCCTTCGTGGGTTGGTCGACCAAAGCATCTGAGAGTTCTCGCGGGTGCCCTCGAGGGCGAGGTATTCATAGGACAAAAGGCGTCCACGGAATTGAGAGGGTTACTCAAGATTCGGTATCCCCTCGAGCATGGTATTGTCACCGACTGGGACGATATGGAGAGGATCTGGGAGTATGTTTACGGTGAAGGATTGAAGACTCTCAGCGAAGAGGTTTGTTGCCGAAGAAACTAGCTGTTCAACTGTACTGACATGTTATAGCATCCCGTTCTATTGACAGAACCTCCCTTGAACCCCCGAAGCAATCGCGACACGGCTGCCCAGATCCTCTTCGAGACATTCAACGTCCCCGCACTCCACACATCTATCCAAGCCGTGTTATCACTATATGCCAGTGGCCGAACGACCGGTATTGTTCTCGACTCTGGTGACGGTGTTTCTCATGCTGTACCCGTCTACGAGGGTTTCGCTATGCCTAGCAGTATTCGCCGAATCGACGTGGCAGGCCGAGACGTGACTGAGTACATGCAGACGTTGCTACGGAAGAGTGGTTATGTCTTTCACACGAGTGCTGAGAAGGAAGTCGTGAGGTTGATTAAGGAGAACGTTTCTTATGTTGCTCATGATCCACGGAAAGAGGAAAGGGATTGGGTCGGCGTGAAGCCCAATGAGAGCAGGTTTGCCGAATACGTGCTTCCAGATGGCTTCAAGCTCAAGGTGAGATTCTTTGTTCTCTGCTCAATGTTTGAACAAGCTAACATATTGAAGATTGGCGCAGAACGCTTTAGAGCACCCGAGATTCTCTTTGACCCCGAGATTATCGGCCTCGAATATCCTGGTGTACACCAGATTGTCGTTGATGCTATCAACCGAACAGATCTCGACCTACGAAAATCCCTCTACAGCAACATTGTGCTCTCTGGAGGCAGCACATTGACAAAGGGCTTTGGTGATCGTCTTTTGACAGAGTTGCAAAAACTGGCCGTTAAGGATATGAGAATCAAGATCTTTGCGCCACCAGAGAGAAAGTACTCTACTTGGATTGGAGGCAGTATTCTGGCTGGATTGAGTACTTTCCGAAAGGTCAGTGATGTTATCGTGATTACTTTCATTACTTTACTAACGTGTAACAGATGTGGGTGAGCATTGACGACTGGCATGAGAACCCCGACATTATCCATACCAAGTTCACATAAGAACGGCGTATCCCTGTCACCCTTTGACTTTGCATCTTTGTGATGCAGACCATAACGACGAAACAGTCGGACATGAACATGCCTCAGCTCATCGACCCTGATTTTTCGCCGTCTGGACCTTTATGATCGAGATGACCTTGACCTTTTGTGATCGCAAGCCCTCACAACCCAAACCAACCCCCTTTGACGCGCTGCTGTTGTTGATAGAGCGATGCAGAAGCCTTGCATGGAATGGAAGATTTAGTGCTGTTTGGTGTGTAGAGATACCAGTGCAGTTGTAGACAACCTTTGCCAGATAGAGGAAGCCTAATGATACCCTGATGTGTTGAAAAGTGTTTGTCTCTGTGAAGTTGTAATTTATCAAACAAAGAGTCTTTGAGCATCATGATACAAGTCACAAGGTAAGAAGTAAATGAGTAATAAGTGATGATGCTTTTATAATAGAAGAGAGTTGCGCTCGGGGGTATATAAATCTTCACCAGAACAAACATCATACAGGCAAAGCAAGAGTAGAAGGGCAGTTTCATATCGCCCCTCTCAACTGTCAGTGCCAACCGTACATCCAGGGCATGTCGTTAACCCATTTGCTCTGAGGTCCCCGCCAATATTTTCATCCAAATATCAAATCCCAACAACGCCAATCGCTAATTCATATCTTTTTCGTACAAACACCTCCTGTCGTTCTTTTCTTCTCTTTTGTTTTGTTTGCTTTGTCGTTCAGTCTCGGCTGAAAGTGCTGCTAACACGAGCCCAAAGCTTGGTCTTAGAGCTCATAGAGCTACTGTCACTAGCATCAGAGCCGGCATCGCTATCCTTGCGATGAAACACATTGCCCGCGCCGCCAATGCCGACATGTCCAGCTGCCATTTGGTCACGAGCAGCAATGCGGTCGTACTCGTCGTCAAGAGACACAGAGGGTTGCTCGCTTGCGCGGTGGACGTTGCCCGCTCCACCAATGCCGCTGAAGAAGCGGCGTGACGGGGTAGTAGTTGTGGTTGTGGTTGTGCTGGGGGTCACGACGGTGCGGGTTGAGGATGATGTTGTGTCTTTTGACGCGCGGGAGATGTTGCCGTAACCGCCGCGGCCGGAACGTACGAAGACGTTTGTGGAGGGGGAGGGCTCAGTGAGGATGTAGCTGGGCATTGTGGTTGTGTAAGTGAGGTGGTTGTAGGTTGTGATAGTTTCTCAGTGTTGAGGATGAGAAGAATATATAATTGATTCAATGTCAAGTTGTAGATTGGATTGTCAAGAGTAAGTAGAGCTTGGGGAGAAAAAGAGAGGTTGTCATGATGGGAAGAGCTTGGTAGTTATACCACGACTCAAGCTTATTCAAGGGGGCCACAACACACAACCTTACCTTAGGCAAGGTGACCTACCTTCAGCCAAGCCAAGCCCAAGCCAAACAAACACAGCACAACAACGCAATTCCTGATACTTTTGAGCTCACCCCACAAATGGACCCATGTTTGACTTTTTTCTTCTTCTTTTCTCTCTTGTTCCTTCGCTTCTCCCCGCATTTTAGATCGTCATGTCAATACCCGCCATCCCATAGCCGCCAAACAGGAGACTCATCACCCAACATGTTGATACTCCGCCAGTGTAGCAAGGCGAAAAGTCAGAGCTTTTCTCGTCTCCTGACATTTTTGGGTCAATTACGCTTTGCAGTTAACGGCAACCATTGCTGTGCGTGTGATCTAAGCTGTTCCTTGCCCAGAGAAATGGCGCTGTCACGCGGTCCCCCCAGATTTTACCAAATTTGTTCCTGGATGTCTAGAGTTTTTAGTATGTAAAAATTACCCCATAGAAATGAGCTCCCCCGAAACTATTGGCTAATGCAGGGATGTAGGGATCCACGACTAGGACGTCTTTGCATTAGCTCCATCTTGGAAGACGACGACGTGCTTTGGATATTGGATATGGCAACCCCAGACCAGATAATTCCATGCAATTTTGCCTTGTGATGTCGTCGTCATGAGGGGAAGTGTAACAGAACACGTTGTCAACGGGACTCTGTAATTGAATGGAGCGAGCCTTTTGGTGGTGAGACCTTGAGACTCTGAGACAAGTCGATTAGAGTGATCAATAGACTCCAAGCCATGTATCGTGAGTTCAGAGTCTATGGAACAGTTGGCTGAAACAACTCTCCACCTCAGAAACACAAACATGACCACATTCTGATGCGTAAATACCCAAGGAAAGCTACCACATCTACATTCAAGATCTTTAAAGACAACAAGCTAGCAACGGCCACTCCCGCCTTAGATCTAGTTTGTGTCCCTCAAATCTTTAACTCAACAATGGTCTTTCTCATTTTCGAAAGCCAATTCCCATCTTTTACGAGATAGAAACGTTGATATCCTATCGTCTTACCAACTGTGCTATACTCTGACCGAGAACTCGAAGCTGCCCATGTTATCAGATCTGAGCCCTGCTTGGCCTACGTCTCTTCCCCAGATCTTGTTCCAAAACGGATATGCTCCATTTGAATACCGTAGACTATTCTGTAGTAAAAATAGACATAGCGAGTAAGAGGGTAGTTCATCAACACCGAACTTTCCGACCTTCCGAGTATTCCGAAAATGTCGGTTATACACTGTCCAATTTCGAGGTGTTTCGTAAGTACACAGCGTCTACTATAGTACGTTCACCTCATGCCATTCCATCTTTCAGCATAAAATGGACGTTCTCTTGATGTGGCATGTTGCTTGTCGTTCCGCAGTGGCGCTGGAGACTGCGTAGTCGGTCATGTGCCAGTTTGTCAGCGCCTCTGGAGATTTTCTAGAAAGAAAGTCTCACCCCACTATTGGACCTCGCGACGATGCTTTACAACGACAGCTGGCGCTCGAAGATGCAGTCGTCATTCTTTCAAGGCTTCTCCTGGGTGTTATAAGGCCTGTTAAGAAAAAGACTGCTTGTCTCAGTCCCACAATGGCACAACCCCATCACCAATCATACTAACCCCGAACCATTGACGTTTCAAGGTGACCGTTGAAAGCATCAAGCCAACATTTCATACCGCCTCCGTTTCACAGCAATGATCAAGTTGCCGAGTATCCAGAAAGCGAGATATTATATGGAGATTTTCAGGATCTGCGCAAGCACGGTGCAAAACACACCGACTTCTGTCAAACTCTATTGTGTTGTGATATCGAGTCTATGACCCAGTCTCTCAAATTGGAGCCGCGTGTTCATGACGAAAATCCATCAACGTTCCAATAAATGCTCAATTCGGTCAATGAGTGAACTGACGGGAAGTTAGACCATGTTATTGATGTACCTGTGGAAGTTGCTATCATATGGCAAAGTGTTTGGACCTGTCAACATTAGTAGAATTTGTATCAAAGTTCTCACTAGCTGCAAGTCATAAAGTAAATGGTAAAACATTATAACATTTAGAAGAATAAATATCCAGCCTGCCAGGCTATTTAGGTCAAGTATACTCCATCCAACGCCCAGAAGATCATTTCTTCAGATTCCAAAATACAAGGCTGAAAAAGAAGCACAATTGTGCATGCCGGACTTCGTCTTTAGGCATAATCAGAAATCAAGAAAGATCCTCTATTTGCCCATGCTCATCCAGCCGAAGATGCCGCATGCAAAGGACAGAACCAAGAAAGTGATGATACCGGCACCAGCCCTGTCGGCAGTGGTCAAAGGCTTGTAGGTCCTGTCAATCTTGCCGTCTCCGACATTGCCGGCGTTGGGGTTACCCTTGGAGGTACCTCCAGTCTTGGCCGTGACAGGAGGAGGAGTGTCCTCCATGAGCAGAGACGACACGGCAGCAAGGACGTTCATCTGCTGACCGGCACCTGTCTTGCCATCGTAGACACCGCTGGCCCACTTAAAGCCGCAAGCACGCTTTGTGTCTCCTCCAGTACATTGCTTGATGGCAGCCTCGGTTGATGTCTGGAGAACGGGAAGAATCTTGGGTTTGATAAAGGGAGCGAGATGTGTTGCCTGAGACATCCAGCGGTGGACGTAGCCCTTGAATGAGTACATATCGGTGGTGCAGGTGCCGTGGTTCTCGCAGGCAATCTCGACAGCGATATCCTTGGGGAAGAAGTTGCTGATAGTAGCGTCGACCAACTTGCTCACACGGTCCTTCCATTTCTGCTCACCATTGGTCTGGAGAAGTCAGCGAGTTGCCATCAGTATCATGCTCTAGGTCGACTTACGTGGTTGTACATGAAAGCAGCGCCCTGGAGAAAGACGCCCGAGTTATAAGAGAACTGAGCCTTGTTGATATCGGTACAGTTAGTTCCGACATGAGCACCGTCATAAATCTTATAAGTGGTAGGGTCAAGGAACCCAACGCCCTCAATCCAGTCCCAGGTCTTCTCAGCCCAGTCGGAATAAGTCTTGTTGCCAGTGTAGCGTGCAAGTCTGGCACCCAAGTTGAAGAAGCAGCCGTTAGCAATACCTTTCAGAAGTTAGTATAGAGTCCATCATGATAAATATCTCAAGAGGAGGGCTGACTGTTCTTGTAATCGTAACCGTTGTTAGTTCGAGGAATTTGCCATCGAAGACCACCGTTGCAAGTGCTGTCGTGTCGATCGGGGTTGGCTTGAGTGTTGAAAACAGCCTGAGCGAGGGCAAGCCATCCAGGCTGGTCTGAAGCAGGGTTGGGGAAGTCCAGCTCAGCAGCCAACATAGCAGACATTCCCCAGAAACCTTGATCGTCGTTTCCGAGAGATAGCGTAACGTTGGCGGGTTGGTAGTCCTGATCATCACCGACCTGGAACTGCATAGCCTGCATCACCAATTTGTTGTAGGTAGAATCGCCGGTGCACTTCCAGTAATCCATATACGTCCCCCACATAGCACCACCTTCCCACCAGTAGTAGTCACCATTGGGAGGGGGGCCAGGCAGAATACCAGGAATACCGCCAGGGTCGTTTCCATGGTAGTATGTGATCAAGTCAGCGGCGAGTTGCTTGGCTGACTTCTTGATGTCGGCTGTTGCTAAAGTTAATGTCTGTTTACCTCTGAGCCAACGGTTGGGGGATCGCACCTGTGGATGCAATGCTATAAGGCGACTGGGCGTTAACAAAGCCCGTCGAGGCCAAAAGCGCAACGGCGCCAGTTGGAAAAAGGGACTTCATCGTGGGCGGATGCGATTAAAATGAAGCGAGCGAAGTTGAGAGCGAGCGATTGGAATCAACAGGAACGAGCGGTAGACGCGCCCAGCGAGGGCTCGGTCGAAAATATTGATAAAATTGTCGATAAAGCTGATTTCTATCGTGAACTGACCGAGCAGTCAAAGAGTGTGAGCCGATCTAATAGATCAAAAGGACAAAAGGTCGACGTAAAGTCTGTGATGAATCGATGTTGTTGAAGAATTCAAAGTGCCAAGGAAAAGAAATGGAAACGGGCGACGGGGGTTAATGCGTGCGTGGTACATGCAGCAGCGCAATGCAATTAAAAGGGAGCGAAAGAGGGAGGGAGAAACAGAGGCTAGAACCAATGAGATTGACGGTGGATCGGGAAGAAGGAGGGTGACACGAGCTGTTGAGTGGCTAAAACGGAGTGAGCGAGACCCGGGAACCGTCACATTAGCGGCGTCAGGTACCTATTTTTGCTGCGGCGGGGGGCATGATTACGCATTGATACGAAGGAAGGTAATCAGGGGTTGGGAATGGTTTGAATCGATGGCTCTTGTTTTGATCTTGCGCTGCAGCTACAGATGCTCGACCCTCCGTATTCTTTACGTTATACTACGTAGTACTGTACTCCATATTGTTGCGTACGACACTCAAGATGGAGACTGACCGTTGAGAATTCTGGAAAGGTTTATGCCGTTGCAAAGAATGGTCTCCATTACAACCAACGTACGACGCCAGGAATCCAGACTTACCGTACCTTGCCTGAATGGAGGAGCCCGCCTTGCAAGGTTGCTCCCCGATTCACCCATCTCTTTCACTTCTGCCGGAAACCTAATTGATCATTATTTGCCTCTCCTAAATACCCATCTCCATGATATCTTTCTCATTCTTGAGCGCGCTTTTGGTGTTGTAATGCTTCAAACACAAACATGTCGTCGATATCTTTGTTCAATGCCAAGGCGCTTATCGGCACACTTTACCGATTCGCGACCCAGGGTCTGGTATGCCAAGATGCCCAGAAGCCAAGTTTCCCTTGTCCCGTTGTCGTTCGCGTGGCCTCCCGTCTCGGCGCCGAGATGATTGACTACAGGTAGGGAGAGCACGTGATTCGTATTCCCGATAATCGGGTTGAACAGACTTCATTTCTTGGAACCATAGACATCTAAAGATGTGAACTCGATTTAAGCAATTGACATCCATGCACATCAACGCTCGACCCATTTACTACTCCATATTCTCCATTTACTTTATCTCAGAGGATCGAGATGGTGGGGAATTGGTCCGAACCAACTCTGCCCTTGAAAATCCCCCAGAAAATGGATGACGGACCCAGTATTCATTCAACAGTGCTGAGATGATCGACTTTGTCGAGATAGTCGGACCGAGTAGTTCCAACTAGCGATGCTTCTTGGAATGCTTTACCCCCTTCAATTGATGTATATGATGATTGTGAAGAACATTATGGCATTCTCGCCACTCAAATCGTTGTCGCATTATTTCTCTAGACTTTTTGTTCTGTCATAAACGTGACAGCTAAGTGTCATATTCCTCAGAAACTGGTCGAGGTTACAGGTACTTAAATATGCTCGATTCTTTGAAAATCTAGGTCTAAATACTTTCTGAGCTTCGCATGAGTCGAGAGAGTGCAGCTCAACCTTTAAGGAAGTGCTTACCAAGTACAACATAAAGATGATCTTTATTTCAAGATATTAGATATCTCGTGCTAGAGTAGTAAATTGCTACCTTTTCAAATGCGGCCTTTCTGCAAATGGCCGAGGAAGACAGTCTTAGTGTACGTGCTTGTGACTGTCAAGTATTTGCCTATTGAATCTTGAGATCTCACAATAGAGCTGCGTATAATCTCGCAACATGATCTTTGAGATACATAGCAAAGTAATTGGTTATAAAAACTGGCTCTGTTCATTCAATTGCCAGTTTGTTACGACATAACACTATCTACATATCATGAGTCCGATGTTGGAAAAACATAGCTTCGGTACAAGATTCGACAGGTTGCATGGTATCTGTACTTGGATCATATTAAGGAATATCAAGACATGTATTATCTGAAATCAATTCATGCCAATTTCAAGGACTGGCCTCTGTTCCGATCGCAGCAATGATGAGTGACGGATATTGATAAGAGAAAGATCCGTACACTGAAACGGCCACCATGCCAGTAATCCAAAGCAGTTCAAACACAATCTCGCGACCACTCCTCGAAGAAAATACCAATCTTCGAGTATGAACTTCGGACTAATATCTGGTTTGTTGGTTTGAAATTTCATACATGAATTTCCCTTGCCTTTCACTGGATACAGGTGCGTTCTATTGTGTTGTACGGTGCACCCATTTTCCTAGCTGATGTCTCGAAGCTCTTTACCAGGCTGATTAGAGGCAACTACTGATTTGATAGATCATCACGAGGACTGATGATCTCAAGCTAATAAGTAGGGTTTGAATAGACGCAGCGATGTCGCCATTTGTGCTTGTAGTGGAACCACGTAAATCCGCGTTAAAGCCGGTCTTGGTTCAGGAACAAGCTCGGTTCGGCGACACTTTATCCCATCTTGGCCTTGTCAACCAATCAGCGACTGGACCCTGACGACGCTGCTTCAGGGGATGAGTTTAGTTACAGATAGCTGTCCTTTCTGATTGCGGCTGTCAGCGCAACGAAGCGACGACATCGATAATTCCCAATTTCGTTCACTAACAAAATCCTGGTCGACTTTCAAACGAATTACCCAAGACCACTGAAACCGGTTCCAATTGGTTTCCAGTCCTTCGACCTTTTTCACCGAGGCATGCGGCAGTAGGCCCAAACACCTTTGCGCATTTGCTGTCGATCAAGCGGCTCTAGACCATTATTTGCGACGGGACCGATTTCGACTGCCCACGACATCGAGACAGTTTTCATTGTATCTATTCGAGCTAGCGGGACTAGAAGAACTTTGCCACAATGATGAACGGAACGGAAAAGTCGGATTATGACGAGGACAGGTTTGGTCCTAAGGAGGGAAGCTTGGTCAGCGCTTTTGATGCATTCCGTATGTCTCTCATTGCTGCTAGGTTCATGTGCGCTAACTCTCGATAGCCAAATCGAAACCGCAATACATTCAACGAACATCGGGAGGTGGAAAATGGACAGTCGCGGTGTCTATTATCTCACTTATCCTCATCTGGGGCGAACTCGGTCGCTGGTGGCGCGGCGCAGAGTCTCACAACTTCGAAGTCGAGGCTGGTGTTTCGCGAGAACTTCAAATCAACTTGGACATCGTGGTTAAGATGAACTGTGACGATATCCATGTTAACGTCCAGGATGCGTCTGGCGATCATATCCTGGCTGCTAAGCGTCTCAAAGCCGACAGGACACTCTGGAGCCAATGGGTCGACAACAAGGGCATGCACAAGCTTGGACGGGATAGCCAAGGTCGCGTCAACACTGGCTCTGGATATAACGAGTTGGGATATGAGGATGAGGGTTTCGGCGAGGAGCACGTTCACGATATTGTTGCGCTTGGTAAGAAGAGAGCCAAGTGGGCAAAGACACCCAAGTTCAGGGGCAATGCCGACAGCTGTCGTATTTATGGAAGCCTGGACTTGAACAAGGTGCAGGGTGATTTCCATATCACTGCGCGAGGCCATGGTTATAGGGGCAATGGCGAGCATCTCGACCACAGCAGTAAGTCCAGCGAATGGTAATCCATGTCGTGTGCTAACCAGTCACAGAGTTCAACTTCTCACACATCATCTCGGAGCTTTCATACGGCCCATTCTACCCCTCGCTGGTCAACCCTCTCGACGGAACTGTCAACACAGCTCCTGGTAACTTCCACAAGTTCCAATACTACCTCTCGGTTGTGCCTACCGTGTATAGCGTCAACTCAAAGTCTATCCTCACCAACCAATATGCCGTTACCGAGCAGAGCAAGGCGGTCGACGAGCGATACATCCCTGGTATCTTCTTCAAGTATGACATCGAGCCGATCCTGTTGACCGTTCACGAGAGCCGCGACGGTATCATTAGCCTGTTGGTCAAGATTATCAACATCATGAGCGGTGTCCTCGTCGCTGGACACTGGGGCTTCACAATCAGCGATTGGATCCACGATGTGATCGGCCGACGACGACGCAGCAACGGCGGTGTTGGTGTGTTGGGAACTAAGGAGGGTTTTGATCAGTAGATGAAAGGACGTACGATGGGAACACAAGCATGTATCATACAGCGCTGGTACAGAGCCAAGCAGAAGGAGTTAGGGCTTGGAGTTATATACAACTGATTTATGGAGTTTAGGTTAAAACATGGGAATTCGGGTTTAGCATAAGAGAATTGATAACGGATTTGCATAAAGCATTAGCCAATGTTTGTGAATTTGCCAAGATGTTCAGGTTGACTACCCTGTAAAGCACCGGGCCATCATTCGTCTGCTCGTAGCAAGGATGCATAATGAAATGCGGCTTAGAGAGCGCAAAGCCAAACGCCTCATCTCTATAACAAGGAACCAATACTTTTACTCCCCATCCCTGGACTTAAAGTGCTTTTGCCCGATTTCATAAGACGGTCGTATTGAAAATGCCGCCATGCTGATATGGGAAAAGGCTTCTGAAGCATAGAACATTCCAGTCATGAGAACATAACGGAACCACGGAAAAGCCCACCAGACGGAGACCCTTCTCGACGATTGTAGTGCGTGGAATAAGGCTGTCAGCATCTGATTGTGCATGTGGTCTTGACAAAGAGAGTCTGGTGACTCAAACCTCAAGAGACCGCGTAATCAATTGACCTTGAAAAGCGGAGCCTGATGAAACTGGAATTGTCTCTCCTAATTATTTTTATCTATGATTTCTTTTTTATTACTGTTAAAAATGGGATGGATCTTGGCTGAGGTGAGGTGACTCCGCTGGTAAGAATAAGAACCAAGATGTTGATCGTTAATGGGTCAAGGGTTTTAAGAGGTGGGGTTCTTCCATTAAATGCCTATGACGACACCAGCAACAGCCCAGTCCGAGTGGAGACCTTGTTCATGATGATGCATGAGCATAGTTATTCGTACGAGATCGACCAAGGTTCACGGTTCGGCACGTCCAGTCTCTCATAACTTAGGGAAAAGGAAAGCTTCGTCGCCTCATTCTTTTTCTTCTTTGAGTTCTAGGAAATGTCCCTGTCGATGAAGAACTGGGCCTTGGTCCCGAGGTGGAGGGTGACCCGTATGAGTTGGCCTTTGCCTTTGTCCTTGGACTTTTCAAGTTTGTTGGGGGTTTAATTGAGACGACACAAAGAAGTAATTGAACTATTGGATAACTACCTAGGTATTGGATGTTTGTTTGGCACTTTGAGTCAAAGCGTTTGGCGAGGCTCTGTGCCCAACTGGACTGGATGGACTCGATATTCTTGGTATGATCTGTGGATCTTGGAATCGTATTTCGGGCATAAACGATCCCTGACAGTTGAGCCTTTCAAGATTCAAGAAACTGCCCGAGACAGCCCAGAAAAGAACCATTCTCTTCTCCCCAAGACTACAGCAGATTCTATCTGAGGTTGCATTGAAGTTTGCTCTACCTAAGACTTGATTGGCTTCGGTCCCAGAACGCCCAGCATCAGCCGGGCAGAACAAGAGACCTTCTGCCACCCATCACGATATCTCGCCCAATCCCGTGCCATGTTCTACTGCACAAGCAGCATCATCTTCCATCATAGCCACAGCAGGCTTTCTCTCCCAACCCCTGTCAAAAAGCCGTCCACTGAAGTTTAAGGGCTCCACGCACACTCACACTCTGGAGCTGGGCACTGATGTCCATGTCCATGTCCACGCTAACTGCGCCTGGATGAATCAGAATCAAAGCCCAGCCATTCGTTCCGGGTGCCCAGTTCTTTTCTTCCCTCAGCAGGTTCCGTCATAGCTCGTCTTGGTTACTTCCCAGCTTTTCCCCCTCCACCAAACCATTTCTCCCGTCCCCTTCTTCCTCATACAAACAAACAAACCTAGATTTCGCTGTTGATTTCTCGTTAGGCGTTTTCTACTAAACCTCTGGATTTACTTCCATTTTTGACGAAATTCCCTCTTTTGGATCCGCATAACTTTATCGCATAGCCTTATACCCCACCTGTCACACCCCGCGATGGGTGACGTCTACAGAGAGTCTCGCGTCTATCGTGAGAGGGACTGGGAGCGAGACGATGGCTCTTCAGACGACGAGCGCTATCGTAAAACCACAATCAGACGATACAAAGTCGCACCAAGCAGGTCTGATCGCTTCGAACGAGGTTCCGAATTTGATGATGGACGTTCTCATTTCTCCCGCTATGGTCGCTCTTCTGGCGACTTAGCTGAACACGACCGACGCTCTTTCGTCCCGGATCGCCCTCGCTCTGCTTTTGAAGGAGCCCCTTCTCATGCTAGTTTTCACGAGGACCGTGGTCGAGACACGGCTCCTCGATCTTACGTTTACGAAAAGGAAACTGAACGAGAGACTTATCCTCCTCCACCCCCGCCTATGCCAATGCCTGCGCCTTCTCAGGTGGGAGATCGATCTCGTGCGCCAGTCTTCGTAGAGACCAAGGAAGTTGAGCGTGACTGGGACCGACGATCTCGCTTTGACGCTTTGTTCGACGATGATGTCAAGGTTGAAAACCAAATGGTCAAGACTGAACGCCGAGATAACGGCGAGTACCGCGTTGAGAAGCGTGTTGAGGAACACATCGACGACACTCATGGATGCGACGTTGAGCGATACCGCAAGGAAACGGAATATTACACCCCTTACGACCCACCGCCTCCTCCAGCTCCCGTCATCATTCGACAGCGCGCGCCTGAACCGCAGAAGATCATTGTTCAAGAAGCTCCTCCTCCAGCTCCAGTTATCGTTTCTCCCCGCCAGCAACAGCAGCCTGGTGTAGTTGTCATTCGTGAGAGAGAGCCTGAAAGGCAACAGGTTGTAGTTAGAAGGGAGCATCGAGAGCACCGACACGAGCACCGACATCGCCCTTCGGAGGAAGAGTATTACTATCGCCATGAGCATCGCGACTCCCGTGGAGATCGTGACTACGCCATTGAGCGATATGACCGTAGACGCCGCGATCATGGCTATCACAGTGATGACGATGATTACTACGTCCGACGCAAGGTTATTCGTCGCCGTGAGGGCAGCGAAAGTCCCCACCACAAGCGACACCTGGCCGAGGGCGCTCTCGCTGGCGCGGGTGTCACAGCTCTTCTCAACAGTCGCCGCGACAGCTACGGTGAACTGCCCGAAAACCGCGGCCGCAAGGTCATTGCTGGAGCTGCTCTTGGCGCTCTTGGCACTGAGGCTTTCCGCCGAGCTCGTAGCGCTTATGGTGACCGCTGGCATGGCGACGATGAATCTCCCGACCGCTCCTCTCGGCTTAAGCAGGGTCTCGGAATCGCTGCTGTTGCTCTAGCTGCTGCTGGTGCCGCCAAATACTACCAGTCCAATAAAATTGAAAAGGAGGAGGCGATTCGAGGCAGAAGCCGTCGTCGTGGTTATTACTCTGATGACTACTCGCGCTCTCGCTCGCGATCCATCATTCGAAGAACCACGACGACAAAGAGCACTAGCCGCGGCAGCCGTCGTCGCAGTGTGTCGACGGCAGCCAAGGCTGCTCTGGGAACTGTTGCTGCTGCAGGTCTTGCCAAACACCTTCGTAACAGGTCCAAGTCCAAGTCGTCTCGAGGCCGCAGCAGCAGTAGGTCAAGCAGCTCGCGCAGCCGCAGCCGATCGAGGAGCCGCAGCAAGTCTAGACTTCGCCGCGGTGCCGAGATCGCTGGTGCAGCTGTAGCAGCCAAGGCTGCACACCACGTTTGGAAGAAGCGCAAGGAAAAGAAGGATGGCAGTGACAATAGCAGCGATGATGAGTACTACCGCCGAGGCCCCTCGAGAAGCCGGAGCAGGAGCAGGTCCAAGGCCAGATCCATTCGTTCAGAGGGCGGGACTGATCCTGAGCTAGGCCCCGTAGTTGAATACGGCAACGATCCCCTCGCGACGCAACCGCCAGCCTCAACGTCGCGAGGCTACGAATCCGAAGCGGAGGCAAGACGTCGACGCCGTAGACGACGCGACCGTAGTCGATCCGCGTCGTCTGCGGGATCTGACCATAACCGTAAACGCAGCAGAAGCCGACTCGGGGCCGCCGCAGCCGCAGGAGCTGCAGCCCTTGGTATTAAGGAATACAAGGATAAGAAGGATAGGGAGAAAAGAGAGCAGCGCTCTAGGGAACGACGACTCGAACTTGAACGAGAACGCGAGCGAGAAGATGAGCGAGACCGTCGTGGTCGAGCTACCAGATCTCCTTCACGATCACGATCTCGAAGTCGTTCCAGGAAACGTGAGCAGTCCTTGAGTGACCGTGACTGTGTTGACTGACCACTATGAAATAGGATTTGATGACTATGATGATCGTCGCCCTCGCTCTCGCTCACCACCTATGGCTTCTGGTGGCGCTGGCTTCCCACCTTATCCCATGGATCCTACTCCTCCGCCTGGAAACCATTACACCAATATTCCGGACCGTTCTTCTGACTTCCAGCCTTACGTTCCTCAAGACTACACGGGCTATCCTCCGCCACCTCCTGGACCTCCTCGAGGACTTTCGACAGGACCCGCCAACTACCCACCGCCAGGACCTCCTGGGCCACCACCGCCCCCTCCTGGACCTCCGGGACCTCCACCGGCTGGCGGTCCAAGAGCGCCTGACAATGTGAGTAATCCTGTCCACAACCTTGGCTCAAGAGGCCTTGATGAGGGTGCGTCCGACTGTACTGGGAGGGTTGTTGGCACAGGAGAAGGAACGGAAGCTGACTCTGCAACAGATAGTCTAGACTCGTCTGATGAGGGTCAACCGGCCAAGTCGGTGGTGTTTGGTCCTTTGTCACCGAAGAGCTTTATGACCATGAAGCGACACCGTGAGGAAACAGCAGCCAAAGAAGAAAAGGAGAGACAAGAACAAGAGGCTCATGACCTACTTCAAGGTCTTGTGCCTGCTAGGCCACGTTCGAAGTCTACCCCCCCTGCTATGGAAATGGACGATTACTTTGGGAGACGCCGTCACCGAGATGATGACTCTAGTTCGGATGAATCTATCGAAGAACTACCTGACCGATTTGACAGACAGGGTAGGCCCCTGGATGAACGATCGAGTAGGAACCGCGGCTGGAAACGCAGACAAGGTGACTTTCAGTATAAACCCAGACATCGAGATGATTGGGATATCAAAGGTGCTTGGCAAGTAGCTGGAACGGATAGCCAAGCTGTAGATCAGCTCGTTCGCGGTGTAACTGGTGCACTTGAAGGCAGAAGCGGATGGCTTGGTCTAATTGGAAATATTCTTGGAGGACTACAAGAACCAGAACAACGAGGGGCAATTGAAGATGGAGGTCACGAAAGAAGAAGACACAGAAGGAGACACAGAGATTAACGACTTGATGACTGTGATTTTGGGAACGATTTCTTTGGATGGATATGATTAATGGTCTGCTTTTCAAGTCGAGCTTTATGATATGATGTTATGACTATTATACATTACGGCCGATATAGAGAAACACGGTTTGATGTCTTTTTATATGATGTCCCAATTCCGTCTATATTTGTCTCTAACCTTTCCAAATTGTAATCCTCTATATGCCTTGCGAAAGGTGATGCTCTATAAGCAGACGTGATAATGGAGCCGCACTGCAGCTGTATAGCAATGTTGATTGAGTGAGTATTGCTTGTGACTGAAGTGTTTTTTTTTATGCATTATTCAGAGTGTTGTTTGTAGGAGAGCTGAAGCTCGATCCTTTGTATTACCTCGAGCGGATTGGGACGAATGCTTTAATGAGACAAGCATATTATTTTGCAAGGACCGTATATGCATATCGCTTGTTTCGAAAAAAGGGTCTCCTTCAGATGTAACGCCTTTCGCAGACATCGAATGTTATAAACCAATCAAGCAGCGCGAGCAACATCAGAACCATGCTCGCACATGCAGCTGTATTTAGCGACGTTTAGAATGCCGCCACATTTCCCGCAGAGGATAAGATACTTGTCCGTGTGGTAGTCCGTGTCCTTAACAGCGACAAGGTCTGAGCGGGGAACTTCTATCACGTCTGGAGTCGACGTGCCGGGGGTGTTGTCTGAAGGAGTGGTTGCGGTGGTTGAGTCTGAACTTGACATGTTCTAAGGAGTAGTTACTGTCATGATTATCAAGGAGAAAAAAGGAAAAAGGAAAAGAAGAGAGAGGGAAAAAGAAGAAAAGGCGAGATGTGATTGATTACATTGAGATTTATAAAGTTATCTGATAGGTGCTGCTGTTGGGCTGTGATAGCTTCATTTATGGAGAGGTCTAAGCCACATTAGTTGGAACAAGGATGTTGTAGAAGTTTCGCTTAAGGTTCGAGATATAGTTGATTGGAGGATTAGTTCTTTTCGGTATGTGATAGTATGATATGAGGTTCTGACTTTTGTGAGATTGTTAGATTGTTCTGGGTGTTTCCTTGTAAGTTGATGTTGCATTCTGTGGGTCAGATCATTACCAGGATGAGTTAATGGAGGTTTTGTTCCGGTGTCCTGGATCTCACACCAACGGACCCTTAAGCTTCCTGTACCCGATACTTTAAACACATTTTCATAACGTCTATAATATTCCGAAACATGCCATTGGTATCCTTTCGTATCGACACTAATATATATAGCCCCCTCTTTATAAATCATACAACTAACTCCTCATCCTCGACGCCGATCACCTTTTTCTCGTTATAACTCGTCTCTAGCGTGTGCTGGCTCTGGTCGTCCGCTGTCTTTATGTAGATCGACACCGTTCTTGAGTCGCCACTTCTCCCAGAGGCTCCAGAAATCGCTCTCCATGTTGGTATCCATCTGATCGGGCAGTACAACCGCGTACTCGACGTATAGGTTTCCGAACTCGGTCTTGTGGTACACGCTGTCGCCATCCTCGTGCCAGATGGGCATACCCTCTCCAGCGACAGTCTCGACATGGCCGGGTTGAATGACCTTACCGCGGGGTCGACTTAACCGCACGACGTGGTTATCGAGATGAGTGAGGTTGCGAGTCCAGCCGCCCATCCAGGCTTCCCGAAGAGAGAGAACCTCGGTCCAGTACAGATCATCACCCTTGCGACGGAAGAATGCGCCATCGGCCTTATCGGGATTGTTGTCATATGATGGAGCCCTTTCAGATAATGTCACCAGCAAGTCACCAGGGACCCAATCAGGACTCTCATCAGCTTCGTTCTCGTAGACAACACGAGAGTCGCGAGCAGCTCCACGCTGGACGTTGAGTTGAACAGTCGTCGCCTTCCTCTCAACCCGTTCACCCTGGCAGACCTTGCACTTATGCTTGATGTTCTTGCCCCTACCACCACAGGCATCGCATCTTTGCTGGAACTGCTGGAACATTCCAGGGGCGAGCTGGCGCTTCACGATGCGTACACCGTGACCGCTACAAGCGTGGCAAGTATCGACCTGTCCATCTGCACTTCCTGTACCTTCGCAAGCCTCACAAATGTGTTGCTTTTGCCAGGAGAACTCGGTAGTGGCGCCGTTATAAAAGTCGCGGAGGGAGATTTCGACACGGACTTCGACATTGTGACCTCGAGGTTCGCTGGATGCTCGTCCGAAGTGACCATGACCACCGAAGAAGCGGCTGAAGAGATCGAAGGGATCATGACCACCACCACCTCCACCTCCTTGGCGGCGCTGTTGAACACCCTCGTGGCCGTATTGGTCGTAGACTTTGCGCATTTCCTCATCGCTCAAGACATCGTAGGCTTCGGAAACTTCGACAAACTTATCGTGTGCTGTATCATCGCCACTGGAAAAGGTCAGTATTAGAAATCAAGCAGATGGTGGATGGAGGGGCATACGGATTCTTGTCTGGATGGAACTTCTTCGACAATTGACGATATGCTTGCTTCAATTCCTTCTTGCCTGCTTGTTTGTTTACACCGAGAACCTGCGCAACTGTTAGAATCTGCATATTTAAAAGCATATGAAAATTGGCGTACCTTGTAATAGTCCTGGGCGCATACAGCTAGCTGGACCAGAGCTAGAAGGACCACGAGGGCCGCTGTATGGAATAACATCTTGTCTCTTCCTGCAGATATAAAAAAAGAAAAAGAAAAATTGAAAGAGACTTTATATAAACAAACTGCCGACCTGAGGGGTAAAGAAGGACAGACGTCAAGATAGTTGCGAAGGACAAAAGAGGGTGAGTTGACTCGATAGAGAACGAACAAAGAAGTCGCCTGAACCTCGAAACACCAGCGTGTTATCAAGTGCTTGCTACACTTTTTGGGACGGTAGCAAGCTTATCAGCAAACCCCTGCAAAGTGGCGTCTTATCGAGAGCTTGTGACTGGCCGTGAGGATTGATTCATTGCCGGATTATGCTTTCTCCGTTGTCAAGTCTAATGTCGCACCCAGCTCTTGCATTCATCTCGAGTCTCTTGGCCCCACAGCCCCAGGGGCAAACAGGGAATAACTTGCGCTTGAAGCATTCATGGTCCAAGGTGCAGATACACGACTCCCCTCGAGAAGCAAGAAAACTCGAGACCTGACATAGGATGCCAAAATAAACCCATCAAAAGATGTCATAAGTTCTTAGTAATTTACCTACACCTCTTTGTCCCCTGGGATCGAGTGCCTAAGCGATATAAAGATTTAGGCAAGTTAAGTATAACTTTTAGGCCTTTAGACTAAGTAGATAGTTATTAACAGTCATCACCTCAGACACGTCAACTTTCTTTTCATAGTTTAATCAAGGCATCCAACTTTAGATATCCACAGGTAGATAAGACGCTTTGCTTCCGGTCTTTAACAGTGATTCTTCCCGTTCCATTCATTCACTGTCACTACATCCTGGGCTGTGACTGATTCACGTGACCCGCTACATCTAAAGGCACCAAGACCCACCTATTTCACTTCAACCCGACAACAACACATCATGAGCGCCAAACGCTACGCTTTTCTTCCTATGGAAGAAGCGGGAGAGGACACGGGGGAGTCCTCGAAGCAGCCTTCGAAAAAGAGGAAGACCGAAGATGCTGCTGCACGGAACAAGGCGGCGCTACCCGATATTCGAGAACGATCGCGACAAGAATATCTCAAGAAAAGAGAGGCCGAACGACTTGCTCTCCTGCGAAAGCAAGTTGCAGAGGAAACGGCTGAATTGAGGAGCGGCGTGCGGCTGTCGGAGAAGGAGAAGGCGGAGTTTGCCAAGAACAGAGAGATCCTGCGCCTGGCCGAGGAACGACTCAATATTGACGACCATCGAGATGGATACTACATGCCCGAAGACTACATCACCGAGAAGGGAAGGCTAGATCGCAAGAAGAAAGAAGAGGCACTCTACAAGCGACATGTTGAAAAAGACCAGTTCGGGCGGGAGAAATTCGTTACGGAGCATGAAGAATGGGAACGGGAACAAGCGACGAAGGCAAAAGCCCAAATCCAGCGCGCCGAATTGGAGAACGACGATTACGATTATGTTATGGATGATTCGCAATATATCCAGTGGAATCTAGATGCGCGAATGCCTGGCGACGGTCGAAAATTGACCAAAGAACAACAATTCCTCGAGGCGCAGATCGACGCAGCTGAGAAGAAGGCCCTATCAATTCAAGAGACACGAAAGAGTTTGCCCATTTACCAATATCGAGATGAATTCCTCGCTGCGCTGGAGCAGTATCAGGTTCTCGTTATTGTGGGAGAGACTGGTAGTGGAAAGACGACTCAGCTACCCCAATATCTTCACGAGGCGGGTTATACCAAGAACGGCATGAAGGTGGGATGTACACAACCTCGACGAGTGGCCGCTATGAGTGTAGCAGCTCGTGTGGCTGACGAAGTAGGCGTCAAAGTCGGTAATGAGGTCGGATATACGATTCGGTTTGAAGACTGCACCAGCGACAAGACCATCCTCAAGTATATGACTGATGGAATGTTATTACGAGAATTTATGACAGACCCAGAGCTCTCAGGCTATTCAGCGCTGATGATCGACGAAGCCCACGAACGCACAGTGCATACCGATATCCTCTTGTCGTTAATCAAGGATCTATCGAGATCGCGACCTGATTTGAAGCTGCTGATTTCGTCAGCTACCATGAACGCCGAGAGGTTCGCACAGTATTTCGACGATGCACCCATCTTCAATATTCCTGGTCGACGATATCCAGTTGATATTTACTACACACCTGCTCCCGAAGCGAATTACCTGGCTGCGGCCATCACGACAACATTCCAGATTCATACAACCCAACCCAAGGGTGATATTCTAATCTTCTTGACCGGTCAAGACGAGATTGAAGCCGCTGAGCTTGAAATTGCTCAAACAGCGAAAAAGCTCGGCAATCGCATCAAAGAACTTGTCATCTGCCCAATTTATGCAAACCTTCCCTCAGAATTACAATCTAAGATCTTCGAACCTACACCAGACGGGGCTCGAAAGGTAGTGCTGGCTACCAACATTGCTGAAACTAGTTTGACCATTGATGGCATTGTCTATGTTATTGATCCAGGCTATGTGAAGGAAAACGTTTACAACCCCGCCACCGGCATGTCGAACCTGGTTGTTGTTCCTTGCTCGAGAGCTTCCGCAAACCAGCGAAGTGGTCGAGCAGGTCGTGTTGGCCCAGGAAAGTGTTTCCGTCTATACACCAAATTCGCATACATGAATGAAATGGACGAATCCACTACACCAGAAATCCAGCGAACAAACCTGAACGGTGTTGTGCTTCAACTGAAGTCCCTAGGTATTAATGAACTACTCGATTTCGAATTCATGGATCCCCCGCCAACAGAAGCCCTTATTGGCGCGCTGAATCAGTTATTTGCTTTGCAAGCGTTGAACCATCGCGGAGAGTTGACCAAGGTTGGCCGACAAATGGCAGAATTTCCTACAGATCCCATGCTGGCCAAGGCGGTGTTAGCTGCGGACAAGGAGGGTTGCGTCGAGGAGGTTCTGTCTATTGTTTCGATGCTTGGTGAAGCTTCTGCGCTTTTCTTCCGACCCAAGGACAAGAAGATTCACGCAGACAGCGCCCGAAACCGATTCACAATCAAGGACGGTGGTGACCACATAACACTCCTCAACATCTGGAACCAATGGGTTGACAGCGACTTCTCCCCCATCTGGGCGAAAGAGAATTTCCTTCAGCAACGCTCTCTCACAAGGGCACGCGACGTCCGCGACCAACTGGCCAAGCTGTGCGAGCGAGTCGAAGTCGCGCCCTCTACGTCCGGTGCCTCCAACCTTCGCCCCATTAAACGAGCCATCACAGCTGGCTTCTTCCCCAATGCTGCACGGCTACAGAAGAGCGGCGATGGTTACAGGACAGTCAAAAACAACACGTCTGTGTGGATCCATCCTAGCAGCGTCTTGATGGCCGTTGACCCCCCGGAGAAGATGGTGGTGTACTTTGAGCTTGTGCAGACGACCAAGGAATATATGCGCAGTGTGATGCCGATCGAGCCAAGGTGGCTAACTGAATTAGCACCACATTTTCACAAAAAGGCGGATATTGAGGCGATGGAGGAGAAGAAAATGCCAAAACAAAGGCAACGATAATGTAGTTATTGCGGGCACGGAGTACATATTCTCATTACGGCGGTACATTCTAGTCATGTAATTTATAACATTTACGAAAACTTAGGATTTTCATCCCGAGTAATAAACATAATTAGTCTAAAGGCCTCTCAACTTGTACTGAATTTGCTAAATTTACTTAATTTACCCAAGTTTTTTATTACTTAGGATACATGTCCTAAGTTTTCTTAAGCTTGCCTAAATCTTTCTGTCGCTTAGGATGATGTCCTAAGTTTAGGTTTCTTACCTCTCCTAGTTGGCCTCTTCAGATTTTTCTTCTGTTTCCTTATCAGGCACCCACTCGTAGAGAATGTCTGTCCTCATGGTGTATTTGATCCCCTTGCGTACTGTTGCTCCCTCATGGAAGAGTCCTCTATGTTGGAAGATGAGAACGCTTCCAGCTTTGGGGTTCACATCGACTCTTTTCTCTCCCCTTCTGTCAAGGAACGAAGTTGCACCGCCTTCAAGCTGTGATGCTGGATCATTCTCAATAGAGTCATTGAGGTAAAGATGAACAGTGTAGAAAGTCTCAAACTCTTTACCAGGACCTTCAGTATAGTAAAAGGGACCGTCACAGTGAGCTGGAATATGTTAGCTATGCAATAATAGCAGGTAGTTTGACTCACGTTTGAAGAATTGCCCAGGTGAATACTTCAAGAATCGCATCCTCTCGTTAAACCGACTAAACACCCAATTCCCACCCTTCATATAAGGCTGCGGCGGCACAACAGCCAAAAGCTCCCGCAAACCTTCAGAGAGTAAACAACGCTCCCAGAGCCTATCAACGACAGTCTGCTGATTCCATATAATCCTATCACTCTCCCTATACCCCGGTGCCGGAGCCTCCCATCCAGGACCGGCGCTTATCAAAGCAGGTTTCCAAGCCGGCGCACTCTCATCAGGTCTTGGAACCGACGCCTCTGCTAGTGCGAGAAGTTCTTTGCATTCTTCTGGCGAGAGGACGTTGTCTAGCACGATAGCGGTGTGACCGTCGTATTGAGGAAGAGGTGAGTTTGCAAAGTCGATGGGGTAAGAAGTTATTGGTGTTTCAGGTGGAGCAGAGAGGAAAGTATCGGGGATGAGAATGTCGTTTGATGTGTATTCTACTTTGGTAAGCATGTTTTTTGAAGGGTCGCGTGGTTTGAGGAAGGATTGGGGTGCGGGTTTGGAGGTGAGGCCTAGTTTTGCGGCAATGTTGGATAGCATTTTATAAGTAAGCACTGTAACAGGGGTATCTTGAGAAGGATTTGAAGTATGGAATTTCTTGGGAGAGGAATATTGATGCCTATTAAGTAGATCTTTCTAAAAAGGACAGTTTTATGACAATATGTTGTTGTTTTTATTGCTGGTGTTGCTGCCTATGAGCTGGGATGGGAGGGAGTGGCTGTGTAGAGATCCAGCCACCACAAGTCCTACGCCGGTGACAGCTAGGCTTTTACGATGAGAACAGAGTATCGATTAATGTGAGGTAGTGTTAGGCTACTGAATTGAGGACAGATTGGTGATAGTGATGCTTGGTTGGGCTGTGATGTTAATTTGGTAGCCTTGAAGGATCCAGTTAGCCTGGGTCAGTTGCAACTTGGAGCCTGCAGCCTGACAACCGACGAGATCAAATTGCGCCAGCCAAGGCTAAAAGATTAGAAGACACATTTGGCATGGATTGTGATAGCTAGGTCCGTTGAAATACGGATATGTGGCTATTACTTGGGCTTGGCTTCAGATTCATACTAACTTGGGCAGATTCTCATAGTCATATGTTGATGAGCTGGAAGAATATAGCCCAACCATGAACTCTGAAAACACATCACATCAAAAGGTGTGCACTGGCACATGCCTATAGTTTATTACCCATAGTACATTTCGCTTGGTCAAATGTTTCAGTCTAGCTTGGATTGAATAAGCCAGAAATTGGTCTGGGCATTTCGTGGTAGCAAGTCGGGCTTAAAGATTGAAACAAGAGGAGCGAAAGATGATGATAATTGCGACCTGTCTATGGCTTCATGCCATGTGGAAATGATGTTAATACAGAGGAACAGTCTGTAGAAAAATGGTGTTCATGCGACAAAAAGTCTGTGTGACCTACGAGGTGACATCTTCAGCAGCATTAAATACAACAACAAAGGCACCAAGTGAGAGGGTCCTTTTACAGTGGCGATATAGGCAGAGTCATGGAGTGATAGAGAGGCAATCACACGGGAATAAGTTGCCTGATCTCGGAGCTGCTTTCTGCTTATTAACCCGAGCAAGCTTCTAGAAGAGGACGAAAGCGAAAAAAGAGATCTTGGCGATTCTTGGCTCAGATGTTAATTTCCGGCTTGGCCAGACTAGACTCGACCCATGCCGAACATCACGAGAGGCTCTTCAACATCTTCAAGAGGTCGACATGGGCAGTGTTGCCATTGAGAAAGGAATTGCGACATTGAAAGTTATATAGAGGTAGTCAGATGTAAGATGTTGTTGGTTGCCTTCAACATACCACTGAACCATGCCATTGGAATCCTTCAGATAATAAGCAGAGATTTTCTGGCATATTCGGCAAGGTAACCTAACTTGTATATAAAAACCGTCGGCATGATGGAGCCGAGAGTGACCCTCTAAATCGCCGTAGTGACCTTTGGTGGGTTATGTATAATCTTGATATCTGTATTTCCGTTCAACATCAACAGATATGAAGTTGAAAGGTATCTAGAGATGTTGGGGAAGAGGTCAAGAACTAGAGAAATAGTAGATAGATATCATATCTTATTACCTACCTACCTGTTTGAGAACATCTCTTCCTATCAACAGGCTGAATTCAGTCGAGATGTGGGTTCATGCGACGTTACCACAGAATTTTAGTGCTTAGCTAGATCCAAACTTAGCGACCTTCCCTTAGCGGGTTCAAGTTTGTCACTCTGAAGATCCCATCGACATGGTTCAGTAAGGAAGGGATAGAGTAGAATACCACCCAAATACACTTTTACAGTACGTAACTGCAACTCGTTGACATTTGAGAGTGGATTTGCCTCTGAGCACGCAATTCCTCGTGCCTCGTTTTTGCGGATCTCGAATCAAGTACATCTATCCAGGAGATGAAACCTGTATCTCTATAGAATTCTGACTTACATGTCTTGACTTTTCTATTACAATTTGTGATTAAAACAAGTTCACAATGGAGTTCCCGCCAGAAAAAGAACATCGCAAATCTCCTGACGATGACGTCGAGAATCTACCGCACAGCGATGTCCCTCGACCCACGCAACAAGATCTGTTGCAGCGTTCGCTCTCAGCGCGCCAGGTGCAGATGATTGCCATTGGCGGTACGATCGGGACAGGTCTGTTTCTCGGTACTGGAAAGTCCCTTGCCACGGGTGGGCCAGCGTCGATACTGATCGCCTATGCTATCGTGGGTGCTATTGTGTTTACGACCATGTTGGCTTTGGGAGAGATGGCGGCGTTTATACCCGTTGCTGGAAGTTTTTGTACTTTTGCAGGGTGAGTTTTGCAGTGTCTATGGATGGGTGACTTGAGTTACTAATGAGAATAGACGCTTTGTTGATGATGCGTTTGGCTTCGCTCTCACTTGGAATTACTGGTTCAACGACGCCGTATCCACAGCCTCAGATCTCGTCGCTCTCCAACTCGTTCTTCAATACTGGACCGACAACTTCCCCGGCTGGGCACTCAGTCTCATTTTCTGGGTTGTTCTCATCGGCGTCAACATTATTTCCGTCAAAGCATATGGCGAACTTGAGTATTGGCTGAGTTTACTAAAGGTCATCACCATTGTTGTTTTCATCGTCATGGGCATCGTTGTTAATTGTGGTGGAAATGAGACGGGAGAGTATATTGGCGGGAAGAATTGGCATATCCCTGGTGCGCCGTTTGTTGGAGGCATTGGTGGCTTTGCCTCTGTTTTTGTCACGGCTTCTTTTGCTTGTAAGTCGTCATGTGAATCTCATTTGGAATGAAACTAACGGGCGTAGATGGTGGAACTGAGAGTATTGCCATCACGGCCGGTGAGACAAAGGATCCCACGAGAAACATCCCCAAGGTCGTCAAGAACGTCTTTTGGCGTATCATTCTCTTCTAGTACGTCTCACTCAACTCGCACCCACTCACCTCACTAACAAAACCAGCCTCCTTTCAATCCTTCTCATCGGTCTCAACGTCCCATACAACTATCCCGATCTCAACTCCAAAGAGACCCGCACCTCTCCTTTCACCATCGTTTTTGAGATGACGGGCGCCAAAGCTGCTGGAAGTGTCATCAACGCTGTCATTCTCACTAGTGTTCTCTCTGCTGGAAACCATGCGCTGTTCGCTGGTGTGAGGTTGATGTACACTCTTGCTATCGAGGGCCATGCGCCCAAGGTTCTTGGAAAGCTCAACAGGAACAGAGTACCTTGGGTTGCTGTCCTAGTGACAGGATTTGTAGCTGGCCTTTGCTTCGGCTCGAGTTTCATTGGAGCAGGAGATTTGTGGAATTGGCTTCAGAAGTAAGTCAAGCACCGACATGTACATCTCGATCACAGCTAACAGTCACAGCATTGTCGGTGTATCGAATCAACTCAGCTGGATCTCCATCGGTATCACATCAATCCGCTTCCGCCAAGCCCTCGCCTTACAAGGCAAAACTCATCTCCTACCCTTCAAGAACTGGACATATCCCTACGGTCCCTGGATCTGCGTCATTCTCAACAGCTTCCTTGTTCTTGTTCAAGGCTGGAGCTGTTTCAGTCCCAAATTCGACGGTGTCAGCTTCGTCAGCTTTTACATTGAGCTACCCGTCATGCTGCTTATGTTTGTGGTGTGGAAGCTTGTCAAGAAGACAAAGTTCGTGGGGCTGAGTGAGATGGATCTGGAGACGGATGTTTATACGATTGAGGAGAAGGTTACTGAGGAGACTGGGTGGAAGGCCAAGGTTAAGAGTGTGGTTACTTGGTTGTTTTAGGGTAACGCGATATGACTTGTTAGGATACCATGATGCATTGCAATTTGATGAATTTCCTAATCCCTCTCTCAATCTAGTGATTTACAGACCTACATGGGCGCATGAGCGTGGCCATCGCGATCCAAGCTTCAATCCTTTTCAGGCAGGGATTATAGGCGAAAGGTGTTTATTAACAAATCAATAGTTAAATGGTGAGACCTAGTCTCGATACGAAGTCAAAGATTATACCACTGCTCGACTCTACCATATCACTCTCCATCACCACCCTCAGCATACTCCTCAGGAACTTCCGGCCAAGCATCAACACCATCCTGAATAACCATCATCATACCTCCAACCATATGATTATTAATATGACAGTGCAACAACCAAGGTCCGGGATCAGCAGCATGATATCGAACAACAACCCAACTCGGCTCCGTATCCGCCGGTGCCGACAGAAACGCATCTCTTCGAGGTGGATTAACAAGATTGAACTGATCAGGAATCTCCTTCGCAGCTTCTTCAACAGAACTCCACCTGAAAGGACCAGTTCCTGTGCCTAGCATGTACATCTTTGAACCGTGTTTGTGGATTGGGTGTGGAGGTTGAGGAAACATAGCTGCCACGAAGACAAGATCGACCCATTGCCCGAGTTTCGTTGAGATGGTAACGTTGTTCTGAATGTCGGGCTGAGGGTTGAAGAGTGTAGGTCGTTGCTCGTCGAGATCCTTTGACAAAAGACCTGTGCTGTTCAAAGCCCATAGATATGAAGCACCTTTGATCTCCATGCTTAGATTAAAGGTGACATCAGCAGTTGGCGAAATCGACACTGGGGGATAAGGAAATGCCACCATTTGGTTGAACACCACGACATCCTTGGAAACGGGAACACCCACGAGGTTGATCCAAGGTTCAACCTCTTGTGCGTAACCGAATCCCTCAACTGAGAGAATAGCATGACCAGTGATGATCTGCGGTGCACTATTTGAATTAAACCTCATTTTAAACTCTCCAGACTTTTCAACCTTGATAAGAACTGAGTATCGATCTCCGTTTGTGACGGCAATGGCTTGGACTTTCTGAGGTTCAATGTAGGAGCCGTCCATGGCGTATACCCACATATCGTGGCCGTCAATGGAGAAGACACCGTTAACAAAGTTGACTGCAGCAACTATGTCGAAAGCGACCCATTTTGACGAAGAGTGATGTTTGTTGGAGACTGTTACGACTTCGATTTGGCCTTTTGTTTCTCTGCATCCGGAGAATGTTCCTGGGAGGAGAGCTTTTTCGTTGCCTTGACCACCAGCAATGGCGTTAAGAGCAGAAGCAGGAAGGCATCTGCAAATGTCAGTGACGAGTAATACTGATTGTTTTGGGGACTTACGCTTTGTCTGTGAACTCAGCACCGCCTGGTACCAACTGAAGATAACTCTTCTGAATCTCATTCAGATTGGCTTCCACAACATCCTTGGATAGACACTCGACTCTTCCCTTGCCATTGAAGAGGATGGAATCATAGCATGAATCTTCAATTCCAGCGGCAACCGTCATATCCCACTTATCCGTCGAAGTAAGATGCACAAAGTCAGACACAACGATAGGCTTGACATGTTTCGTTGCCTTTTCGATCTCATACAATGTTTCTTTATCATCTGAGATTAGGTGAAACGGGTTCGGCTCGTGGGGTCGTGGATGGATGATGATAGCTCCGTAGAGACCATCTTCAATTTGGCCTCGATGATGAGAGTGATACCAGAAACTTCCGTATTGTGTGGCGTGGAACTTGTATGTGAAACTGCATCCCGGTTTGATGGGATGTTGTGTAACGCCGGGAACACCGTCAGTCCATGGCGTACCCTTCATTTCCAGCCCTGGCTTGTCAGTACCTCTCACTTTAGGTTAGAAGAGGGGCATACCGTGATAATGAATAGTGAGTTCTTCTGGGGACTGATTATGAACCTTTACTATCACCAAATCATCCTGGTTGATCTCAAGCACAGGCCCAGGAGACTGCCCATTGACGAGCAGCATCTTTCGTGAGAAGCCATCTGGGGCGTAGTTCTCCCATGTTATAGTAAGATCAAACTTCTTGGTGTTGTTCCAGTAAGTCGCTGATACTGATGTGATGAACGATTGGAGGAGCAAGGGGAGAAATATCAGAGAAGAAAGTGAGAGGTACATATTGCAAGTACTGGGGCAGAACCTGCACTCAAGTTCCAATCAAATAAACGAAAGGATCGACGGCCGAATATATGTCTTCATCGTGACGAAGGTACTCGGGTTCCGGCGCTGTAATATACTGTACTCGGAGACTTCCTATTCCCACAATATCCATCCGACGGTGAATGCACACTACAACAACATCATCTTACATGACAAACCCTCTACGCCACAAAGTTACATTGTGATTCCCTAAACATCACGACTGAAGCCAATCAGTAGCTCCAATTGTTGGCTTTACTTGGACTTGCACAAGATTGGGGGCTATACCAAGGCGGACACTCTCAGCTCTGTGCCATACCACGGAGTTGGCACCAGAATAAGCATATTTTCGCAAATTCGGTCAGCGCTAGGTATAGCACTTGGGATGAGTCTCGAAAACTGTCAAGATATGGTTGGATAGCATGCGATGTACGTTGGCTGAGATAAGCGGGTGCAATTGCCGTCAAGTTGTCGATGTTGGTTCAAGCATTGCTGTATAAGAGGACAGTTCTTAGACACTACGGCTTCAATGGGAATCATGAGGTGCGGTTCTGCCCAAAACCGTTATATTAAAACATTCGGTCAACTCGATTGAAACAATGATTGAATGTGAAGCTTGTTCGGTAAACTTGGAATAGTTCACCGATAATTTGGTAAGGCTGACATGTTTTGAGGCCTTGATTTGGCTACTAATAAGCTTGGCTGTCAGCATCTACAAATGACTTGGTCTGAATCAACAGCCAATCCTTAAGGTTATTTTGAGAGGCTAGCTTCAGCATCATTAACTGATTGGCCGAATGCTTGAGGGCCAGGATAAGATGATCAAAGTTATATGGCCCCCAATTCCGAGATTCCGATAACTTGTTTTGAACCCACGATGATACAGAAGGGTATAACAAGTTATCTAGTTTTTGTCTCGGATGAAGACGGGGCATGATTCCCTTCAATTTCCGTAAATATCGATGTTGTAGAAAACGATTTGAACGGGAGACCTGCTTTCCGTGTCCATTTCGGACTCACTTGGTGGTGATATCAGCTCAGACTAATCATATATGCATGTCATAGGATAGTAAATCTCTAGATATGCCGGAATTGCTTTAGAGCTGACCCTATTGCCCATCTTAGTCGTCCATTGGCACGCAAGCCAGCCTCATATGCAGCGCTTACTACTAGTCATCAATGGCCAAAAGTTTCTATCGGATCCGGTGGCTGTCTAGGCATCCTCTTGTCAGGCTTGAAAGCATCAATCCGTCCAAACCACAAGTCCAGATCTGATCTCCCATGTCTTGGGTCTTACGCCAGATATCCATCAAGTCATCTAGATCATCGTAGATCTATCTTGCCCAATAGAGCCGGCTGAATAGGATGTTGACTTCGACCTTGATAACCGTCTGCGTCAGCACCACCGTAACCTTCTGCAAAAGTTCCCTGACATGTGGATCCCTAAGTTACCTTAGTTACTTTGCTCCCGAGTTGCAGCATTTGGAGTCATAAACCCGGATGAAAGGCCAAGGGTAGTCGGGGAGGGTTCTCGAAATCTTCTTCATGAGGCCAATTCAAAGGGAAAGGCGGAGGAGGTGGGTTAATATCTTCAGGTATCGTGTCAAGCTCAGGTCAGATACAGTCGCTGTGAAGCACAAGAAATGTGTTCAGTGGCATACATGGGCTCCTGTGACTTGGTGCTGCTATCTTTCTGACATGCCTAAAGGAGATTAATAAACTTGGGACAGATTCTGAAGTCTGACAGGTATGAACTCACTTTCTAAATGCAGACGGCTGGTCTTGAGAAGGGACTCCATGTACTGGACAAGACTACTTCCACAAAGGAGTCACACATTCCTCCGTGCTCTTGTCGGTAAAATTTCCTATCGTCATGTGCGCACCCCATTCATATCCCCCAGATGGACGTTGTTCCCAAAGAAATTCGCCATTGAACACAGCCAGCCACGTATCCTTTGCTGCGGCAGTCACTGCTCAGCTTCAGTAGACGTGTAACAGACATAGCCATACTTCTGGCCCCATCCATAAATGTCATCAACTCCTCTGTATGCTTCCCTTCGCTTTACAACGCAGCGAGCCTAGGCACGTTCTTCGCGTGCTAGTTGCTCCTCGGATGTCTCGTTGTTTTCGTTCGATGTCTGTGGAGGGCGTGCTCAGTAATGATAAACATAGCATCGACAATAGATAGTGGCGGCTCTTCATTTCTTCCTGTTTCCTCATGCTATGGGTTTGCGTTTTGCGTCCATGCCGGTGTAGCGATGCGCTTTCTATATCGTGCCAGCGTAACTGTAAGAGGAAATCTCTTCGAGGTGATTCCTGTAGCCATAAACACGGCTTCTGGATTCATCGCAAACGCCTTGTGTGATCTGAACATTGGTTGCTATGTATCGTGGTGGTTAAAGCTTGGGCAACGACTCTATTCTTGGTGAAATACTGGTCCAGTTGATCTATTGTTGGTTTCACTTACACCAGTCTGCGAATGAGCTCATTCATAGCTTGACAGAAACAAAAACCCAGCTGGGTTCATAAAATCACTTCCTCCACGGAACTCGAACAAATTCCGGCTTACACCCATTCTCGGTTCTCGTACAATACGAACCCTGGCCGTGAACTTCTCATTTTCCCAAATAGGAAAATAAGCAACCAAGCTAAATGTGGATCATTCCAACCTTAACATGAACCTCACCACTCGTCAATTCGTTCAGACAGCTTCGAAAACATTACCAAAAACCCTTTAGCTCAATCTTGCTTCTGTAATCTTCATTACCGTGTGAGTCACGGTACAACGATCCGTGCATTTCATGAAACACTTGTACATTGGCATTCGGATAGATTGCGGACTTTATCTCAAGTCCGGGTCGGATCATCGCTGTAAAACGCCACGAACGTGAGGGGGGTTCACGCTGAGGAGGGGAAATGTGTAGTTGGACCGTGAATTAGGAATATGTAAGAAATAAGTATATAAGAGCTGAAAACTCCTAATATCTTTCAATTGATTCATCAACTCATACCTTCAAAATAACAACCTTCAAGAAATAGTCAATAACTCTCATCATGCCTTTCAGCCACGTTGCCCTCCCCGTTGGCGAACACTACGTCGAAATGCGCGACTTCTACAAGGCCATCCTCGCTCCTCTTGGCTATGAATTCAAGTTCGAAGGAACAGGCACCAAAGGAGCTCAGTACTGCAGTTTTGGTGTCAAGAATGGCGCTCCAGACTTTTGGCTTGGCGGCGGTGGCCCTGACTTGAAGAAATATGACGGGAATCTTGAGAACAGAACTGCACCAGTTCATATCGCTTTTGATGGTGAGAATCAGAAGCATGTTGATGAGTGGTATGATGCTGCCATGTGAGTCAACTGTCAATTTGAAGATATGATGAAGATGCTAACTGGGTTGGTGTAGTAAGGCTGGGGCTGTTGATAATGGAAAGCCCGGACTGAGGGAGTATAGACCCGGGTATTATGCGGCGTTTGTTCTTGATCCTGTTGGGAACAACATTGAAGTACTTCACATGTCTTAAAGCGGTGTATTGGGTGTGAATGGGTTGGCGTTGGCGTGTGGGGGGAAGAACTGAATGGAAGCGAGGTCAGTGAACAAAGTGATAGTTATAAAAGTGTTGCCTTGATCAATCTCCCTATCCAATTGTTCTCTTCGTCACAGTGCCTAAGACTTAAATCTTTGAACCTGTGGGTTCTCCTGCGTTTCAGGAATGCCATTCCTTATCAACCACCATCCAATGACCTCGAGTGGATAATGCCCTACACACTCTCGCTCGGGATCCTCCTGAATACCCTTTTCAATATCACTCTTGACCTCTCCCCAGGTCACCATAAGCGGTGTCGTATCTCTGTTCCCATGTGAAGCATTAACCAGAAACTCACTCAACATGGCTGCCCGATCATTTCCCCGATTTCGCGTTGTCTCCCAGGGAATCTTGACCCTCTCTGGTAGCGGTAGAAGCACAGCCGTGTAACTCTGTGCCTGGTACGGCTCACGCCCCCAGACCATACCGCCTCTATGGCGCAGCTCAGGAAGAATGTAGTTCAAAGTCCGCATGCCCGGCATGAAGTCGTACAACGACTCTATAGAAGCTCTCCAGTATTCAGCCATGGTCTCATTAGCAGCTGGACGGGGAACATCTCGAAAGAAAGCGCGCCACTCAATGCCGACGTTGAGAACTTTATCATAACCATGGATTGTGATTATTGAGTTATGTGGTTTGGTCTTTAGGGTGACCCGTTGGTTCCGGTCAAAGTAGAGGATGTCTGTTTCTGGTCTGAACCACACGCCTGGGTTGTCTCCGTGAGGTGAGAGAAAGAAGCCTTCACGCTGTGCGACAGCGCGAGATTCCCGACATACTCGAAGAGCTATCGGAGGTGCGTAATGGATGTGAAAGAGAAAGAACAGTTCGTCGACTGTTGGGTTGGTTGAAGGTTCTTGTTTTGAGGTCTTCTTTACGTGAAATAGACGACAGTCAGGGAGAGTGAACTTCCAGATGAGATCTCTAAGCTCAGGTGGTAGACCTTCCAGTCGAAAGTGACTTGAGCTCGAATCCTCAGTAGAAGCCATGGTTGTTTGCAATTTTGGATGAAACGTGAAATACTGATGTGTCTCGGAATAGTTGTTGGTGAAAGGAGCATGTTTTATAAACGGGCGTCAGGCACCCGAATTCGGTGATACGAGAATGCGAGTCTGCCTTAAGCTAGTCCAATCGGCTTCGTCAGCATTATCGTCACCTCGATAGGCATCAAAATACCAGCGCGACCCTCAAACAAGGTTACCCATTTAGTTTATATCATTAATATATGTTTGTATCGATCAAGGCTGAGCTTCATAAATGTATAGAGTGCTGTTATGCTGATCCGGTAGTAGGTAGAGCCTCAGCTTACCATCCCTGACGCTAACATCCATTGGATTCTGAGTCAATCTCACCCCAAGCTTACTCTCCAGCTCAATTGGAACTTCAGCTAGAGGAATCATCGTTTTGACGTCCACGAGAGCAATACCGCCAAGGTTGTAACCGCCAATTGTCGCGGCACCTGAACACAGCATGACACTCTTTCCGCCGTAGAAACCACTGTGGCCCAGCCATTTGCAGTCTTGGTAGTCGATGAAATAACTTGGATTTCGTACGACTCTTTCAGGTTTCGGTGCTGCATCACATCCTGTTTCGGCGCTCTTGAGATCCCATGTTGCAGCGTCTCGTGCGCCCCAATTAAGGGCTGTAATAAGGTTGTCGCGAGTGTCGTGAACAATGCCGCCAAGGTGATCATTATAATTGAGTACGCGCTCCGGTACCAAGATCGCTGGATCTGTCCGATATACATACGCAGTACTATTGGGTCGGTACTGCGCGATGGTTCCCCAGATATACTGTCCATCAAAGTCAATTCCTCCATTATGATACTCATCACTCCCCTCTTCCGTAATGGTCGCATCAGCTAGGAGCTTTCCTTCTCCATTGTACACCAACAAATGAGCTAGCCCAGCACCAGCTGTTCGGTCTGTTCCATTGATGATCTTGCCGTACTTTTCAGTCGGCACGGTCCAATGCCCTGAACTGACCACGTAACGATCATCGCCCAAACGTACCATTCCCTCAGGCTCAAACATGTCGCCCTCAAAAGTAATGTTTGCAATACTCTTCCATACAGTCGAGCGGCTCAATAACTGAAAAACGTGTATAATATCCGGTCCATCTGAGGCTGCATGAGCCGGAGGTAGTGGAGTCGGAACCAGGGCATCATCCGTATAAAACGTAACGTTCCTCGCCATAGCCAACGCCGGACAAACAGCAATCGAACTTGTAAGCTTCATATCCGTTGCCCCAAGGTTAAAAAGAAAATGAACCTGAGGCGCAAGCATAACAATCGTCAGAACAACAACGAGCGGAAGGGTCAGTTTAAATGTAGTGCTAGCACACCACGGCTTCCCCGGAAGGCGATCGTGATCAGATCCTGGGTCTCCATCTTCACACATGCTCGGCGAATGTGAGGAGAGATAATGATGATTTGATGCTGTTGATGGTGCAAGGTAAATAAATAGAAACTCCTTAAATTAGACCAGCCCGATGGCTCGGCGCCGTCACGTGGAGCTTCGCCGATCCTCCGCCGGTAGTTGGTGTTTTCGGGGCATTTAGCGAGGGTCCACCTTCCGGGGGATTAAACTTTAACTTAAGTGAACTGTAGCGGCCCCAAGATGACAACAAAAATAGCCTGTATAAAACAAACTTCTGTTTCTTTGGAATATCTTTACGTAGTTTCACTTATTTCATGTATTTACTAAGTAATTATCAGCATACTCAATACTCTGTAATATATCGACTAGGGTAATTCTTCTAGTAAAACAAGGGCATGGCTTCCTATCTTCTCTCTACGGAGAGCGTCCTTATCTGAGGCAGAAAGTGCAAGGACATTTTGCATTAAAAAGGCAACCATCGACCAACTAGTCTCTTCTCAAACAACATCATTCTCCGAATCACATAAAGCGCAACATGCCACAAATCATCTTCGATTCCATGCAAGACCTCATGCTCCACATGGACCCCGTCACAGACGTTCGGCGCCAATTTCTGGATCTTTATCTCGCTTACGAGTCCGGCAGTGCCTTCGATTTATCAGGCATCACACGATTCACAGCATCGACTCTATTGACCCCTAATGACTTGGAGCGCAGGCTTCGCGGCTTTTAGTACCACCTCAATAACCTCGCCGTTTTCAAACCCAAGCGTCAATCTGCCATCATCAAGCTTATACTCGCCATTCAAGAACGAGAAAAGGAGCTCGAGGAGCGTCGACAAAACGACAACTGGGAGTACGGCCAGGACATCCTTAGCTCTGAAACTTGTTGGCGCAATTTCAGCTGCTAGCACCAAGTCTGGAATACCTTGAACGCATGTACGTGTACTGACTACCATGTGTCCAACTTGCTGACATACTCAACTTACAGACTACTATAAGGATTACGACCCTGTACAGGGCGATCCTCTGGGCTTAGGGGTTCATTTTCCTCGCCAACAAGCCCGTGTCAACGTCAACATATTCGTAGCTCGACTCGCTGAGGAGGTAGGCCACAATGCCTTTCTTGGGGCATTCGCTGCATATCGACAAGACGCAATGAGATTACTAGAGCTCGTAGTTGATGGTACGAGCGTGCGACCCGAAGACTTCACTCAAGTCGCCTCGCAGATTGCTATACATGCGCCTCGCCAAACGAAGAATTGTCCTTGGCCTATCTCTGGACTTTTTGAGCAGCCCCAGGAGAAATGGGAGAAACACAAGAGTCTATGGGTTGCGCTCACGGTTCACGAGATTCCAGTAGTGCAAGATGCGGCGTGGGAGGCTCTTGCTAAAATGGCTATCGCTGATATGGATTTACAGTCAAGGCCCTGAGCAGATGATAGGCTCAGCCTCTTAGAATCACAAAGTAACAATAGTATTATAAAACTCTTTATACTGGTTATCTGGTTATCTGGTTATTTCTTCTGTCATATTGGGGCCTCTATAGGTCCCTTGAGTTAAATTTCAACTTCAAAAAAGCATAGATCAAGCGAACATGTTCGAAGAGAAAAGAACGGGGGCCGTCATGTGCAGGCCCAGGGTCTTCCCACCAACTTGTAGTATCTCGCCAATCATGCATACAGCCAGCGCGTGTTGGCCTGTTATGCCAGCCCGCGAGGCGTGTTTCGCATTGGAAGATTGGCCGGCTTGGATGATGAAATGGCCGGCCCCCGGGTTGAAAGTGAGGCTGTGGTTGGGCGGTGATAAGATATTTGAACTGGACATTGCAGAGTTGCTTGATGAGAGGGAAGTATATAAACTTCACTCAGTCGCGCGCACTGCACTCCTTCAATGGTGTCAGTTTTCATTGCTTCGCTTGATATAAGCTGTCGGAAGCAATAACCGCTGTTGTGGTCACGTCAGGCTGCGATTCTTATGCGGGCGTTTTAAATTGGTGATCTTTCCATCATCGTCGCGATGGGGCTTTTCAACGACATTGACATTGAGCGAGATTTTCCGGACCATAGTAAGAGTTCTCTTTAGTATTCCAGTCACATGAAACGAAGCTGACACGGTATTAGAGGTCAAGTCTATGGTGACGAGTTCTGAGTGGGCAGTTCAACAGCATCAGGACAACTTTCCTGGCAATTCTGCTCAGAACTATCACCAGTACCCAACCCAAGATGTCAATACTTTTGACTCTTACAACTCAACCTACTATGGCAATAATGAGCAAACGTCAGCCAACACTTCCTACAGCACTCCCAGGCCTCAGATGTAGTCTGGGAATCATGCACGTATTTACGGCTTTGATCCACACGTCAGTGGACTGGCCGGTCTACAAGCGGGATTGTCGTTGGATAGTAGTGGTTCCGAGGATGATAGATCTGAGAGTCGGAGTGAAGACGAGTATGGGACGGGCAAGTTGAATCTCTTCCATCGTCATCTCAGCAAAGACTAATTAGTGTCAGGCACTGGGGAGGTAATATGTTGCGGAAGATCTTGGAAGCAAGGAGCCAGCTACAGGTCAGAACACCTCATCCCTCAATAAACTTCCAAGCCATCTAACTTTATAACAGGAAGCATTACAACCGTAAACATAACCGTCGCCTCAAATGTGTCTTCCAAAATAGCTGCAACTATCTAGGAGCAGATAAGAAGGAACTTCATCGTCACTACTGGGTATCTCACAAAGAATATGCTCAAGCGAACCAGATCCCTGATCCTAGTGGAACTTGTGAAGCTTGTGGGAAATATTTTAGTAGAAAGGATCGTATTCCTCGTCATCTTTCACGGTCACCTTCATGCCGTGTTAAGTTGGGGCTTAAGAAATAGCTGTATCTTACTACGACATGGAGGAACGGTGCAGGGTGATGAGGGATCCGGCTTCTGACTTTACTAGGGACATCGCTACGGATTGGGATATGAGTTTCGTGTTTTTGTGTTTTGTATTTTGTTCTATCTATGTATTCGCTCTGGGAACTCCCAATTCCTTACATATACTTCTGTTTCAGTATGAATCTCTTCATGATCAGTTCCAGACCAACTCCATCATATATCACAAGACATGGCCGTCAATTGCCAGCTAATCCTTTCAGTACAAATCTATCAACGTTGGTGTTTACCAAATAATGCTCTCCCACTGCTTCTTCGCAAGGTCCTCCTTTGACTCGGTAGGCTTTGTGGGCAGAGGAAGCTCCTTAAGGTACTTAACCAAAGTCTTCGGGTGGAGTGCGACACCATTCAACTTCTCCTCCCATTCTTCCTGGGGCAAGTTCTCAATGATTTCTCGAATCTTAGTGGAGCTAGGCGCATCTTCAGGCCGTCGATCCAAATCACATGGTATGAATCGGACAGTGCCCCTGGGTCGGACCCGGTTCTGGCGACAGATCGAGATTTTGTTGTCAAACCGAGCTCGGCCATCCTGGAGATTTACCCAGGGCGTGCAGCCCGCAAGTTGTCGGAGAGTGTTGGGATAGCGGAAGTCGACGGGGCGAGAGATGTCACTGGTGATAGCATCGCCGCAGTCCCAACACACAGGGTTATACCCGCCCGCTGCAGTAATGGCATCTGGACCAAATAGAAGAACGAACTTGAGGTCTATACCATCCCTCTTCAACTCATTGACAAGCTTGGTTCTGAACCCCGCCCAGCTGGCTTCAGAGTTGTCGTAGACCCATGCCCAGTCGACAGGGATGCCGTCGCCACGCCAGAGGTCAGCTCGCTGCTCACGAGAAAGGACGATACCGGTCTCCCTCTTATCCATCTTCATCTTCAGTCTCTCATCATCAGTGTTGATGATGATAGCTGCAATGATGTTGAGATCTTGTCCTGCATTATAGAAGACATGCTTAAGGAGATTAAGGTGACCTTGGTGAGGTGGGTTGAAAGAGCCAGGGAAGAGGAGGATGCGGTTGACTCGACCTCGAATAAGAGGATGCTGTGTTGCCGTGTTGTTGTTGAAGGGGCGAGCGGTAGTCTGCGATGAAGTCTGGTCAGTCTCATTGATGCGCTCGATATAGTCTGCAAGACGTCGGGGAGCCATAGTTGCGTCTTGAGAAGTTGGTTGAGGGTTTGTGGAAGAGGAAGAACTCATGACGAAGGGAGTCAGTGTGAGATACCTTTATGTAGGAGTATGGTCGGCTGTTCAAATGAACGCGCTGATGGCAGGTACTGTGATTCACAGCTGTGGCCTGCGCACAGAGTATGAAGTATGACGGCTGACTTGAATAATTATTTTATAGACACACTTATAATGAGCAAAACTTCTTGAACTAGAAGTTTGAGTCGTCCCTCTTGCTCTTCCAACCAATTCGGTGTAATTTTGTTAATGTTAGTGTAACCCACGATGGAATTGTATGTGCTAGTGGAAAAGCGTGGTGACTGTCGTGAAAACAATGTCGAGAGATGATTTGATTTATTGTTACTCAGTCCATTCGACAGTTTATATATACATTGGAGCGAGCTATTGCTTGCGGTGCTTAAATGACTGTTCAAACCCGTGGTCTCTCAACGAAATGGTGTTTATGACATGACACTTCCGTACACCAGGAGGGAACAGGTAATAATCGAGGTACGCGCACACATAATTTAACGTGCTAGATTTGAGCAATGATTTATTTATGAACAAGCGCATAAAATGAAATCAGGAATCGTGAGAGTTCCTTTTTCAGGTGTTGCGATATTCTCTAGGGTAAGCACATTGAGATGGTAGGACCGTGATGCTGAACAGGGATATTCACCAATCAAGCTATATATAGAAGATCGAGCTATGACACATGATCAACGAATTTTGCATTCTGAGATTGACAGGAACATTCACTTGTAAATTGTCATAGATGAACAATGATGGATTTGTTTGTACGCGATCTGCCAAAGGGATACTCACAAGTCGAGCAATCATTTTGTTTCCAATTGCCGGTAAACGCCTCGGCTGATCAACAAACAATCTCGTCGCGAAACCCTGTCAGTATCTGAATCAAGCACGGTCGGTGATGGTTCGTCAATCAGAATCAGAACGGGATAGCCGCAGGCACAGCTGCATGGGATCGACACCACACAAACACCACAAAGCGCACAGCATGAAAATACGATGAGAAAAAGGCGGGTAGATGCATGAGAACTGAGATTTCCGCTGGAAAGAGAAAAAAAAGAATATTGTTGGTCTTGTTCTTGAGTAAGAACCTGGCATGACGGAACGACGGATGATGTTGCCGTGAATCGTAAGGCGGTGAAAAATAACAACAAAAAAAGAAAAAGAAAAAGAAGAGAAAGGAAAGGGTTTGCTCCGCTCATTTCGCTGAGGTCGGGTGTGCCATAAATGGAAACAGGTCAGGGGTGATTGGATGCCGAGATGCCAGCTCTCAACCAAAAGATATGGGGTAACGTCACTACAAGTCATGGCAGAGAAGAGCAAAACCAGCCCTGTATTTACTGTCTGACAGTCGTGCTCGTCGATCTAACGGGGCATCTCACCTGGTGAAAGTCAACACATTCGTGAGCTATGTCTATCTCCTCCATTCTTTTCTATTCCTTGTCAATTATACTAAGACCAGTCTCGGGAATGTGAGGATAAACAGATGAACAACAGACAGACAGTGGAACACATGACCCCTGTTATGGGAGGGTATTTCAAGTGTCGTCTCATTCGTCAGATGGACCGCGGCCACGGCAGACAAGGCTTGGGGCGAACTGGGACTAGTTTAGCTTGAAAGCTTTTTGTTGGAGATTTTCATTCTCTGGCGTCATGGGCATGATGAGATGAGATGAGATGGTGATCATGAAGAGACTCAAGAGCGAGCTGGAGTCGAAGCTGAGCACTCGGAGCACTCTAATCGAGTACCATACTGAGGGGCATGCAGCGGATATTCCCTGAACTTAAAATATACGAGAGACTCGAGTTTGCTTGTGACAATAAGAGCTCCAACTCCAGCTCCAGCTCCGAGTCAGCTGTCGCTGGGTTCAATGTCGCATCACATCAAGCTTCCTGTCTGCCGTTCTGCTTACTCACTGTGCATAGCCTTTCTGACAGACAGCCCCCCCCCTCCCCCTCTTGACTCTCAAGTACTGTACCTACCAACCATCGAATTGAACCTGATTCAAGTTAAAAAGACCACCAACAGGGTCTTTTGCCCATCTTGTGTGTGCTGTGTGTGTCACTCGCCCACCCATGTCTCACTGTCCACTTAGCGCCCACCGCTTCCCAAGTACCCCCCCTTCCCCCTGGCCCATACTCCCCATGCCCCGATCCCTGTCCATCTTTTCGGCGCGGGCCCTGGGCGTTCAAGCCATGATGAGCTAGACACTGTATTCATACAGTATTATCGTGAAGACGAAGTGAACGTGAGTGAGTAGAGGAGATATCTTCGATTTTGTGGTAGACAGATAAGAGAAGAAGGCCTGAGCTCATACTTGTCATGATATCAACTTATAACCCTGCTATTCTTCTCTGTTAGTCTCGATCTTAGTACGAAATCAGATTCTTATTACACCCCAGCTGGGGCACAGCAGTGTAACAACAAAGTCGATCCATTGGGTGATGTGATTGTTTCTGATCACGCCTCTGTCCTGCTTTGAGCCAGCCAGCACAACACCTCAGTTTCAACTGTGTGTGGTAGAGTGAGTGAGTGGATGAGTGGATGGGTGGATTGTCACCTCGTGAAGCCATCTACCTTTACTCCTTCAAGATAAACATCGATATTTCCAACATTTCGACCATTTTTGTGTGTCTCGTCAGTATCACGTTGTTCGCATATCTGGCACGTGTCGTATGGGTGTGTCCCTTGCTTTTTGCGTGTTCGTGTATGGTACCGTACATCTTTTACTTACCGCCGCGTTTTTGTCGCATAATCACAGACGTTTTGCTTTCTTGCTTCTGAACATTGCGCGCGCTCTTGTGCGATCTGATTCACTGCGCATACATCATCAGTTGCGCATTTTACTTCACCTTCCCGAGGCACAGGCTTTGTTTTCCCTTCAGCGCAAACCCAATTATCGCAGACCGACACGACTGACAACTCAAAACGCTGAATTACTTGACTAGAGTTAGTGGATTCGACCTCCACTGACTGGCATTTTTTTTCTTTGGAGATTTCCTGGGGTGGGAACAGGATTGGGTGGATTCAAGCCAAAGAGGAAAAGCTCCTTGCTAAAGCGAAAGGGAATTTTGGAGCTAAAAAATTGGCGCCATGGATCCACGGCATCCGCCCAAGCTTCCCTTTTCGCCGTCGCCATACACTATTGTTTCTCCTTTCCCTCAAGTTCCAGTTCCAAATCCAGCTCCAGTTTCCGCTTCTCCAACAACAACAAAACAACCATCGTCAACACTCAACGGCGTCATCACGATCCCTTCTGCCGGTAGCGCCTCGGCCAGCGCGACAGCAGCCGTATTCTATCCCATCGTCTCACCTCCTCCTCATTCTTATCGAGTCGCGCGCGCCGAACCTTATCATCATCCTCATGCTGAGAATTTGAGCCCCGATCAAAACCTTGCGTATGCCGCTCCTCATAGTTTGGCCCAACCACGACCCTCCGACACCTCCATATATACTCAAACGATCCACCATACAAGCCACGAATCAAATCACGCGCGTTTCCAAAACTCTACGGCCATTAACTCTCTTCGAACTCTCAATCGCGAAATGCCCCCTCCGACGTCGCCTCCTCAACCGGGGGCGAAACCGCCGCAAACTCAACAGGCGCACAGCATGATGGGCTATGGTCCACCTCCTCCGCAACCTGGTCCTCCTGTTGCTGTCGGTCCCCCGATGTCTTTTCCTTCAGGTCGCGAACTTCCTGCTCTCGGCGCGCTGGCAAGATCAGGCAGCAGTAACAGCTCCATGTCGATATCGTCAATGTTGGGCGGTCCACCTCCAGCCATGCGCGAATCGCAACCTCCGCCATCGCATTATCCTCCTCATTCTGGGCCACCCGTCTCTGGCCCTGGGTTCGCGACTGCAGTACATGCTTCACCGCGAATGCACTCTGCTACTTCCAACTACCCGCCTTTTCGTCGACCCCATACTCCCGATCATCAGCGACCTTACGAGCCCAGAAACTCACCGCCTGGACACTACCCCACATCCGAAGTCCCGCGCTACAGCACACCTTCTACCTATTCAAGGCACCCCTCAGGCTCTGCAGATCATGCAAGAGAACCTGGCAGGTTACCACCGGGACCCCCTCCAAGGCCGAGCAGCCAGCCTAAGTATCCGGGAATGCCTCGACCGATGGAGATGGGACGACCACCGGGACCGGAAGAAGCATATGGGCGACGAGATGATATGGGCCGACCTCCGCCTGGCATGGAATACAACCCTGAAAGAGTTGGTTTGCGACCTAACCCGTACGAGGATCGATATAGGGCAGAACGCGAGCGAATGGGTGAAGTAGAGCAACGCGAACGCGAAAGAAGAGAGCGCGCATACTCTGGCAGCGATTCAGGAAGACACTCGATACACCCTGGCGACTATGGGCACCGCGAACCACCTCGGAATCCTCTACCGTACGGTCGACCGCCTGATCGTGACCCGAGGGACATCAGAGATCCCCGCGACCATCGGGATCCTCAAAATCGTGACCCTAGAGACATGCGCGAGCGAGATCCTAGAGATGCGCAATGGGGTCGCCCAGGCCCTGATCCCAGCTATCGAGCACCCATGGATCATCAGCGACATCCCGATTATCCCCCTGGCGCGCCTTATCCTCCTCATGGCCACTCTTATCAAGGGCCCCCACCCGATCGATATGCGCCCTCCTCACATCCACCACCTCAAAATATGCCACCTGGACCGGCACCTTATGAGTCCCCCGACCGAGCGCGTATGAGTTTAATTCCTACGCAACCACAACAACATCCCCATCGAAGACCAGAGGAAGGGCCACCACCACCAACAATTGCCTACAATGGAGCTCATGGTCCTGGACCATATGACTCCCCCCGACATCGGAATAGCGACGACGCTTCAGCCCCAAACGGCCAGCGTAACTTGTTAGCCATTCAGGAGATGAATCGAAAGGGCAGAATTTCACCACTCCCACAAGCTGTACAGGGTGCGCAATTGCAACAACCTGGACCAACTGGTGAACCTGGAATCAAGAGCGAATTCGGTCGCATGTTTGCAGGTATTGGTAATGGAGTCATGGGAGTTTCAAGTCCCATCGCCTCTACAGCCATGCCTTTTACAAATGCAAGTCTCGCTAAGCGCGAGGACTCGGAGAACATAACACCCGATTCAGGTACAGAGGCGGCAGGCAAGGGCACCAAAGGCAGGAGGAGAAAGCTGAAGGACGATGATGGAAAGGGCGATGATGATAGCTCAGGACGAGCGACTCCAGCAAACAGGGCAAAGCGTCCCAAGACTCACCAGCATCACCATCATCATCAGTACGTTGGCTTGCCGTTTTCTCTTGATTTCGCTGACCGTAATAGTCATCCGCACCACCACCATCATCATCCAGCCGACTCCGCGCCATTGACTGGTGCTGCGCCTTTCAAGAACTTCAAGACTGGTGCTCCCCCTGGCGAAAAGGGCCTACCTGTTCCTCATCACCACCACCCTCCTCGACCTATGCATACACACCAGCACCAGCCAGCGAAACAAGCTGTGACGAACTCGGCTCCGATCATCCCCCCGAAATCGAAAACAATTATATCATCGAAGGCTGTATTGGAATCCGTCTCAGACCGACCCAGGCACCATCTTGGAGATTTTATCTACGATCCTGGACTGAAACCTGGACGATTAGTACCAAGTACCTCTACACACCGGGCTTTTGCTTCCAACCCCAAACCGTTGCCATGGGATATGATTAAGAACAAGGAGAATTGTATCCTAACAGTCAAGGTCGCAAGAATTCATCTCTCGTCAATCGCAAGAGAAGAGATAACGTCACGAGGCTATCTATGGGGCACTGACGTTTACACGGACGATTCCGATGTAGTTGCGGCCTGCATCCACAGTGGTTGGATCAAGGGAGAATGGGCTGAGGATGTTGACAACTCAGTTTTGGATATCGATCAGGGAGCCAGCGACAAGCGACGTAAGAAGCCAGTGAATTCGACTGTCGACCTAGAATCCGAAGACCTCATCACCACCCCTCCCCCCAGCGGACCCATGTCGATCCCTGCGCAACGCGATCTGCACGTCAACGTTCTAATCCTTCCTCGATTGGTCAAATATTATGCTTCTACGCGACACGGGATCTCCAGTCGAGAATTCGGTGGAGACTACGGCCATCGCCACTCGGTTCACGACGGAATCAGTTACATGATTAAGAGTGTACGATGGGTTGAGAACGGCGCACAACCACAGGCTCGACTTCGAGGCAAAGCCCGACGTGAGCGCATGCGTAAAGCTATGCGCGAGGTCAAAGGAGGCCTCGACAACATCAACGGCATTGATCTTGACAAAGACAAAGAGGGACAAATAAGAGGAGGAATATCTGCCACATGGAGAAAAAAGGAGCCTGAATCATCCACATCGAAGAATAATGACCCCGTGGCAGAAGGCGACAAGGAGAACCAGTCCTCTGCAAACGACGAAGGAGTCAAAGAAAAGAGCGAGGAAAAGGCTCAGGACGTGGAGATGGATGATGCTGCCGAAACTTCAGCTACAGAGGAGAAGACGGATCAATGACCTGATCGTCACGATTTGTCACATGTTCATTAAAAGGCGTTGGTGTCATTGCATTGCAGGGCAGAGAAACCAAGGTCTTGTAGCACTAGAATACCCCTCTTATGATAATAACAAGTTTAATCAGAAGGCGTTGGCCTTTGAGTCTATGTCGCCTCGTCTAGTTTTGATACAATTTTGTACAGTTACCACCATATGTTGAACCAATTCCCATTTTGTAGGCAAAGCTTCGCCAATGCTTCTAGAAATCTGTAACTCGTCCGTTGTAAGACCAATCGCCCTCTCCGCCCCATCTCAAAGGCTCATTCTTGGGCCCTCCAACCTCTCCGGTCTTGGGATTCGTATCACCCTCAAACTCAGGCGGCGCGCCACGGAACAAGCCAACGTTTACATCATCTGTCTTCTCAGGCGTAGTCGTGTGACGAACTTGCGATGTGGCAGGTGTGGTGGCAGCGGGTGTTTCTTCGGGCTGGAAGGCGGATGATACAGAGGCTGCGCGCTGGAGACGCTCGAATTCCGCTTGTTGGTCGGCGGGCAGTTTGGGTGGTGAGGGGCGGGTTTGGAAGGTTGAGGAGAGGCGTGTTGTGCGGAGGGGCGTCAAGAGCATGCGGCGGGGGAGAAGGCGTGACATTTTCGTTGTTTTTGCGTGTAGTTTGAGGGGTGAGTGGTTGTTTGGTGATATTGAGTATGGTATTGAGAATGCGATGGCGAATTGATAGAGGAAGTGACGCAGATCGGGGAAGAGACGGGCCGAGGTTAGATTGACATGATTGATCGGTCATAAAGTGGGGAATGATCGGGATGAAGAGGTACGTATCTTTTGAAGTGGTGATGGCTTCATTTACGATTTAGATGATGCCTGTGCTGTACATCTCTGGCAGCCCCATTCACAACGGAAGGATTAAAACCGAGTATTTCCAGGATCACCTTAACTTATGTAGCTGCAGCAAAGCACCGTTCATTAACTTTCAACCCCCAATGAAAGACATCACGAGAACTTCGCCGTCGGAACTTTCGCTTCTTTACTTTGCGACCTTGATAGACTTTGTTATGTTGCAGTCACGAGTTTCGAAAGAGGCACCCACCAAGTCAAAACTATCTTCACCTTTGACACATCGTCTCATGATGTCGGCCACTTCGGTCGCCCGATCGGGTGGCTTCAATGACACGTGGGATTAAGGCTGTTCCTGGAGCCTCAAGACAAGGGGCTCTTCAATAAAGATGTAGCCGAGACGCTAAGATACTATCGACGGTGTCAATATGTAGGTGTGGCGTTGTTAGCCTGACGTCTGAGCTCGGTCAAGGATATCGTAGTGATGTGATACCTTCGATTGCTGTTTCGGTAACAGCCGCAGTGAGATCTTTGTCTTGAAGAAGTTGACTCATTTTCATAGAGATGCTTATTCGTGGAGGTGCTGGTTGATATGCCTTGTTGTGGTGGTGATAGAATGGCTTCACTCAAACCAGGCGAAGATGAAGTCATGATATACGAGCCACAATGACACCCAAAAGCCTTGAATATCCGTTGATTCCGTTGAAATAACCTTTTCAGCTTCTAAACCGCCAAGTCTCTTAAATTGTATCATCCTTCTTGTAATCGCCTCAACACGCGTCTCTCGTCAACCTCGTGCTCCATCCTCATGTTTTCATTGGCTCCTCAACTCTTTTACCACCACAGCCCCCATATCACCACACAGACATCTCGGCAACATCTTAAACAAGTCTTGCTCGGTCCTCAATTCGATCATTTTACCCCCTGCATCGACCGTTTCTTCACCAGAAAAGCCAAGATCGGTTCTAACATCTCGCCTATCGAATCATAGCTTCGCAAGGACGCACACTTTTTGCGGGAGGACGGATAGTTAAACCAATCCTTTGGGTGTTTAAAGGGAGCTTGGGACCCACGATCGTCGACTGCGGCTTATGCTTTGATCAGTGCTTATCAGCCTTTGTTAATGGTTGTCTTGATCATGGATTGAGATATCGCTGTCGTGGAGACAGCAGCAAGCCATTGATAGTCTATTATTGTTATTACCCCGAATGAGATGGCGGTGCTTCATCAGTATGATTACATCTTTGCTCTTACTGTTATCTTCGCCTGTCTCGATGCCTGGAACATTGGTAAGTCTTTCGAGTATCTTGCTGGATTACGCTGACATTGTAGGCGCCAATGATGTCGCCAATTCCTTTGGCACGTCGGTCTCTTCGAGATCGCTGACCATGAAGCAAGCAATGCTCGTAGCAGCAGTTTGCGAATTCAGTGGCAGTGTATCCGTTGGATCTCGAGTAGCAGATACTATCCGAACAAAGATTGTCGATCCTCACCACTACGACAGTTCACCCGGCGTTTTACTTCTTGTCATGATGTGCACTATCATGTCATCCTCGCTCTTCCTCACTTTTGCGACTCGGCAAGGATTACCCGTCTCGACGACTCATTCTCTCATAGGCGGTCTAGTTGGAGCTGCTACAGCGTCGATAGGCATCACCAAAATCAATTGGGGATGGCATGGTGTGTCGCAGATCTTTGCGGCATGGATTATTGCACCGTTGATCGCAGGCTGTATGGGGTTTGTACTGTTCATGTTCACCAAGAAGTTCATCTTGACGAAACAGACAGCTGTCAGGAGGGCATTCTACTCTATCCCGTTCTATACCTACTTGACAGTAGGTGCACTCACGATGCTTCTCGTTTGGAAAGGGATCCATACTATCAACCTATCTACTCGAGATATCGTCATATCAGTCTTTGCGACAGCCACTGGAATGACTCTCCTCCAAATCTTCTTTCTACTTCCCTTCCTATGGACGAGAATAATGCACGAGGATTGGACTCTCAAATGGTATCATGTCTTTCAAGGACCACTTCTTCTCTGGCGATCACCACCTCCGCCGACACCAGCTGGATTCACTAAGCCTCGCATCAGAGACTACTACCAGGGACATCTCACACGGGAGGAACTCAACCATCTACGTACCTCTGAAACTCTTCTTCAATCGATTCAAACACCAGACGGCCAGTTACCCGATCTCGACCGCGACGATGAATGGATTCTCCCACCGCCAGCTCAGACGCCACCCAAAACACCCCCAGGTCGCTTTGAACCTCGTGCCTCGTCGGAATTCATACCTCCACGACCCGACGGCTCATGGAACAGTCCTAAAGTAATGGCATGGAAAGTTAACCGCGTGCTACTCCGCGGACTAGAGAAGGACGTCGTGGCCATGCAGAAGCGGAACAATATCCTCAACTGGGACTTGGAGGACATGCACGCTCGATCAGCGCACTATGACAACCGTGCAGAGTACATGTATTCCGCTCTTCAGATCCTCACCGCCGCAACAGCATCTTTCGTCCACGGCGCAAACGACGTCAGTAACGCAGTCGCCCCGTTCACAACCGCATATCAAGTATGGTCTAGCGGAGGCATTCCCGAATTCGTCGCCATCCCGATATGGATTCTCGTCGTAGGTGGTGCATGTATCGTCGTTGGACTTTTGACCTACGGCTACCACGTCATGCGGACACTAGGCAATCGTTTGACACTCATTTCGCCAAGTCGTGGTTTCTGCATGGAACTTGCGAGTGCAATCACTGTGCTTATGGCGACGAGGCTGTCTTTACCCGTGTCTACTACGCAGTGCATCACGGGAGCTACGGTGGGTGTTGGGTTGGCGAATGGGGATTGGAGATGTATTAATCCGAAGCTTGTGCTTTGGATTTACATGGGTTGGTTGATTACGTTGCCGGTGACGGGAGTCATGTCGGGCTGTTTGATGGCACTGATCATCAATGCGCCGAGATGGGACGGGTGATTATATTAAAGAGTGTTTGCATTTTTGGGCTTAGCGATGATACCTATTCTATCTTTTGGTTCGTGTTTATAATGATATGATATGACTATAATTAGAAGTATACACTAGAAGCTTATAGAATACTTAAGGCTAAAGTAACTCATGCATGCAGTTTGGACATAATTACTACCGTAACAAGATAATGGGACCATGGGGCCAATGCGTCCCGCTCGTGATGGCTTCATGATTGTTTGCTCATCTCCACACTAACGGCTAGCCTCCTGTAAAACAGCTCGGGTATGACACCTATTCCGATCTAACATCTCCTCAAGTTGATCCCACAACTTAAAAACATCAGACTCGTCAAGTTCTGGATCGTGATCACCCACTGCGGCCCACTCCTCTATAGGTATGATATCGTGATTCGCCAGCCCAACCACGAACCTCCTCATTTTGACATCCGATCCGTCTGAATGATCAGCAAAGGGGTCTCCAATTCGTTTATGCACTGGGCGCGTCGTGGTCGTAAATTCAACTAGTTGTTTGGGCTGTCTGTCGAGGAAGAGGTTGATGATGTTGATCCAGACTTGCTTGGCTGGGGCTATGCAGTTCCGGAGGCTGATCTTCTCAAGCGTCCCTGTATGGTTGGAAAGAAAACCAACGAGCTGATGTGAGATCTGAGAGTAATCCAATTCGAATGTTGTTAAATATGGTAGATTGATAGACAGAGATGCCCAGTCTATCGGTTCCACGAGTTGCTCATTGCCAATGACTGCATTCATCTTCCCAGTGAGTCGCAAGACCAGAACATTGTGCAGATTCTCCAGAAACATCTCCGGAAAGAGAGTTATGAACCCCTGATGCGCTGTAGTCATCTTCCCATATTTGTAACTCCCGCCATCTCCCATGTATCCCACACCGGCAAGTGTCATCTCAAACGATGTCAGGTGTTTAAGAAGACCTTTCCACGTTTCTGACTCACATGCACGATATGTTTCTCGCCCAGTTGGCGGAAGACTATCGATCTCAAGTCGAGAAAAGGAGCCGGCGCTTTTGCTCAAGGCTAGTAGACTCCCTTCGATAAGAACCCTCCAAGGCTCTGTATCGTGTTTTCCGTGCCATCGATGAAATTCCCAACGGTTCAAACACTGGGGTGATAGAGCCCATTGCGATAGCTCCCAGTGACTTAGGTCGAATTGAAACTTGTCCAAGGACGGAAACGAAGTGAGAGATTGTAGTGCTGCTCGAGTCTCATCACTGAGCTTGATCTCAGGCTTGTGCCTCCTGTCTCGAGCTGGCCAAGGATGATGGGGTTTGTATCGGATTTCGCGAACAATGTCCCTTCGAGGCCCAGATGCCAGAGCCAACAATGCACTTCCAGATCGTGAAGTTTCGTTTAATTCAATGGTTGAGTAGATTTGACGTTGAAAAGTTGACATCAGTCGATGAGATACTGCGCAAAGTTTTCGCAGATCTTCATGATCGACATAGTTAGAAATTTCGAGGAGAATCTCGGGAGCAACTCGATTGAGTGCCATTTTGACAGTGTGCTGTAATGAAACAAGGAAATCTAGGGAGAAGAAGAAGAAGAATAAAATGAGTGAGAAGAGGAGAGGAGGGTATAAAAATTTGATGTGAGTGAGAGGTTGAGTGATAAGCTTCAGGCTATATCGAAATCTGACGTTAGATCGTGGCTCTTGGCGTATGAGGCTTGAGTATAAGAATCTCTCTGACGACAACACGAGTCATGCAGTGTCTCCGAAACGACATTAGCAAAATTATATTGCAATTCTTCTCAGGAAAGCAAGTGCATCAGACTTTGTACCCATGACAGAATAGTCTGAGTCGCGAATAACTTGATCACTTGCTGGTGAACTCAAACCCAATGGACTATATCCTGGCTGCTGGTTTCTTAACAGATCACTGCGCTAAAATAGAAGACTTTCATATCTGTAAAGGCAGGTAGGTATCTTGGATGATGCTGTTGTATGCTCTCCCTTGAGCAGAATATATAAAACAACCCAAGCTTAGTCTTAACAGGCTTGTCTCCTAATCCACTGACCTTTCTATATAAGAATAGGTTATTACTTACAAGTAGGTAGTGGGGATGAAGCCAAAGCGATAAATAGCTACATCACACACATTGGCCTTACAACCTTGTAAACAGACTATTGCGCTAAAATAGAAGGTACCTTTATATCTGCAAAGGCACTTAAGTATCTAAAGATCACACTGTCTTACACTGGTGCTTGCCTACCCTGTACCCTCCTCGCGGCGGGCAAGCGTGGCCGAAAACTGGGACCTAATTCATCTAGCGGCTGCCCTGCCATCAACTGCTACGGCCATATCAAAGTACAGGAGCCAAGTTGACCATCGTTTTCCATCATATATTTCCTTTGCCACTTCATCGCATTATCTGTCTTCAACCTGTTTTCTTTTACCATGTCTACATGTATCATCTTCTGCTCTGCCCGATTGCCAAGTCAGATAACCTCGGCACAATGAGATGAGATGATGCGCGATTGGTGTATTGGTTGTTGGGTGATTGTCCTGACTGGGGTGAACCAAACTGTCGGGTCAATCGATGAGGGATAAAATGTCTGCAATGTCCTGCCTGGCATTTGTGTGGCAGTCGCCCGTCTGCTTCAATATTGTGCCATAATGCTTCTCAAACCGCCGCGCCGCCCCGAGCCGCAGTGTGTTGAACCTCCCATCATCATTCGGCATCCCCCACTATCCTGACACCAGAGTACCTTGCTCCGTTTCCCTAGGCTGGATGTTCTTTCGAGACGCAATAAATTTAATTATGATAACAAGTACGGTATTCATCATAGAACAGTCTTATCAGCCTATCAGATCATTACAGGTAATACTTCGATAGCATACCTAAGTTATAATCATCCAGGAAATAACCCCATAAGGCTAAGTTACAATGGCTTCTTGACGGGTGAACAGTATTTTCTTTATATCCTCCAAGGTTAACGTCTGCTGCTAATACGCATTCTCTCAGCTAACCTCTTTCAGGGATCGATAGACATCACCCGCTCGCTGTTATTTATAACTTCAAGGATTAGCAGTTTCTACACGACAGTATACCCAAGGCACAGAATAGTTTCGAAAGCGCACCGTTAGCAGCAGCATCTACAACTACTAATTACGCTCTATCTGGCGGTTTATTAATACAGCTAGCTTATCTAATACCCCAGAATTAATCTTCGTAGTTCTAACAGAACCGGATAGGGGATTATATTGCAAACCGTGGCCAAGATTGCAGGCCAGACAACCCCTCGAACATTTATCACCTTCATAATGAAATTTTGAGAGATTTTAACTCTCGAGCCTTTGCTCTAGTACCCAAGATATCAGGTCAAGGCTACTACCTGGTTGCACATTACCTATCTACGTCAGATAATCTCTTGTACCCTGCCAATATCTTTTACAATCAGGAAGCTTACCAGCTTGAGATACACACGGTCTAATATCTGTATGCTCGCTTTACTTATATATTTTTTGGTCTTATTTGCCCTTTCACAGAGCACAGAAGACAAGTAGTAATTATTAAGCCTATAATGAATCAGTACGGGCTGTGCACTTGGGTCACTACTATATCCTAGAAGGACCCAGAGCAGGTAGTGCTACAACAAATACAGCTCACTAATCAGCCGCCCAAGAAGAGAAAACTCCCAGAATCCAGGATAGACACCGAACTCCAGCAGGAGCCGAGGCCTTTTAGACCATTACCTACTAAACATGGACAAACCCCACCATTATTCGATCTAAGACGGCCACTCCTAACTCAGAGCCTGCCACTACATGCCACTAATGATCGTCTGCTACATCATTCTAGTAGGCAGGCATGCCCTCTTACCTTTAATGATCTTCCACGCGAAGTCCGTCTCCTAATCTAGGAGGCAACTTGGCCTAGACCTCGCCTAATCGGAGTTAATATAGTTAAGCTTGTTAGCCAATCGACCGAAGATAGCAAAGAGATCGAAGATACTGCTAGATTTCAGATCCTTAGAAGCATAGCAAATTGGCTTAAAGTAGGCGAGACTAGACAAGTGCCTAAGCACGATCGATACCTAATTACTTTATCTGTATATGCAGAGTCTCAGAAGCATATAATAGATCACTTTACTCTAATTTACTACTACGAGTACAGCAAATAGTAATTCTATCTAAATCTGGTACTTAACATCCTCTAGGCTCTAGATAATTCGTGGGGTCTTAGAGACGAGGATATGATAAACTTGTCAGGCGCTTATGGGCGACAACTAGCTTGCATCAAGAAGCTTGTTGTAGGTGCGGAGAGCTGGCGTGACATATTTGACTTAAAGCTTTTGTGCTATCTAGGTGGCCTCGAAGTCATGCAGATACGTCTTGATGATGATGCCTCGCCAGTGGTTACCAAACTGCTACAGGATATCGACCTTCAGTTCCAAAACGACGATAGGTATTTCTCTCGTTTCCAACTCATTGCCAGTCTTACATAATACGTGGTGAATACGAGATCCGGAAACATATCGGGTGATAGTAAACTGACTCATTAGATTGTTGTCATGTTTAACACGGCATCATCTTAGCAAGACATGCCGGCGTTTCCATATGGCCGTGATGCAATAGCATCCTAAAGCGCCATCAGCGCCACCGGTCTATTGCAAAGCGGTTATGACCGCGTGTGTGTTACTTTCATGTGTGTATATATATTATGATTTCTAGTTTACGAATATTAGTTCAAGCTATTTAGAAAGTTACTGCTACGCCAAAAGATAAGGGATTGATAACTTTCTCCGAAAATTCGACGATTATTACATGGTACACAATAGGCTTATGTGTGTTCGCCATTCAAGACCGATATGTACTACGTTCAAGAGTTGGGTTCAGCGTAACTTCGTACAGCAATATTAGCTTTTTACGACGTCCATGATAACCACTCCCAGCTTCAGATGCCCCATTTATGATTTATGATTAAAACTATGGAAGAACAGAGGAGATTATTCTGAATATTGCAAAATGAACTTATCGTGTACGTGTCTAACCAAACTTTTGCTTCGTCATCACCTTCCAAAGAATTGCATTGTTCACAAACTCCAAGATTTGCATACCAAAACCCATTGTCGGCTCTCCTCACAACGAACTTCATTAATGCCGACCGCAGTTAAAGCGCCTGTGGTGTGGATAAACGGCTTCCCAGGCACTGGCAAGAAAACAATCGCCGACGCTATGAAGCAACTCGATCCCAACATCCTAGTGTTAGACAACCACAAGTTGATCGACCCTGCAGCAGCCTTCTCCAGAGAGCACCCAGAATACAACACACAACGACAAAAATATCGACAGGAATTTCTGCAGAAATACGTACTTCATCACTCCAGTCACGACCACCTCGTCGTCTTTACAGGTACATCCCCCCTCGGTGCCATCATCCAGCTAATGCTCACACTCATTAGACTTCCAATCGGATAACGAGCTGGGTCAAAGTGTGGTACAAGAGTATGCCAACGCCGCAAGTTATGCAGGCCGCCCTTTTCTTCCCGTGTATCTGACCTGTGGTCTCGAAGCAAACATTAAACGGGTAGACAACGCGGAGAGGGTGGCGAGCGGGACTACGAAGTTACTCGATCAGGATCTATTGCGAAATCTGAGGGAGCGGTGTGAGCTGTTTAGGTTTCAGGGGTACCCGAGCTTGATGATTGATTCAACGGACAAGACGGCTTTGGAAAATGCCAAGAAGATTCTTGATACAGTGGAGGGATGGCGAGATGCAGATTGATCGTAAGTGACAACAACAGGGGAATATCATACTTTGGCACGGCTATGGAAGGCTTTCTCGACCCGAGATAATTGATATTATGAAGGAAAAGACGTTTCGATATCGGACGTCAGTCCAGACTGGATACTCTGAGGTAATTCGGAATGTGGTTGTCGAAGCTTGGGCTGATATGCAGACTCCCGCATGGAGGAGGTCAACACCCGACGGATGTACTGTAAGAGAGATGACGAGGCCTCAAACAACTGATGAGCCACATAGTATCCTGTATAATCAGTTAGTGAGTTAGTGCACGTTGGCATCGGGTAACACGTTTCGCCCTCGGGATGGGGAGGCTGGTAGCCCCCCGCGCAGATGTTGAGCATCATATTTATGATGACAACAGCGGGAGACAGCAGATATGACTTCACAGAAATCATTATGACATATCAATCTCTTTCAAGACAGTCTAATCACGTGCGAGAGCATTGGTCGTTTCTGATTCATATACTCGTCCCCTCCATCCTTTTCCCCCTTTCTCTTCTTTTTTTCTCCAGAGTTCACCATTTCCCCTACTTGTCACTATGTCCTGCACTCTCGTCACCTTCGTACTCATCCGAGTCTTCTTGGTTGAGTACGAAACTCACCTCCAGTCTCATCAGTACCGGCATCGAAGCACTATCTCCTACCATGTTGACTTCTCCTTCATCACTTCGTTCGACTTGGAGCCTCCTTTACCCCTCAATCTACGAGCAGACTTATGGCATCGCCAGATGTCAAGTTTAGTTCCGTACAGCTGGCGGTACTTAGTGAAGAACCGCTGTCTCATGGACTGTACACTACCCTTCTATCACATGAAGATCCTTGTTATGATCTTGACAGCAAGCCTACGTTTCCTGTCTCGCCGTCAACTCCACCATCACACAAGGCACCATTATATATTCTCCCCACCGACCAAGTTTGAATACCATCAACCTACCGGCCAAACCGAACGGATCCCAGGCAGCCAAGCCAGGCATTACGTTTCTGCCATACAACATGACACCTCCAACAGAGAGCCCTTGACCATACCCCGTCCCATTGACTGACGCCATACGGAGCCGGAGCTAACATCCTAGACACTCAGCTTGTTCCGCACCACCGAATCGGTGGTGTTGACGGAGTAGAGAGCTACCTCTGGAACTAAAGTTGTCCCCTCCATTGAGGAAAACTCTGCCCTGACCCCAGCAAAGCCGAGATCGAAAGCCATCTCAAGAGACCTCAAAAGGGGCGTCTCGGTTTTGGCTACATACTCCCAGACGAAGCCTTTGACTGGGCCGCGTGGAGAGAGGGCCACTCTTACTACGGAGGCAGGGGTCGGTATATCATGCTGAAGCCTGGACAAACAGTCTATTTTCCGCCCGGCACGATGCCCAAACGAGGTCTCAGAGGAGCCTCAAGCGAAGGCCACTCATTTCTCTGACTTCGCGAATGGCACTGAGATGGAGGGCTTCGATATCCAAGCTTCCGCGATACGATTAATGCAACATCACAAAGGAACTCGCATTAAGATATAAGAGCTGGAAGAGCAGCGACTTGTCTTATGGCGCGGACTCGCTTGTCTTCTAGGACATGCGTCTCGGACTTTCTTCTTCTTTACTGGATTGCCAAGTTGTTTCGAATTGATCCTTTTCCTCTGAGACTAAGCCCATCGAGCGTGGTTCGTTCTTTGCATAGTTTTGCCAATTCTGCAAAGCTATACAGGACTAGGAAGTCACCATCACTACACTCCTGTATGACGGTCAACTGACAGCATTGTTGACGAAGTAACACCGCTTCACTTCGATTTAATCACATTGCAAGGCTGATTGGACTATTTTTGTTGCTTGTTCTGCCGGGCCAAATCTCGAGCGTATGGGCTGCAGTCGGCTCGATACTTCCAGGCGAGAGGTATCGAAGCTGACAGTGGACTCTCTTAGGACTTACCGTACTCCGATTTCTCTATAAATCATGGTTGCCTCATCTCCCATCCGGAAGACATCGTGGCACATGTCAATCAGCACGACATACTCATGCTACCACTGCAAGGGCCAATTCAACCGCGTTAACTCACTACCTCAGAAACTATGGAAGACTTTCATCAACATTTGGAGAATCTCGAGCAACAGAGACTTGATGATAACGAAGCGGCTAAGAAGTGCTCTCGAACATATCAACCAATAGCTGCTCAAGCCTGATGAAGCCTTTTACCCAGAAAAGGAGTTTCCGTCTAGTTCGGGCGGGAGCAACCGCCTCTTGATTCAAACCAGACAACTCTCATCGCTCTCGGTATTCATACTCGACTCTTTTATATTTATGTTACGTACCCCTGACATCAACAAGAGACCTCGATCATCCGGCAAGTCTCCGCACCATCGCGCCCCGCCCACAGACTACCGCAAGCCAGAGTTCGCCTCGATCATGCAGCAAGTCTTTATAGGAGGCTGTATAGGAGCCACTGACAGGAGTATCTAGTCTACTGAGCTGGATACCCGCTTGATCAGTACTTTTGGGTCGTAAGAGAGCTGGCTGAGTCCAGTGCTCTGGACCAAATCTACGACGTGAATGCGGTTCCCATTCTAACTCAACAATAATGTGCGGCGAAACATGACAGAGGCCCTCGATTTGCCCTGTTCTTTCTGGCACCTCCTCCGCACTACCTACCACTTGTTTTTCGTCGCCATACTTGTGGAATACTTGAGATCGACCGGCGATCTGAGTGGCGATGAATAGACAGCAGATGGACTTGGACACCGTGGGAGATGTCTGACACTTGTTTCTTTTGCGGCGTACTGTCGCCGTTCTCTCAACACGCCTCCCATCCACACTTTGTCACATCTCATCCTACCATCCCATTCTGACTCGCCTGTTGGATGATGTTCCCATTTTACCGTCACCCCAAGGAGGATCGTCGTTAATCAAGCGACCGAACGCCGGATGATCCTTGCTATTCTTAGGTCAAGAGAGCATCTCCATGTTCACGATCTCGCGAAGCTATTCCAAAAGGATAACAAGGGACTTTTGATCTATGCCCCCTTGGTTCCGCGTGTTTCCAAGAAGGAGCATTGGGCAGCTGATCCAGAATTACGAGGGGGAGGATTATTTTCTGGACATTGTAGTCTGAGCCTCGGTCTATGCAACCCGCTCACAGGCTTTCTCTACGTCTAGGACAAATTTGCCTGCGGTACTTGAGCCCTCCTATGATCAGCCATGGTCCTTTTTCTTATATGGGGAAGCTTCAAAACTACCAATATCTGAAGCCATTAAACCATATTCATCGGCTGGCATATGTTTTTCAAAGACTTGCCAAAGCATGAAGTCTATTGCATCAGGAGATGCGAAGAATGTGTTAAGGTTGGTAAGCCTTGTACTCACCCATCAGGGAGAATCACTTGCCTCAGTTGCGAAAAGGCGAAAAAGGGTTGTAAAAACTTCTCACATGCAGGTATTGCCGAGAAAAAGGCAACATTAGAATGCGACAAATGTTGGGTAGAGAAACCCATCGATAGTACCGGGACACGTCACCGCAAAGCATACGACGTCGTGAATGCCGATAGCCACACCGCCGTTGTTCCTATGAGGACTTTTTGGGGCGGAATTCGTGCTGGTGTTTAACTCTACCCTGCAGGAACATACAATCAGCAGAACCCAAACACCATGGTGGAACCGATCACGGCATCGAGGCAAACCAACAAAACCCAAGATCGTCTCGAGGGCTACAAGAGTTGAAGATTATCCTTACAATAATTGCTCGATCCCTCCTTGGATAGGGGCAAACAAGGTTCTGCCCATGCTACAGATGCCAAAGCGGCCAGCAAAAGGAACCACCATCATAGGTGAACTCAACGACTTGTTCACTGACGAACAAGATGCCACTTCCCAGGTCAAAGAACATCTTCTTACCGAGACATCTGCACTGAATTATCGGCTTGCCGGGACGAGAGGCTTGGATATGGCTCATCTCACGCTCTATCAGAGGGCCATTTCTATTCCAAGATTGGAGACTTGTAGGAAGAAAGCTGTGAAATTCAATAACAAGCCTGCCAATGATCGTCTCAAAGGCTGTGCTCGTCATTTGTCATGCATCAGACGAAACGTTTGGCTTGCAACTCTTCTTGCCCAAACGAGTCCTCCGCGAGCGGATATATCTTCAGCGACAGCGACTTTCTGGCCGGAAGTGCAGCTACAGGCGCTCCTAGTATAGGAAAAACTGGCACAAACTCTCCGCAATATTGGAAAGCATATTGGCCGTGCATTCATGGACAAGAATCCTATTGCCAAGGCTATAGGATGCTGCTATGGCTGTAAAGGATCCATCCGATATGGAGAGGCAATGGCGGCCGAGGAGTTCGAGGAGAACATACTCTTCCAATCTAAGGAATATCTTTCGCGACCGCGACGTTCAGCACCGAGGGTAGAGATGGAGGCACTGCCGATGCAGGGTGTCGGTGTGCTGGAACCTAGCACCAGATTGGAGAAGACAACGTCGACCACGGCTTCAACTTTGCTAGTCTGGACGAGCAGATACAGCCAGCCGATGAACTTTATGCGCACGAAATCTCTCGCTACCCAAGACCTCAGGAGGATAATGCGGATATGCATCAGCTCCCTGACATAATGACCCTAGACGACATTGCCAAAGACGAGACTACGGCTTCTATCATCTCGTGATGAGATTGCCCACAAGAGGCTGAACATAAACATGAGGAGGAGGAAAGGGAAATTAACTATGCCGGCGCCTCGATACAGAGACCAACAAATCCTACCGCATGTGGCGCTACTTCTCCCTCTCAGCAGCCTCACGCTTCAACATGGCAGATTTCCTCGCGAAGCGAACTTCTCTACCCATCGCAGCGCAGTGTACGAGACAGCGAACATGGCTTCGAAGAAACTGACAACGATAAACACAAATTCACCAACGGCCTCAACAGTCAGCGCCTTAAGAATAGGCCAGTCTTCAACTGCGCAAGAGATTGAATGATGCAGTGAACGATGCCACAATCATCTTCCTTCACATCCAATTTGTCAGACCTTGCCACTACCCACGCACGACCATGGCTTCCGGTACCCCGGCCAGGAGTCTCGGGGAGAAGCTCAAGGCAGCCATTGCCAACCTCGCCGCGGCGAATGAACAATACGTCGAATCGACGGCGCAAGACAATCTCGCCGACACCTTGACCGATAGTTCATACGATCACATCTTGAACAATGATGAAGGACGTTTGGAAGCATTGCAAATCTCAAGCCCCTTCGCAGCAGGCAGGGCGCACGTGCAGCAGAATGAGACCGAGAAGAAAACTTGAATCACCATCATTCTCATTGACTTGACTTTCTTTTCCTCAAGACATTCCATCTTGACAATCTTACCGCAACTCCACACACCAAACACCAAGAACACTCTCTCAACACACAATCTTCTCACCCGTACAGACTTTTACCAACAGTCAACGTGTTGTCCTTCATCATCTATAACACCCCCCGGAGATATTCCTTGATATGAAGCTGAAGTTATTTCATCTCCTAACAACCGACATCAAAAGTCCTTGCCCGCGCCCATTCTACTCAGAGCGTGAGATGGCATCCGTTCGAAGCGTTGACTGGTTCAGCAACTACTGAGAGAAAGTTAGACCTGCTGTTAAGTGTTTGGTTGATGAACACAACTACCAAGTTGCTCTTTGATTCCCTGGTCTAACATGAACCGTGGGCAATGGTTCATGGATGAACCTCTTTCCGATGGCATCCGTGGAACATCACTACCATATCGGTGACGATATGTTGGGGACAGTGTCCATACGAAGGATCTATCATGCGAGGAGAGTGAGGAGAGTGAGGGCAACAATCACATCTTTCCGGCTTCAAGCAAAAGGTTTTGCTTGCACCGAACTGGGATAGACTCCGAGTGATGGCATCAAACTAAAAGAAAACATCACAGTCCAGCTGTCGACACGTTTGGTCTGCGAATGCCTTGACGAGCTGTGTGAGACATCAGACGACGACCAGAAAGATGGAGTGTGAGACGATAAGGCAAAAACCCTGAAACACAACCTCTTGATGCCAATTTAGTACTATGAACGGGCTTCGAAAACCATCGGCTGGCTTGTATACCAACATGAGTTTAAGGTGTTGTTCTAACAGTCAATCTTTCAACGGTCTTTGAAGACAAGCAACTTCATCACGACGAGAACATCCGACAAAGGATCACGCAGAACCTGGTACTTATGACCGATGCCTTGTATTTACACACACGCTTGCAGAACATGAGCCTGGGTGCGTCCGGCGTTGACCACGGATTTAACTTTGAGATCCAACCTCAATTTGGCATGGCAAGAAGACACTCTTCACCTAATCGTTCGACAGAGCAAACGCCATGACCTGCAAATGGGCTGAAACATTGACCAACATGGACGATGTTGGGGGGCATAGAATATGCCGATGTCTGAAGACATTTACTACTGGTTACTCGCTGAGAAAGGATCTGCGAACGGCTTGATGAGATAAACTCATCCACCAACTTCGTTTATGCATCGAAACGCGAGACATCCTTGTAATGCTACCATGGAAGATCTCAGCAATTTGTATTCATCAGAGGAGTCAATGATAAAGTCGGGAAGCCATACAGCAAATAGGCAACCTTCACATTCTACGCCAACGGTATCTATTATAATAGATCGGATATAGGCTTTGCGGAATTGATTCGCAGAGCATAGGTTTAGGACGGGATGCCTTTATTATCTCCAAGAACTTTCTTAGAAATGGATAGATGGCTCCCCCATGTTCCACAGAACATGGCGAATAAACTCACAAACGCTGTGGATGGTGACACAGCGGCGAGCCAGATCAAAGGATATTCTCACCTTTGCAGAGGAGAACCCATTTTACACAAAGGAACAGATGGCCAAAGAATGCGGCTACGAATTCAATGGCCACTTTTTTAATGACAAGTTCCATCAGGCGCAGAAAAAGGCCGTCAACGTTCAGATTAAGTAAATGCAATGCCTTCAGGCTGAAGACAGAATTCTGATTTAGCTAGATTCAGGGTCGAACGCCGAATATTTTAATCAATTCTCTAGCTCCATACGAACCAGGCGGCGCTGGCCCTTGTGCTGGCCACAGCACCCAGCGCTCGGAAGCGACAGAGAACAGGTAGGGCCCAGAGAAGAGATATTCTAGGGGATGAAAATGTCAAGCAGTATAACAATAATCTTGCTTCTATCAGCCCCCTGCCTTCTACCAAGTCTTCAGCAAAACCATAACGATAACATATACTATGTTACGTCCTTATTTCTTTTACAGCATCACATCTCCTCAACTTTCTTGCGTCACCAGACGGCTACCTGACTGTGTGGCACCCATATATCGTGTCAGCTCCAGTGTTGGCGCCAGGCCCCAGTCAAGCGAGTTAGAACAACGAAGGATCCGATCTCGAAAGGTGTTGACCGACGCGAAAGAGAAAGGAACAGTATGGTTCGCAACCCATCAGTACAAAACGGACCTCGGAAATTTGGGTTATCTTACACTCATAAACCCTACTTTCATCAATCAGGAGAGCGAGTAGGCCAAGTCCTTCACCGCTGGCTGGTTGCCTTCCCGCCTGCAGATGCCCAAACAGACCACCCCGAGCCCAAAACCGAAGCAGTCAAAGAGCCATAAAGGCAAACAGAGCAGAGAATTCAAGACGAATCAGCAACTCCGAGAGCGATCATGGCTATAATGGCAATAAAGACCCTCCATCGCCGTCAACTCATTCAACTGGCTTCGACCTGAATGGGACGGTTAGTCTTGGGGTCCTGAGGGGGAGGATCCCAATGAGCTGAGATATGGTCCTCTCTGCTGTTGGGATCAACTACCCAAGAAAGAAGGCCCGTATTGAATTTACATGCTCAAAAGTTCTGATTTGACAATACCTTCTCATGAACATATGGAAGATTATATGGCTCAAGTTGGGTCCTTTCGCCTGTTCGCTTCAGGATCATCTTCAATTCGACAGCGGAAATTTCACATTTTTGTCGTCCTCACCAATGTTTGACACAAATCGCGAACAGTTCGGTTTAAGCGCAAGTCATGACATACCACGACAGCGTTCTCGCAATCATCGCCATGTTTGCTGGACGGATCACCATGAGGCCGAATCCTATTTCCACTTGGTTTCCGATCTCAACAAATGGCGCTTGAGAGGAGACTGGACTAGTAACTCTATCATTAGGACGCTTAGGAACCTCACTTACAAAAGGCCAGTATCACGGAACATGTCTCTCCAACCTCCAAGTCCTATTCGCAAATATCAAATAAGAAGCGAAGTCACGATTATCCTGTAGAGATATCTTCTTTCTTCAAGACCTGGTATCTCATATGGAACCGATAATCACATGCCAGGACTTCGAAAATGAGATTCAGGTGCCTGAATTGGATATCAACGTGGATAATTTCAAGAACCATTTAGTCGAACAAACCATGTCACTAACACCACCACGGCATACTACCCATAGGAGAGCCCTCCGATGAGCCCTGCTAGAACATCAGAGATCTTTCGGAGGTTGGATATGCACCGGAGTCCCTCTGAAGTTACCAACGCCTGGCATGGGATCCAGTGCGCGACACCCTCTCCCTTTGTTCGACAGGATAGTCCCCGCCAACGACGAAGCGAGATTTCCCAGATGCAATTGTCAGCCTGCCAACGGTACCCTCCAACCAACAAGCAATCGTCTCTGGATGGCCAAGATCAGAGAGAGAGAGAGAGGTGAGGAAGAACTGTTCAAAGAAGAGAAAAATGTTGATGGGAGCATTGAATTGTTAGATTCCAGCAAGCTGAGTACATCGATGAAGCTTTCCGTCTCCAGAGCTGGAGGAACAGGGTGACAAACAAGATGAAGAGAGAGATCTACCACTCCTAACTCGACAATCGCTGGTAAGATCGATATTGCAATGTTAATATCGCTCTATTACCTTTAACTTATAGGGTGACGTTCTGCTTCAATTCAAGCCAAATCCAAGCAATTCCGGCGCCAAACGAGCCTCTTCCTCAATCGAACTCGCTGATAATCACCACAACTCAACTAGTCCAAGCCAGTATCACACTTAACCCACCAAAGAGTCAACAAGGCATGTCCAGATAGTGCCACCAGCAACCCAGCTACTCATGGGTAGCACCAGCCCCAGACCGTGACCTCCACACCGCCCGCTGCTGTCAGGCCAGACTCTTCCGAGCAGTCATCCTCGTATTACCACCACCTCCATCACCGTCGACGTCATCACCAGTTTCCAATAACAATGATGGCCATGCAGACAGCAACCGTCAATGGCAAGGAACTGTGGCGCCCGAGCCGCCACTCCAAGACGCCTCGCGCATCTATAGAGACAGATAGCTCAAGCCAAGATGTCGATATGGGTGAGGATTTTATGGCACCGCCAACTCCAGCGCCATCTTAGCAGCACCATTGGCTCCATGCATTCCCCCCGTTCAACCCCAGGATCTTGTCCCGTATATCGAGCGGGTTCGGTTGACTTTGAACTGGCTTGTGTGGTGGATATGAACTCAATGAAGGATTGAACCAGGCGATTTTCGTACAGCAACATTGATCGAACTGGACTATTACTGAGCAACCAACCGTTTCGTCCAGAGGTTTTGGAGGTAGAAAAATCCCATCCGATCACGAAAATCCTCTGGCCATTGTCGTCTATCTCCCACCACGAGCCAGCTTAACTAGATCCCTGGCGCCTCTTACAGTACTCTTTAAGCATAGCCTACACAACCTCCCCGCGACACTTCAGCTGATCTTTTCATATGGCCTAGAGTCGAAGACGCCCTAAATGACTCCCTTCGCTGGTTCATATGCTCCGGACCCGGCTCTGGTAGTCCTATTACACACTCACACTACACCTATATGCTTATTCCTTTCAATCACCCTATGTCCAACAACGACTGATTCCCAATCAGGCCTAGCCACCTTTGTCAGTCACAGGGATGTAAGCAGAGTAGACAATTGCTCTGGTGTTCATTTAATCTCCTTTCTTTCGAACTTCAGGCACAACGAATATCGTATGAGACATGGTGAACATACTGCATTTTTCACCAACGCACGTGCCAATCACTGACAGCTTGTTCACGGCCACTTCAGGATTAAGCAGTATAAGAAGCCCAGTATACTTCAATCTCCAACTCGAAAATGAGCAGATCTTCCAAACCTCTAACAGCGACAAATCAACGGAATTTCCAGACCATTAACGACAGCTTATTTTCACGGAGCAGAAACACAAAAATGTTTCATTTCATCAAGAAGCTCTTCAAACGACAGAATGTCAAACAAGGCAAATTTCACAAATTCGGCCAATTACCACAAGAAATACAGAACATGATCTGGGCCTATGCTCTCTGTGTGGACGCGCCGCGGGCCTACTTCGTGGATGTCAAGAAGTGGTTTTTCCAGCCATGGCAAGTGAGAGCAGTACACACTCTCCCCACAAGCCTTGGCAATTTCCCTCTCCCACCTGCATCGAACCCCAATAGTGATTACGGCCTGATGCGAGTTTGCCGTGCGTCTTATCAAGAGGTCACTCGCTGCTGGAGCCGTTACCAACCACGGGTCCCTGCGCTCATAGTCCTTGACAACTCACATGACAGTGGCAGGAGGGCAAAGGCACTTAGCAGCCTTTACATTGATGCAGCCAGTGACTTGGTCGTTATAGATAGATGGTGGGACGCTGGCCGCCCTATAAATGCATTCCAAGGCGTTGCCGAATTCAGGCTGCCACGGAACAACCGATACGAAGGTCTAGAAGCTATCAGAACGGTGGCCATACCGGTCCACTCCAACCTCGATAAAAGCTATAAGCCCCAGTATCTGGTTCATCTGAAGGCGTTGTTCCCTGCAGTACGAACACTGTATCTATACATGCAGCCAAGGCTCTTGGTTCCACTCGACTCACGCCAACAAACGATGCCCATAGACTTCCTCGCCTTTGAGCCACGGGAAGGCGGGGATCCGCCGGCAAGATTCAGGGCTCGCGGTCGCATTTTCTACGAGATCTGTCCCGTGAAGATGAGATCAGCTGGACTGCTTGTGCCTAGCTTTGAGAACGATGTTGTTAGCATCAAGTTCATGACTTGGCAGTGGATCCAATGATGTCTTCACTGAGAGATATGGGCTTCAGGCATTGGGGGGATCTGGAACTCTTAGGTAGATACTGGACAGGGGCTTGTATTTTGATCTGATATCGTGCATGTTTAATGTTCGGCGTTGCGGTATTGGGCTTCTTATGGGCAATGATGATGATAAAACTGTATAGTTATTAATTCAGTTACACAATAATACCTTAGATGTTCTCATGATATGTCTTCCAGTGAAAAATAGTGACTCTTTCTGAGTTCCGAGGTAAATCTGTTCATCACTAACAACTTCTTGTAAGTCATTCACGTGATGCGGCAGCCAAACCGCAGAGCAATGACGCACGTGATCGCAAGCGTTCGGCAGTCCAGCAGGACCTCTTTACGTACCTCCCCTCCATCAGTGATGTATACGGCGAAACCGGAGCTATTAACTTTCGCTTGTCGCAGCACATGCAATTTCTCAAAACCAATTTCTCTCTATTATTCTCTCTCTAAACTAGATCTTCAATTTTGAAACCCGCAAAAACAATACGCGAAACGCCAGTTCCTTTACATCCGAGGCATCGAGAGCCATCATGATATCGACCCCGCCACCCCGCTCCTTGCGCGACAAGTGTCTCGAGCTCCAGCAAAAGGTCGAAGCGTTTATTTCTGAGGAGGCTGATACACAGACATTGCGCGATGTACAAGATCAGGTTCGCAAGTCGATAGAGGTCGTGGATGAGGCGTTGGAGAAATATCGGTACGTTTTGGTGGTTGGGAAGGTCGGATAAGGGCTGACGGAAGCAGACCGGAACAAATATCGTTATCATATAATGGCGGAAAGGACTGTAAGTCGCATGATGAGGGTCTTTGACTATATGCAAGCCCTTTTAAGGCTTTAGAGCTATCAGCGACATAAACTGATCCTTCTAGGCCTCGTCCTGTTAATCCTCCTCCTCGCTCGCATGGGCCGACACTACTACTCAACATCCGACACGACCAACGGCACTTCCGAACTTACACCTCCCGAAAAGCTCCAATGCGTATACATCGTCGCCGCGCATCCCTTTCCCGAAGTCGACTCGTTCGTCGAGACATCCAGCGAAGAATACGGCCTCGAAGTTGCGCGCTACGTGTTACCGATGAAGAAGGGACTAGAGATATACCTTGAGGAGCGACCGAGTATCAAGGCTGTGTTTGTTGGAACGAGAAGAACTGATCCTCATGGAGAGAACTTGACGTTCTTTGATCCGACGGACGCTGGCTGGCCGTCGTTTATGAGAATACATCCTGTTATTGACTGGCATTATGGTACGTTCTCTCCACGACCTCCGCGCTTAAGTTATGTACATTCGCTAACGATGCTTCGAACAGTTCAGATCTGGGCTGTAAGTCCCCCATCACCATGCGCTGAACAAACTAACATGACCAGTTTATTCGACATCTCGGCATCCAGTACTGTCCTCTATACGACCAAGGCTACACGAGTCTAGGCGGTAAAAAGGACACACATCCGAACCCCCATCTGAAGAAGCAGGGTCAAAACGGAGAGGGCTTCCGACCGGCATATGAACTAACTCAAGACGATGAGGAGCGACTGGGTCGTGATTCATGAGGTGATTGTATTTGTAAGGCATGTTGATGTTGCATAGGAAGGCATTCTATAGAGCATAGACTCGTGGCGTTTGGGTAAATCATCTCACTATCTCATCGCATTTATCTATCACATTGCTTCTGTGCCTGTCAATCATGCGCTTGCTAGACCTCATATACAGGGACCTGATCTACATACTCTTCAAGCCTCTTATACGTCTCCCTCCTTATCTTTGCCGCTTCAGCTATATGTCCTTCTTTTCGCAGAAAAGCTTCTAGGTGCCACATATCATGTATAACCTGCGGCGCCGTACTCGAATAGCCAAACTCTCGCAAAGCGATTTTGGTCCTCATTCTGTCCGCCACATCAATGTCCAAGCCGAGTTCCCTATCAACGTCCACAAGAACTTTCACCAAATAAGCCATGACTCTAGCTTGAAACCGCGTGTGGGACTGTGGTATCACGTCACCTGGATATCCTTCCACTTCTTCAAGAATACGGCTCTTTAACAGACCCAGACGCACAAGACTCCTCATATTTGACTCCCCAAATGTCATTGTGCAGCGATGCTGTATCGCTGAGACACAAAGTGCTTTTGTAATCTCGTAGTCTTTCGGTGGTATTGTTCCGTCTGCCGCAGGGTCGCTGAACAGAATGGCCTGTTGGAAAGAAGAGTCCTCGTAAGGAATCTTGCTCTTCACAGCTGAAAACCACCTATCAATACCTTCAAGTTGGTCCACGCCTAGTTTAACGCAAGAAGATTCCCAGACTAGGCGGTAGTACATAATCAACAGTCTCGAGTCGTAATTTCTGCAGACAATAGCCGCATTCAAAGCCCAAGCCTGCTCAAGGAGTTGCATTTTCTCAAGTGTAGCATCCTTCTCCCAAAGATATACCGCTTTTTTCAAACTTTTCAGCATCTTAATAACAGGATGTGTCATCTCATGGTTATTACTCGCGAGCTCGATTAGTTGAGCTAGAAGCATACCAAGAAGCTGTGTCTGACCAAGACGAACCATGTGATACATGATTTCCAAGACATTCCAGATGAATAAAGGTGCTTCGGCGTGTAGCATGGCTTCAATGTCTAGAAACGTTTTGCGGGTTAAACGGCCTGCTAGAATGCCTTTACCGCGTTGGATGAGCTCAACGATGGTTCGAAAGGCGAAACTTAACCCTTCTGCGTCGTAACGGTTGATTTTACCGGCTTGTTGGGAAGGATGGGTATCTTGTAGGTGTAATCCTTCTGTACGAAGTGATTCAAAGAATGAAATGCTCCAGTCGTGTATACTTGTAAGAAACTCAAGACTGCTTGTTTCCAAAAGGCTTGGATTTGGAGAGTGACACGGTGTATCACTTGGCCGTTTCTGAGCCTCTGGTGTATTTTTTGTAGATAAGGTCTTGGTCTCGCAAGCAATATTCATATTTCTTCGCTTTGTCTTACAGAAACCCCATTTTGTAAACCGTCTTTTGTACATTTGAACACTGACTCACGAACAAGGTAAGCTCATACCAATATCGATTTTGGTGGGTGTTCTCACGATGCCTTGAAATTATGTTTCTCCTCCATGATCTGCATGATATGTCGAAGCTTTCTACGGTCTTTCATATACAATCTCTCGAGGATGGGATATACAGCTTTCCACTCTGTCTCTCCACGTTGCATTGAGAGAATCGACTTGTACTGAAGTGATGGTGGATCAGACGGAGGTTTGGCTGCGAGTAATGGTGTTTTTGACACCATTTCTTGAGGTTTCATTGGTAGCTCTGGAATTATCAGTGAAAGGCGAATTAGAGATGGTAGATCTGTTCGAGAGGTGATGATGACGGGATGAAATGCATTATGGCACGCGGCGCTCACCTCGGGAAGGTTAAGGATGGCTGACTAAACCGGGGCTGGCCAATAGGGTAGGTGAAAGCAACCTCAGATTCGGGAACCATTTGTCATATACGACGGTACGATTTAACAATGTGCCTTGGACTAATGCTCATCTCCAATCTATCTAAATGCTTTAGAATATCTTATTGGTTCACTGTGGTGGTACTGAGTTGTGTTATGGCGGCTTAAATGCTTCGATTTCAATAAAAGGGCCTGAGTTTGCCACGAGCTGCAATACGTTTGAATGTTTAAATATTGCCAACACGAAAGCTGGGTGTGTCAAGCAGATGCTGAACGCGAGGATGATAATGGACTCTGTCGAAACTCCAAAAAGATTCAATGGAGAAGACCGATACTCGACAACTAAGCTTCTCTTAATTGTGTTTATTTCAAAACTCTCGAGCTTGTCAGCGTGAACGACATCATTTTTAACATTGTCCATCCCTGCATCATGAGGCAGACGAGCCTCATAAGGGAACTGAAAGGCCCGTGAACAATGATTTTTACACTTTTATTTCTCTGCTAAGAAACATTGTGGGTGGAACGAGGCGGTTTTTTCATCCTGCACTGGTTCTTGGAAAGGAGAGCTATGGGTCGTATGGGGACTGGGAAATTCGCCCGTAAGTTGGGCGATGTGCTGACTGTGATTGCTAACAAGACCAGGTATCCTGTCATTATGTACACCGAGTCAGCAAAGAACAGTATGGAGAAGTTATGGAATGGGACTTTGGAAGAACTTGATATTTGAGATATTACAGTGGCTCTTGGCAGGGCAGATTAGCAGTTTTAAGTGCCCGCTTGGATATGCCACTTGTACGAAATGGGTACTATAGAAGACTTGTTCCTATAGAACGATCAGCTCTGATAGATTTAGCCGGAGTTGATGATATGATACTTGACAGATTCACTCCCGACTCCCCAGCCGTGCTGTAATAGCCAAGGGGATTAAGCGAAATCAGAGGCGTGCCATTGAATACCCCACCGATAACCCCATCATCACGTCGAGATGAGACGAAAAATAAGCTATAACCAACGGTTCCTAGCGCCGGGTATCTGAAACATGAAAGGGGGTGGATCATCTTATCTTGTCGGCAGATCGTGATACAACACAAGAATTTGATCCTTTTGCTTGTTCTAATCACTCATATCACAGATAATCTATCACAAAGCCAAGAAGATGGTAGAGTACAGATAGGAATGGGCACACAAGCGATTGTGTCTGTGTTGGTGATCATCTGCATATTTAACCGCCATGCTCAGATTTATCCGCCCTGTTCCTGAACTAAAAAGCTGTTCCTGGATCCCTTCATGGGTAATTGGTCAACAACAGGGCAATATGCAAGGAACCAACAATTTTGACATTGCCGAACATCCAATGCCAATTTAACCGGGTAATCAGCACAACCTGGGTCGATCTCTCGTTACGATACGCTATCTCCATTGCCAGTTCCGGTCCCTGGCCCGAGAAAATATGCATCCCTGTCACAGACCTGAGACGAAGCGGGACATGACAGGGGAGATGTACAAAGAATTACTGACGGAAGATATTTTACCGTAAGGTTAAAGGACACAAGGCTTTCGTATACAGATGGGACGATCTACATGGGCTTTAATGATGTTGAGCGGCTAAGCTGAAGGTATGGCTAAGCTAACGAATGGATATATATCATGATCTCGGGTCCCGCATCTATATTCGCTTCTTCTTTATTAACAAACGCGAGTCGTTTATTAACATTCCTTCCTTCTTTTTTCCCTTCTTTCAGTAGCTCAGTAGCCAAAAAAGCAAAATACACTCATTTGTTTGCCTTTTTTAACCTACCATACACTCTTTTTTACAAAAATGCACAAGACTACACTCCTTGGACTTTTGGCCTCGAGCCCCGTCTCGGCCCAGCTTCACAGCCTGGCGCAGGCCGCTGGACTCAAGTACTTCGGCACAGCTGTCGATAACGGATATCTTAGCGATGCGCCTTACAGCAAGCTAGCTGATGACGCTGAGGAGTTTGGACAGCTTGTACCTGAGAACGGACAGAAGTGGGAGACTATTGAACCCAAGCAGGGTGATTTTGTTTATACGACTGCTGACGTCGTTCCGGATCTCGCCAAAAAGAATGGACAGATTTTGAGATGTCATGCTTTGACTTGGCACAGCCAGCTCCCTACCTGGGGTGAGTTATGATCTGCTTATGTGAAGGAGGGTAGGCTAACGGATATAGTTTCTGCTGGTGCTTTCTCTGCTGAGGAGCTCACTGAGATCATCGAGGCTCACATCGCCAATGTTGTTGAGCACTACAAGGGTGACTGCTACGCTTGGGATGTGGTCAACGAGGCCATCGATGACAACGCTGAGTGGCGAGACAGTGTCTTCTCCCGCACTCTGGGAACTGACTTCCTCGGCATCTCATTCAAGGCTGCTCGCAAGGCTGATCCCGCAGCCAAGTTGTAAGTTCTTTAACCACGCTGACGAAGTATTTGTCTGACCGTTTAGGTACTACAACGATTATAACCTTGAGCAGAACGGTGCCAAGACCGACAAGGCTGTCGAGCTCGTCAAGCTCCTCCAGAAGGAAGGTGCCCCCATCGACGGTGTTGGTTTCCAGGGCCATCTGATCGTCGGCGAGACTCCTCCTCGCTCTGAGCTCGCCGCCACTTTCAAGCGCTTCACCGATCTCAACGTTGAGGTCGCCATCACCGAGCTCGACATCCGCCACGAGTCCGTCCCCGCTTCTGCCGCTGAGCAGAAGAAGCAGGGTGATGAGTATGCCGATGTTGTCGGCGCCTGTCTCGACACCAAGGGCTGTGTTGGTGTTACAGTCTGGGGTATTACCGACAAGTACAGCTGGATCCCCGGTGTCTTCGAGGGTAACGGTGAGGCTCTTCTATACACCGATGACTACGAGAAGAAGCCCGCCTGGACCAGTGTCTCCAGCCTTCTCGCGGCCGCTGCCACTGAAGCCCCTGCTACCAGCTCCGTTGCCCCCGTCGAGACTACCGCCCCTGCTACCACTCTCGAGACCAAGACCAAGCCCGTCTACACTGTCCCTGGCACCACGAACTACATGAACACCACCGCTCCTCAGACCGAGCAGACTCGCACTGCTCTTGCCACTGAGACTGATGATAATGATGATGACTGTGCCGAAACCGAAGCCCCTTTCCCTACCTACGCTATCCCCACCAACGGAACCCAGGTCTACCCAACCAAGGCTCCCGTTGACGATGACTCCGATGATGACTGCGCCGAGACCGAGGCTCCCATTCCTACTCAAGCCCCTGTTCCCTCTGGCGACTGTGACGAAGACGATGGCGAGTTCGAGCCCACCGTCGCTGCCGTCGAGCCCACCACTCGTGTCCCCGTCATTCGTAGCAGCTCAGCCTACACCTACAAATGGAACACCGAGACAACTGCACCTCAAGTTCCCGCTCCCACAGGTACCGCCCCCGCTTATCCCGTTGGAACTGGCTCTGGCGGTGTTGTCAAGCACTACTACCAGTGTGGCGGTAAGAACTACAAGGGACCTACCGAGTGCGAGAAGCCCTACAAGTGCGTTGAGCACAACGAGTACTACTTCCAGTGCGTTTAAAGGATGTAATTAGATGGGAATTGGGTGTGTTATTCTTCATTACTACATGTACATAGTTATCTCTGCATATAATTTAGAGTTCCTTGCTTGAAGCAGGAATCGTTTGGATAAACTTATGCAATGCTTGACTGTGAGCTTGGTGACACGAAACATATTGGCAGCTTAAGAATAAACTAAGATATTATTTTCGCGTCTGGGGATATGGGGAAGACGATGTGTGTGCGCTACCATGGTGCTATCATCAGATAGATCTTCCATCCCACTAACAGCAGCTTCTTGCCGCATCTCAACACCGTATTCATGTGGTACAGATTATAGAGTACTGCTTGCAATTTACCAAGCTCGGTAATTTCAGATACGAACTTATCGATTCTGCAGCCGCATATCTCTCGGTGTCGCAAATATGGAGCCACCAAACACTGAGACACGAGGCAACACAATCTACACCCATTCACTTAACCTGCGAACATGTTGGTCATGTTACCGAGGATATGCGCATATATCATTGCGTGGAAGACAAATATTTTCGTGTTCGGTGTTCTATGTTCTGAGAGTGGGCTCGTCTCCGCGCCAGTGGCATAGAGCAGAAGATCGAGAGTAGAGATGTGAAGGTTGATCCAAAAGATAAAGCTAATCACGTCGCATGTCAATGTCAAACAAGGCAAGAGATTGCTCAAGAAGGTGATTTCATATCGCCGATGGTAAAGCTCTCCTAAAGAGTATATCCAGTATGGATTAACTATGCAAGACAATCCCCATCATTCTTGATGCAATCCAATATTACTCAATTCCCATCAATATTCCGCGGAATCTCGATCCGTTCGTCTTTTTGCTGGTATCTATAATCAGAGAGAAGTGAGGTCATCTCCGTAGCAGACCGCCAGTTCTCCAGCAGCGACCTACATTGGGAGTTAGCACCTGTCGTTGGCCTCGGAGTGATTGATTCGCCTTTCGGGCTTAGCATATTCTATCCTCCCATCATATTATAAGCTACTTAGTAGTCTGCGCCACCGTCCTGAACCCTTTCATGTGTCACAGGCTGGTGTTCACATAATCTATAAAGTATTCTGTGTGTATTTAGCTTCACTTATTAGAGCCCTTGGGGGTCCGTTTATATATTCCTCTTCTTAGTGCATATATACCAATGTTGTTTGAGGCAGCGGCTTAATATGGAGTCTCTGAAACGAGTCTGTTGGAGAAGTGCACGCCCACCATTATGATATCCTCGTGAAGATATATCTACGCAAAGCTCTGTGGCTATTACACACTGTCAGAATTATCGTTTCTTCCTCTCAAAGCCATGGACCAACTTACATTATCTTCCCACTCACGTGCCTCTGTTGACCATCTCTTCATGAGCCAATACGCGACCATTTCTGGAGTACCACCTGGGACCCCCACGACATAGCCCATGAACCTGTGAAATATCAAGTCGTAATGTAAGCAGTAGCTGAACTCGTCGACTGTCAAGTTATCCAGCTTGTTGAGGCACTGCTCGCTTGGGTCGAGGTAGGCAAGACGGCGTAATTCGCTCTCGTCCAAGAGATTCATGTTCGTGGTTCTTGCAATAAGACTCTGTAAGTCGAGAATTAGATTTGATGTCTGGCGAGATTGGGGGACCCATACTATACTGTCTAGGGATTCTGGTGCTGTTTAATGTGAGATCTTGATTGAAAGGAATTAAATCGTGTTTGGAGGAATAAGTCTGAAAGAACTTAGATCATAAGGAACTAGGTGAAAGAGGGGGAGGTCTTAGGTTTTCTTCGTTAAATCTTGCAAGTTATTATGCTTTCCAAGGTTTCGTATATCTCCTGTGGTTAATGTGCGCAGCTGGCAAGATGCTTGAAAATGTATCGGGGAGCTTAGAGTCACTTTGCCTCCCTCTGCTTTCCGTCAAATCAATTTCAAGGAAGGTTTATTTCTGCACTGACGAAATATTATATGTTTCAGGAAAGTTGTCCAGCGGTAGCTCTCAGTAACGTGGTTGGCTGTGATCAGCTCTATGTTGCGAGATTGACGATTTGGATCCCTGTTCACCAGCTTACACGAAACCCTCACATCTCTAGACGGTATTTAACCGAAGCTTTTCGTTATTAATTAACTTGGACTTCTAAAGGCTCCCTTTGAGTGAGCTTTGAGAGAGGGTTTCAGATGTATGCTGTCGTGATAGTTCAGCCCAGGGCCGAAAGTATCATTCCATGGTCCCTCATAATCGAGTGAATACCAAGACTGGCAGAAACTCACATTAATTTGCGTAACTGGGTAACAAAAACCTTGACCCTTCAGTCAGTTTCGGGATGAGTTGAGCCTTATATCTCCCAGCTGACCTTCCAGAAGATTCCCGAGGTTCGTCTTCGGCAATCTACAATCTAGGAAACATCATGCCGTGACAGGTTACCAAGCACCTGCACGATAAATACTTGCCTTTGCATCATCATAACCTTATCAACTCTCCAGGGATTGTTGTTCTGCAGTTTCGCCGTGAGCCATCGGGGTGCACTATTTGGCTTTGAGCGTCAAAAAAGCTACAAGCGGAACGCCAATCAATAGATATATATCCTGACACTTTCCAATCTTATCAAAATGTACTTACAGTTACTCAGCCAATCATTCTATATCCCTTAAGTGTTTGCATGTGGGTGGGACTGAGACTCTAACCAAAGTCAGGGGCAAAACTTTATCTGGGTGTGAAGACTCATAATTTGTCAACCCAGATAAGGCAATGACTTTTGGAGTTTAAATTAAGTTGATTCCTTTCTGCCTAGAAGAAAGCTTTCGTTTTGTGCTGGATTTGCGCTTTTGCCTTCGTCGCTTGTTCCCGTTCCCTTTTATATTTGGGCTGTTGGCTTCACAAACTTGCAGAGTCTAAAGTTTCTTATCATGGTGGGCAGAGTTACTTCATACTTCAATGTGTGAGGGTCTCAGCCTATATTCATCTGGTTACCTAAACCTTTGTAGAAACGTCTATATAGCTGTTTAGTGCCTTGATGTGTCTCATATCGTCCCTCATAAGTGTTATTTACGCTCCATACAGAGGGCAAGAATTGTTCTATGAGAAGCCTGTTTATATCATGCGATTGAACAGTAGAGCACTTGATCGAGTCTAAAATTAAGACCCCTTAATTCCTATACGCACAAAAGAGCCCAAATTTTGTAGCCGTTGAAGACCACGAGGTTGTGTAGATAACATGGGTGAAAATGCCGCGTCCATCGATGCCAGGAACCGTCACAGCTATCCCACTACCCCACAGCTTCTTGTATTTGAACGTCAAAGGTCTGTTTGACAGTCTTGTCGGATGATACCTTTGTGGGTCTCATCGGCCTTGAAGGTTGGAATGAGGAGTGGTGATTGACAGCTCCATCCGTCCACAGCGACCTACGCTTGTCCTCTCAATGTCCTTGCGCGGGATCAAGTCCTGGGTCACTATAACATGAACTCTTCGCGTCCTATCAGAAGTATTCTCCAACTTTTCCACTTATCAGATGCCAGGCTCAAAGAAGTTTAAGAAGAGGAACGGTACGTAAGGTTTCAGTTGATGGGGTTTATTTCGAGCTGTCGGTAACCCTTCATGCGAGCTGACAAGTAACTGCTGAACGCGCTGATGGAATCTCAAACTTTTCAACTTTGACTACATCTCTCAGATTACTCGTTCAGAACCTTAACCATTAAAACTTCATAATCTTATTCGAGCACTCTTTTATTGGATGAACATATTATACTGCAACATTCTGAGTTATCCCATGGCAGTGTCTTGAGTCTGTCTACATCCCATGATATATACCTTTCTCTGCTCTGAACTTTTATGATACCTATATAAATCCCTAATATCCCCTTCTTTACCATTTTTTCCCCTTCCTTCTAATTATTCTCCAAATTCAACTTCCCAGACTTATTCTTTTTATATACGACCATCCCATCTTCATCACCCAACCATCATCACTCTAAGATATCATCTCCACGCAAACAAACAACCATGTCTTTATCAAAGCAAGATATGAAGTACCTGGCCAACCGCAAGGTCGTTACTGAAGAGGCCCTCATTGCTATCGCGGCTGCTAAACGCGATGACTTTGAGAGATGGTGCAAGGCACCTCAGTTCCAGCATTTTTTGATGAGAGCTCGTCTCGGGAGCCCATCAGATCCAATGACCCTCCCACGTCTTCAAAAGTGGGCAGCTGATGAGATGTTCCACCTCAGAGCTAGTCTATCGTCTGGAAAGCAGTGTACTGGCGCTAACGACCGCACCCAGGGCTCTGCCGTCAAGTCTGGTGGCCCTACTCCCCGGGATCAAATTCCTGCAGCCAAGGCCGCTGCTGATCAGCCTAAGGGCTTGAAGATGTTCGATATCGATGATCTCCTGAATGGGGACTATACGAATGAAGTCGTCGCCAGGATCACCCAACGCGATATCGAGATTATCGTTGGTCAGCGGGCAGAACCTCACGTGGCCTGGTTTCTCCGGGTTCTACTCGGCATCAGGCGAGATCACTCTGATTTTACTGCAAGGAGGCTTGTGAGGGATTGGGTGTACGATATCAAGTCCCGCGAGTGCATGAAGACCCAAGCTGCCGCGGAACCAACTAAGTGCCAGGCGCATATTGGCGAGAAGCTTGGCCAAGATGCGACGTCCAAAGTCCTCGTGAATAAGAAGAACACGACAAAGATCGAAGAAGGCCCTCGCTTTATTGACGATAACCTTATCGCATTTGCTTAAGAGTTCAGAGGCGTCTATTTCCTTTTTTTTAAAAGCTGAAGTTCAAGTCTGGTGGTATTAATTCTATGGTGGGATCATCGTTACGTTATGCGAAACTATGTATCAAACATTACCAATTGGTTACAGATCACTATAGGTCTTTGCATACTTGAATACATTTTAAACGCGGCTTCGGGCGTTATGAACCAACAAGTTCTTCATTGAAATGGTGCATTGACGTTTTGAGGGGACGGGTATAGGCGAACCCCACAACCTTAATTCTGGTGTGTTGATACGTAGGTGCATATAAAGTCTCAAGCGCAACATGTCAGTAGCAAGGTGAAAATGTCCTGTGACTATAGATGAATAAAAACGTCATGAACTCGTTGCAAGAGTACTGCGAAAGTCGTACTGTCTATTAAATCCCAAGGTCAGGTCAGAGGGGAATCCACAACAAGCTCACTAACACCAAAATCGTATAACTCGTTCGGTGATTTTTCTAGCGCCACCATCATTACTGGTTGGCTAAAAATTAAAGAAAAGCAAAAGAAAAAGAAAACGCAAAAAAACATGCGACGGAGACAGGATTCGAACCTGCGCGGCCGAAACCAAAGCATATCGTCATTTCGAGTGCTTCACCTTAACCACTCGGTCACTCCGCCGTCATCTTCGAATTCCTTCGTCACAATTGAGCTTATACTTGAAAGCTCAACTGCGGACCACGTCCAGTTCGAAATGTGCAGAAGTCCGCCAGCCATAGAGTCCCTTCAGGTGCAGTCGCTTCTTCGTCTGAACTATAACGTTTATTGCACTTATCATACATGGTAATATAAAACAGCAAGGCAATTCAATGTATTCTCAGAGAGTCGTCATGCCAGCTACTTATTTGGATTTCCTTCCCGATAGTAGCTAATCAATCTAGAGGTCCTGGTTGGCACTCTTGTCTTCGCAGCAGAGAGCCTTGCTCCCAGTCCAACAGCAGCTGCCATCACCACATTGACTGCGTCCCCTCTCAGTCCACCCAGGCTCGCACTCCCCTGAGCAGTAAGGAGCTGTGCCCGACCAATAACAACTGGCGATCCCAATTTTGTCCTGCTCCTGTACCAGGCTGTTGGCAAGAGGTTTGTCTTGTCCCCGTTAGTCGACAGCTTAGTGTTATTGCTGACATGTAAGTAGCTTACTGATAGCTGTAGCTGCAACTGCAACTGCAGATGCAAGAGAAATGAGTATTTTGAGATCCATTGTAGACGCAAAGCAGTGACTAATAGGTGCACCGTAGGAGGATTATACCAGTGCAATCTAAACAGAGAGGATAAAAGGTAGTTTTGTTTACTATCTTCTCTACTTATTGACCTTTTTGTGAATCTCTCAACATATTTATACCTTTAAGACTTCTTACCCAAAGTCGGAAACCAATAGTCTCATTGTAGATCATATCAGAGCGTACAAATGTGGCTGGCTGAACATGCCAGTTCCAGTGCATGCCTCAGTTTCTCAGACCAGGATCGCTCAGCGAATGGTTCTCAAACACGATGAGACAAAAAGCCTGACGGTGTCTGATCAGCTAGTATACTGCCTGAAGTGTTCTTAATGTTTTATTTGGAGTCGATTCAGCTGAGAACTGAAGTCTGCCGTGTGCCATAGGAGAGGCAAGAAAACTTCTGACCTTAACAAGGGTGCCTGCCAAAAATAACTAATCCAAAGGCCTACCAACTCTATAATAAATCTAGTTAAATCTTTTTGCTACTTGAGATGGAGGTCCTTTGTATTCTTGCTCCCTGGGGGCGCCTTGCCTGATGATAACGAACCTGACATTTCTGTTTCTGCTGCATGTCAGCATGTTAAAGAGACACTATTGGAAAACTAGTAGGGAACCTGCCACGTCACACAGACCGTAAGCAAGAGGGCCTTCAACACTGAGCTTGAAAGTATATACATATTCTGTGGTGCCATATTATATTCACTTTGTTCCTCTTAAACACATATCAATGTCAATAACAACGATGTTGGCTTTTACCCCGCAACTTGACTGGCCGAAGCACGTGGGATACAAGTCATTGGAGAGCCATTTACCACTGTTCTATGAGAGAAATAGCCAAGTCAAAATGATATCTTCAGATGGAATTATTGGTGTTCAATTCAACTTGGCCTGCAGTAGCTCATGCGCAATGAAATTACCCATCATCACCATCCCCACGTGTATCCCCCAAACCACCAACGAACTTACACCAAAAACCCCTCCAAGATCTACTGTCCAACTCCACGTGCATCGAGGCCGCATCTTCGTTGGATCTACAAACCCGGATCCGTTTCCTCGGCGCCGATAACAATCTTCCATTTCTGGTCACCGAGGGCAAATACTCACGCGAGTTATATCCGTCTTGGCTTTATTTCAATCAAGCTTAAAAGGAACCAGATGTAACTTTAACTTTTTTCTCCGGGCTCAATTTGAGAGCGTGGCGTTTTAAAACATCTTTCACAATGGTTGCTACTTCTTTACTTGTTCATTTGACTTTATTGCCTTGTCTGGTTCTTGGTTCTTCTCTTGCGCCGAGGGCGAAGGGGTTTGACTATGATTCTTTGACGCTTCGTGAAGTTGGGGCTCGCAACACTCTTGTAAGTCATCGTCAATGCTCGATGTGAGTGTGTTACTAAATGATGCAGGACTGGCGTGTTTGGCTGGAGAAAGATGGTCAGCCTATTTCCTTCTGGCACGATATTCCCCTGTACCCTGAGAAGGGCAACAATCGCATTGTGAGCTACGTCGTTGAGATTCCCCGATGGACAGATGGCAAGATCGAGACTCGCCGCGATGAGCCTCTCAGTACGTTTCAACCCAGGCCATGTAGTCCAATGACCCAATGCTAATTGACCTCAGACCCTATCTTCCATGACGACAAGAAGAAAGCGCCTCGTTTCGTTGAGAGCGTCTGGCCTCACAAATCTTACCCATTCCATTACGGGTCAATCCCCCAGACTTGGGAGAGTCCCAACTTTAACCACGATTTCACTGGCTACCCCGGTGACAACGATCCCATTGATCTATTCGATATCACTGAGGCGTAGGTGCTCATCTATAATTGGCATGACAGAGCTGACGTATAGGAAGCCCTGCCCACATTGGACAGGTCAAGTCTGTCAAGGTCCTTGGTGGCCTTGCTTTGAACGATGTAAGTCCGGTACATGGCTGACACAAAACGATTACTAATTGATGCATAAAGGGTGGCGAGACTGACTGGAAGGTCATTGCCATTGACACCAAGGATCCTCTCGCTGCTCTGGTTGACTGTAAGTGCCATCTTCTCGCTGGTCAACCCAAGCTAACATCCTTAGCTTTTGAGGACCTCGAAAAGTACCGCCCCGGTCTAGCTAAGTCATTCTACAACTGGTTCACCGTAAGTCCTCCATTCTCTCCCCCACATCCCACTAACACAATCAGTACTACAAAGTCCCCCGTGGCGACAATGTCCTCGAGATCATTGGCGGCGACTACCAAAACGCCAAGTTCATGGCCAAGACCATCAAGAGCAGCCACGGTGACTGGCAAGATCTCGTGCGTGGAAAGGTTGACTCCAACGAGATCAACTACAACCAGACCAGCACTAAGAGCTACAAGAGCTATGTCAAGAGCAAGGATGCTACCAAGAAGTTCGGTCTTCCTGTCAAGTCTAACGTTCTTCCTGCTGCGGAAAGACCGGCGAAGTATGATTTGTGGTATTACCTTGATAAGGACTACAAGTTGATCCAGCTTCCCAAGAACTAAGGTCATGCGGTTTCGTGTTGTCGGAAACTTAAATCAGAGTATTATAATTCTATAGAACATATTGGAACGCTTTTGCCTTAATTGAACTTCACAGTCTCATAAGAGCTCTTCACCCTAATGATAGGGCCATATTTAAACAACACCCACGGAACTGGCAGCAAGACCAGCGCAATAAAGGCAAGAAGGCTACTTGCCCAATCGATACCCAACTTCTCATACACTGTCCAGTTGTTAGCCGGTGTTACCCTTTACAAAACTGAATGGACTTACTCTGAATAGTAAACAACGGAAACACTCCCGCAAACCCATACCGCGCAAGACCGTTCGCACTAGCAGCGCTTGCAACAACATTCCCATGGTACGTATCAGTAATATACTGCATCGTACTAACAAACACACAGAGATTTCCCCAAGCAAAGATGATTATCGATGCGGCGGGGCTTGCCCAGGAAACACCAGGTCGTGCTGTCCAAGCAAACCAGAACAAACCGATTGGCAATCCGATACTTCCAATCATGGAAGGGTAAAGGCGATGCTCTGGTGGGATTTGGTGAGGGGGGTATTTCGGTGCTTGTTTTCGGTACAAGAAGACGTCGCAGAGAATAACGGTGATGAGTCCGAGAAAGCAGCCGATGACAATGGAGAGGAATACCAAACCTGACTCTTCGATGGAGAACTGGTAGACTCTTCCAAAGGTATACGGCACGGCGGCGAAGAAACTGAAGAGTGTTCCAAATTCGGCTGCAACGTATAGACAGATGAATCCAGTGATTGGTTCGAGAAGAAGCATCCGGATAGGTCGAACAACCGCCACGAGGGCAAACATCTTGAGTCGAGCAGCCATCGGCGGCAGAGGATCAACTGTCATTCCCTTCTTCTTCATGAGTCTTCGTTTTATGACCGGATGAAATGTCTCGTGCGAGAACGCGGTGATGATCATAGCCAGTATCGAAAAGAAGACTAAAGTCCACTGCGTCCATCTCCATCCTTTCCGATTCACCACAAAAGAGCCTATAACCGGTCTAAGAAAGAAGTCAGTTATGCTCCTATCACTACCGTCGCAGAAACTCACCCTAATCCAGGACCCAAAAACGGCATGAGGATAAAAATTGCTGATACAGGCCCTCTATTCTTCGGCGTAAACGTCTCCGACAACGTCCCCGGCGCAACAGCCAACACAGGCGCCCAGCACAAACCCGCCATGAATCTCAGAAAGCCCAAACCTCCAATATTGTGCACGAATCCCGCACCCATAGTAAACAGTGCGCCGAGAGGAACACTCGCTGCGTATATAGGATAGCGGCCTATGGTTTCTGATAGTGGTCCGCCGATTACAGGCCCGAAGCCGAGGGCGAGGACGTAGAGTGTTAGAGGCAAGAGGGCGACTGTGCTGCTGACGTTGAATTCGATCATGAGTTCTTTGCGAGCGGGGCTCATTATTGATGTTCCGATTGATCTGAGATGTTAGATTAGATACAATTGTATTGGCGGGTGTGATGTGCTTACGCCAGAAGGCCTGCTGAGGATAGCATCACGACTTGAAGAGCTTTCTTCCATGCTGGCCAATTGAAAGGATTATGAGGACTATTATCCCAGTCCAACTCATCAGTTTCAACTTGTTCTTTCGGTCTCGCAGCCTCAATCTCGTTCTCCGTCGCAGAGTCGTTACCAAGCGACGCATCACCCATAATAGCAGTATCGTCAATCTTCTCAATATTCTCCATAACGAAGGTTGTACAGTATAACTTGATTCAATGCCTCAATTCCATTCTCGAAGCTTTCCTTTATCCTCCATTCAAAACCCCGACGGATTTGTAAATCTGAATGCATTATAAATTGCGGAAATGGTGCCGCGTTGGAGTTTTATGTGATTTCCCCGTTCTATTTGTATGATTACTGATCGGCTTCTCAACGCCCGTTGGTCGCGCGCACCCTGTCACTGCGAATAGCTCGGCTTTGGGATTAATGATCATAGTCGCGTCAGTAAGCTTTACCTATTAATTGTGTTCATTATCCCGATTATAAAGCCTTTGGGCCAGTATTTGATGTTGTTTGCCTCGGTTATCCGTCGTGGGAAGATGGCATCATCGCATTTGGCGGTTGACTGGAGCAGTGAAACACTATTCCCGTCGGTTAATAGTATCTCTAAAGGGCGTATACGACATTTCATCATCTTTTACTCTAGAGAGTTTAGAAATCACCCATGTACGATCATGTAGAAGTTGGTGTTGGCTGCGAAAGTCGCATTCGGATTGAAGCAAAGGTCTCAAACTCCAATAGCATCACCACCAAGTATGAGCTGGCCAGCGAAACCCCGACGGAGAATAGCCCAGCTCAAGCTTGAATGCCCCTGCATCTGGCCTTGACTCGATATAGAATTGCTCGGCAGTTGGTGATCGTTGAAGTTACAAAGCACTATCTCACAGTCGCAAGGATAAGATAGTTAAAAAGAATGTCACGTAAGTGAACAAAAGGACATCCCCATACACTTGCATCCAACACTTGGTTTTGGTAGCTATAACATGATAAATTCATGAGGGGCAGAGGCCAGAAATGCTATTAAGGGCCGAG